TGACCAACTGCGTAGTTTTACAACGGACAGTCCTGTATTTCAAAACCCTGTCCTGCATAAATTTTTAAATTTTGTTCCTGGTCCTGTATTTTTTTCATGAAAATTTCTGTTAATTTTCGAATTTTACTCTATGTCCTGTTTTTTTCGAAAAAATTTACCAAATGTCCTGTATTTTCATGAAAACTAGATGGTAACCCTAATAATATGTGTGTTTTGGCACACGAATGTTATGTTTTACATACTCTTATAATGTGATTCGTGTAGATGTGAATAGAGATGACACTGTTTGTTGTTAAACTTATTTTAGAAATCAAAATAAAAACAATAATTTTGTCTTGTACAATAAGACACAGAAAATGGCTGTAACAAATAACTGTCACAAAGGAGGGGGGCCTTGTGACATCGAAACACAAACAAAAAAAAATAATTTTCTCATTAAAAAATTGGATGTCACAAATCCACTGACCTCTATTGATGCTATTGTCTATCATCAAAAGATGAATTTATAAATAAAATTTTTTTTTTAAAAACGAAAAATTACATTTTTGAGCTACAAATCCAAATTACCAAAGATCTTAAATTAAAAATTGTTTTATCACCATGAGTTGTAGAAATCTGCGACACATTTTAGTTCTGTAATTAGAAAGCTCATGAGATGAGTTGGATGAAATGATTTATAACCATAAAAGCAAAACTTTTCAATTTCATATGCATGCTTGATATGCATGCATAAGGAAAAATCTAATATCAATTAAAGACATACCATAGCATATAGGTTTGTAGCCAGGATTTTTCAATAACGGAAGATTTAAGTGGCACAATAATTTTTTTCCCATTTTAAACTTTTACAATCTTTAATGATTTTTTTTTTCTTGTAAATAAGGACTCCTCTTCCATCTATTAGATGTTGTAGAGAGAGTAGCGAAGCTTTGAAAGTGAAGCGGAGCTTGAAGGGGGTCTGATATCAAGTCAATAAACACACAACACATATATTTTGAATAAATTAAATAAATTAATAAGTTTTCGATAGTATTAAGAAATAAATTGTGTTTAAATATATTGTTTAAGTGTGCTACAATAAGCGTTAGTTAAATTAAGCCATAAAAACCGCAAGTTAAACTATAAATAGTGACTTTTCCAAAAATTGTGTCAGTAACCTAAATTGTGACTTTATATTTTCGACTTTGTCTATCGATTGTGACATTATTTACCGATTTTGACTCTCGATTGTGACTTAACTTGCGTCGCAGATCTACTATCCTCGATTAAAGAGGGAAATCTGTGCTATTTACTGATAAATATCTGATTATTCGGATATTTTCATTATCTTAGGGATCCAGACGAGATCCCAAATATTTATCATTTTTGTCCGCTAAAATGTATTGCCAGTGGCAGAACTGGGCAAGATCAGAAAAAAAGGGAAAAAATCTTCAAATGCTGATTTCTCTGCTTCCGAGCATCCAATTCGTATGATTTTTTCACAGGTCGATAACAAATTTCAGAAAGTTTAACTTTTAATTCCATTTTTTAAAATAGCGGTTTAATAAGTTAGCTTAATTAACAAATTCACATTTGAAATTGATTTTTCTTCAAGAAAAAAGCAAGCTAAATGTTCAAGTCCTTGACAAAAGTTGCAGATTATGATATTTTCTATCATAACATCAGACTAAAGCTTAATAAAAATCTATAGATTTACTTATTTTAACAAAAAATCAACTTGTTGAAAAAATTCCTTTTTTCAGCAAAAATACTAACTCTAGTTGACCGAAAACAATTTTTAAATGATTAAAAAGTCATTGTGTATTGTAATTGTATGTTGAAAATGCTTAAAATCGAGTTAAATTAACTTAAAAACATTGTAATTTCAATTGAGGAACATGTTTTGCTCTGTGTTGCTCATGATTTCACACAAAATTTGAATTTTTCAAAGCCGTTACAAATATTTTGGTTTAATTATTTAAACTTTTATGATTTTCTTGACTTTCCATAAAGATTTTTAAGTTTTTCTTTTGCAAAAATATGCATCTAATGTATTGTTATAGTTTCAAATTGAGAGATCATTAAAATAATAAAACAATAATGGTTTAATAGAAGTTTTCTTAAACTCACTGTAACTTTGTTAATTAAAGTAGAACTTAAAATTTTCTTTTATAAACTTAAAGACAGTCATATTTGCTAGCTTTTTTGTATTAAAAGCTTGTTATTAAGATGTTTCTTTCATATAGAAATTTCAACAAAAACATTTAAAACATTAATTAAGCTAACTTAGAATACCACCATATCAATAATTTTATGCAAGTAATTCACTATTCTGATCATTTAATTACTCAGTGAAAGAATTTTTAAGATTGGTGAATCAGTTGCAGAGATATTGCATTAGCAACATGGTGTAAAATCGAATTTCTCCAAAATTGTTCGTGACGCTTAGCACTTTAAATTAATTTTTAATTATAATACAATGTCTAAGAGATACTTGTTATACACCAAAATATAGGTCTTGGCAAGGACTTTAAGAAAAACACAAGTCTTAAATACATATTTCGCATTATTGATTCAAAAATTGTAAATTATTTATCAATTTATTCAATTTAAATTGTGCAGCAGTGTCACTAAAACCTTTAAGCGCTCCTATTTTCTTCTTAAATCAATATTATGTTCACTAGCTTTGTGTTTAGCACATAATCTTTACTAAACAGTTGTTTGTCCAGCAGCCAATTATAAACTGTTTTTAGATCGTGAAACAAGTGTTCATGTTGGCTTTTGTCTCCAGGTTTGTTCCAGTAAAAGCCCTTGATGGTGAATTTACGGCTTTCGTATCTTTCTCATTCTGTCTTCATAATTCTTGACCCGTTTGTACATCTTACGTAACCTAATTATTAGTTTTAAGTGTTAAACTGCTGCGCCCAAGAAGCTGAATCATCTTAACTTCTATATCTATATTGGATATACTTCATTTCATTAGTGCGATAGTTTTGTGTTTGATAGGCTGTTTCACTGTTTTATCATGCTACGGACACGTCGAAAAGTCCGTTATTTTTTGCTTTGTATTTCAAAAAACCGTTAAATTTTCATGAATGTTTCTTGCAAACACTGGCAAAAACAAGTCTTGAGCAAACGATTCTTATTCTCAGCTTCGTGTTTAGCTAAGTTTAGCTAAAATCATCCCAGAAAAATACAGTAATTTAAATATTAATGCTTAAAATCTTAAAATTGACAGATTTTTAACGGTTTTAAAATATACAAACGCTAGGTCGACTAAATTTAAACATGTCGAAAAAATTCGACACTGAAATGTCCGTAGCATGTGTTTTATGAATAGTAATCTAAAGGTACGAATAATATAGATATAAATATCGTTGCCAGATTTTTTCGTGATTTTCTGCTAACATAAAATAAAAGGCAATGCCATAAAAGTTGATTTTTTTACCTTTTTAGCTACAAATGCTCGAGCTTGTAACTTTATGCTCAAATTTAAACATATAGAGTTCAGTAATTCAGCCTGAAAGAACGACTTAATATCTTCCAAATGATGTAAATAAGAAACTAGTAAAGAGGTGATCACACGTGATCGACCGAAGCGCATTTTCTCCGCACAGAATTCGAGTAGAAATTAAAATCTAAAAACTCAATACATTTGAAAAAGAACGGTCAAAAAATATTTGAAAAAAAAACTGTTAAAATTATATGAAAGAAGGAAAACGCCCAAAAAATAATTAATATTTTATTAAAATAGCGTTGGTTCGATATTCAGGATCAGGCACTGTGTCTACTTGCCAAATTTCAGCTCATAAGTTAAAAAAAAAGTTCAAAGTCAACGCAAAATTTTTTTTACATAGGTTACCAACCCTGGAATCTTAAAATGGCGTTGGTTCCATATTCAGGATCAGGCACTGTGTCTACTTGCCAAATTTCAGCTCATAAGTTAAAAAAAAAGTTCAAAGTCAACGCAAAATTTTTTTTACATAGGTTACCAACCCTGGAATCTTAAAATAGCGTTGGTTCCATATTCAGGAACAGGCACTGTGTCTACTTGCCAAATTTCAGCTCATAAGATCAAAAAAAGTTCAAAGTCAACGCAAAATTTTTTTTACATAGGTTACCAACCCTGGAATCTTAAAATGGCGTTGGTTCCATATTCAGGATCAGGCACTGTGTCTCCTTGCCAAATTTCAGCTCATAAAATCAAAAAAAGGTCAAAGTCAACGAAAATTTTTTTTACATAGATTACCAACCCTGGAATCATAAAATGGCGTCGGTTCCATTTGCAAGAACAGCCACTGAACCTACATGCCAAATTTCAGATTAATAGGGTAAAAGATACAAAAGTAATGGCAAAAAAAGTAATTTTGTATGAAAAATGTATGGAAAAAAGAATAAATCTTCGAGAAAAGCTCGGAAAATGTCGGGAAAATTTTGAAAATGGAAAATTTGATCACCAAACACCATGACAAACAATAATAAATCAAAAAAGTGAAAAAAAGAATGAAAAAAAAAGTTGCTCGTTGTGAGGCTTGAACCAGCGACCTGAGGATTGTAAAAAAAGTCACCTTTTTAATGACTTCGCCCAAAATAATCACGTGACTTTATAGGTGAAAAATTTTAAAAATTAATTTAATTAACCTTCCTGTGCTTCAATCATGCTGAAATTTTGGCCACTGCTAGCCAGGAATAGCACAAATATTATAAGAAAAAAATCGCATCAAAAAATATTAAACTGAAGGAGGAGATAGCTGGACGGACGGACGGACGGACGGACGGACGGACGGACGGACAAAGTGAGGACAATAGCGTCATTTCCTGATAGGAAAATGCGCTAAAAAAAGAAAGAGAATTTTATTTTTCACACATTTTATTCTCGTTAATTCAACTCAGCATCGATTTATTGAGATTGTTTTCAGCAAGCATCTAGTCTGAGATAATGACAGTGACGGTAAGCGTCTTTTGGTTCACTTCTCAGTAATTCTAAATTGACATTATTTTAATTGGTCTTAAAAAGCCATTTAAAATTGGTTTGGTCTTACGTTAATATCATATGTAACTTTTAAAGACAATAGCAATACCAAAGTTCCAAAAGTTATAGAAATGATTGAAAATTTTGAAATCTTTTCGCATGTTACACGAACATATATGTTCGGGAAAACGTTATAATAAACTTCATTTTCACTCATTTTACATGGCTTCAAATCATCTTCACTAGACGCACCTGTTGAAGCAACTGGTTCGTCTTCAGTTTCCCAATAATTTTTGTCATCATTGATGTAAGCTGTTGCAGCAAAAATAACACTTGTGAACAATATTGTAAGTTGGAATCTAAATGAAATAAATAAATTCGAATTAAAAGGTGATAAATCGTAATATCCTTCCGATATTGTTAACAGGACATAATTTACAATATTAAGCCACTACTGTCTAAATCTTTACATACCTCATATTTTTTTTTTGAAATTCTTCACTGATTTTCAAAACAACCGTTTATTTTAAGTCAACAGTAATAAATGAACTATAGCTGAATATGCTTTTTTATGGTTTTTTACATGTAAACCAGTAACATGTAAAAAAGTCGGAAAATGCAATTAAAAAAGGCGGGACGACCCAATGACCATACATAAAAAATATTTTAAAAAGCATATTCATTTTTGTGTCACGGTGTACATTATATAGTGATCAAAGAGTTCAGGAGCATAGTCAGAATTTATTAACAGGATCAATAATTAGTTTTCGTTTAATTATGACTTGCGCTAAAAAATATGATTTTAGAACATCCCCTCCCTCCCCCCTCCTCTTCTGGCACAAAATTTAAATGAAAGAAAAGTTTTTTTGTTTTAGTTCTCATAAAGTTCTAGAACTCATTCTGCCCTCCTGAATTTTGGTCGTCATAAGTGAACGACGATCAGTAGCCTAAGTGGGAAAGCGTTCACCTTGAAAGGCTGTGGCTTCAATCCAAAGCCAAGTCAAGTTTTGTGTATACTTTTAAGGTCTTGGTCACATAACGCTTCTCCTTTGCTAGATATACTAGGAATTCCTAGCATCTGGATGATTTAATTATGGCATTTGCGAGCTATTTGGATTCCACTATCAACTGTAGGACTTAAGGATGCGGTACAATAGATTAACAATCTCAGTGCCATTGGCTCAAAAGGCTGAGTCTTTCTAAAATCATATAAGGTTGTGTTGGAGCCGGACCTGCTCACATGTTGCGTTTGAGCAAAAATATCAATTTACTAGGTTGCCATATTTTTTTTCTCTATTGGTGCATAATTGTACTCGATTAGTGAAATTTGTTATAAAAAAATATTTGTTCAAACAATTGCTTTTATCAAAAGTGCAAAAAAAAATTTTTTTTTCTGTCAGATGCCCGTCCTTACATTTTTTTTTTGAGGTAAAGCTTTTTTTTTTAAAGTCCTTATACTTTATTGAGTGACTTCAGCGCATTTTTGTCGCAGCTTTCAATATTTGATAAGCAATAAATTAAGCGTAAATCAAGTTGTAAAACATAGCATTATCATAGGTTGAAATTTTACATCTTTTGCAAAAAACCGAAATTTGAATTGATTTCTGTAAGCAAACAAGCAAGCAAGTTAATCAAGACTCTTGATTGTATAGTATCAGTAGATCAGCATTGGGTTTTGTCCCAGTTGCACAGTGGAAAAAGCTAGTTAAAGTAGGTGGGGCAATTATTAATTCGATTATAGTCAGTATCGGGAGTTCTTGATTTAAAAATTTGTGTATGAATAAATTCTGTTAGAAAAAAGGTAAATTTTTTAACTCTCTAGTTTTGACTATTCAAATTGAAGATTCTTAGTATTATGATATGCCACATTTTATACGGTCCATGCGCATATGATGCATCGAAATAATTCATTTATATACAATTATTATTTTTTTATCAGCAATACTATCAGTAGTGCAAAAATGGGGAAAAGAAATTGTTGTGAATTTAAATCAGTGCTTGACATTGTGTTGAATAAAAATATTTTAAATATTTAAATTGAGAGAATTTTATAAAAAAAATTAACGTAAATTTAAAAATTGCAAATATTTTATGTGTCAATGGAATCGAGAATAAGTGAATCTAATGAGCTACTTAATGATGATAGTGAAAATATTCATGAGGCTGTTGCTACTGCTTCTTCTGAACATCAACCACTTGCAGCACAAAATACTACAAACTTGTTGCATGCTTTTCATCTATTTGATGCATTAACTTCATATTCACAATTGCATCAATATTATTATCGTCCATATTCATTTTTAATTCCACCAACAAGTCCTACTTGGTCACCAAATGCTTCAATTTATCATCAACAAATGTACAATTTTGGTTATCCTTATTATCAGCATGGATCAAGATTAGACCAAAATACATTGAATTCATCGAATATAACTGAAATGACTGAAGCATCTCAACAAAAGGAAATTATTTGTAAATATTGTAATCGAGTATTTACCACGGCATATAATTTAAAGGTCCATAAGAGAATACACACAAATGAGCGTCCTTTTGTTTGCATTATTTGCGATAAAAGTTTCAGTCGGTCTGATCATTTAAAGTAAGTAAATTTAAAACTTAAATATGCATAAAATTAACGATTTTTTCATTAGACATCACAAATGTATTGATAACGATTTAAAAACCTTCAAATGCTCATATTGTGATAGAGAATTTAGTCATCAGCGATCATTGGCCATACACAAAGTGATACATTTTAAACAGGCACCATATAAATGTTCCATTTGTGATTCTACCTTCCCACAACGATTACATTTGAAGAAACACATGCGAATTCACAAAATAAGTAAAAATAAACAGCGAGAACAGTCATCCGATGTTCAAATTTTGAATTCATCCTCGTCAGACGAATGTGGTCCAAAACAATCTGATAATAAAATGAATAAAAAGTCATGTGGATTTACAATTGATGAAATTATGAAACATTAAAGCAGTAGTGCATAATATTTGTGTCTTGGCACCAATTTACAAAACATAAAAAAAATTTATTAAACAATTGTGAAATGAAATGTCATTTTTAACCGCAAAAAATTGGAAATTTGCAGTATTTCTTACGGTTCTGTATGTTAAGTGGTGATCGGAAAACTTGCTTAAAAGTATTGGTGCTTGTTTTGTATAGAAATTTTTACTGGCCCTGCTTAGCTTTAGAAAAATGGAAATTTCCAGTGATTAGAAAATTGGATTAATTCTCAAATGATCACCTTAATTATAAGTTAAATATTTTTAATTTAATAATTCCTTGTCAATTGACATTCCAAGGTGCTACGCTTGCTTAGAGAACCTGTAATTTATCTTATAGGACATTACAATTGTGTCAAAATTTCCATTGAATTTTTTTAAAAAATAATATATTAATGTTACGCTATGCAAAGTCTTATAACGTCGTTAGTTTAAATGTTTATTCTTCATACTGAAAAATTATATTTAAATAAAAAAAAAACTTATTTTCTAAAAGTTCTATAAGAATTGAAAGCAAATAGAGCTGTTTTCACTTAAAAAGATCGGATTAGGATCGAATAAATTGATGAAATATAGATTATAAAATATGATAAGGCTTTATAAGGGTAAGAAGCTGATTGTTAAATGTTCTTTAAATGAAAATTATAATGAGAATTATTAAACGTTGAATGTTGAAATAATAATATTGTATTTGGTAGTAAAATCAATTCGATGTCACTTAAATTGAATTAGATCAATTCCTTTGTCAATTTCTGTCGTGTTAGAAGAGTGAAGGTTAAATAAATAAATAAATAATCGTTTAGTGTTCTTCACTCTGTAAAAATAGTTTTAATTATTTATGTGAAAAAATTACATATTTCCTTTGGAAACAATGCGCTTATAGGTCCACTTTGTCTGGCTGGCTGCCCGTTTTTCTCAGAACTGGAAGCACTTAGAGACTTCTAGTTTTTTGCATTCGATAGCTGCTTTATGATATTGCGGACGATCGCATATTTATTTTTCTTAATTCATCTTAGTTTCTTAATTAAATTAACTTTTCTGTTTTTTGTGGTTCACATAATTGATATTGGATTAGCCAATGAACTCAAATTTCAAAAAACCGTTAATTTTTGAATCTCAAAAAACCGTTACATGAAAATTTTTATTTATGAATCCGGTTATCTGTTTTGTAACTTGTATTTGATTTAAATCCAACAAGATCCTGGTTTTTAGTTCCCGACTTCCTACACATTAAGATAAGTAACTTTAGAGTATTGTGGCGCAAAACCAATTAACATTTTTACCGATCTATGCGAGGAAAATGCGCTTAGTTCGTCCGTTCACATCTGTAACGGCGACTTCTATACTAGTTTTCTTAATTGTGACTGTTTTATTGGCCAGGCGATGATTTTGTTAACAAAACTTTTTTTTCATTTTGCTAAAGTTTTTATGAAAAAATTCTAAATGTCACAGACAATGACTGTTTTACAGCAATTTGATCGTTTTGAAGATTTTCAACCAATTGCAATCCAAGTAACTCAAATAATAAATGTTTTCGGGGAAGTTAGTTTCATTCAGTGAGCTTAAGTTAGGGTGACCATCTGCGTAGTTTTACAACGGACAGTCCTGTATTTCAAAACCCTGTCCTGTATAAATTTGAAAACTTTGTTCCAGGTCCTGTATTTTTTTCACGAAAATTTCCGTTAATTTTCGAATTTTACTCTATGTCCTGTATTTTTCGAAAAAATTTACCAAAAGTCCTGTATTTTCATGAAAATTTGATGGTAACCCTAGCTTAAGTGGCTCGGTGGCGGAATGGTTTAGTACTCCGGTACCTAATTATTGCAATACCGACACAGCGATCATGGGTTCGAGACTGGGTATGAGAAATTTTTTACTTGTTCTTTTTCGAATCATATGTACTGGAAATGAGGCTCACAGCCTTCCTTTGTAGCCTACAGGCAGTAATGTCATCTAAGGAGTGGTTCGGATCCCACTATACATTGTAGGTCTAGGTTTGAGTGCAGTGGCTTTGCATATCTTCACTCATTAAACTCTCATTAGGTGCGAAACGCCCTAGCGCACCTCTGCATCACTATTGATCTGAATAGGTAAAGATTTTTTTTTTTTTAGTTTCATTCAGCTTCAAATAGCTCGGAGTTAATTTCTTCTTTTCTTTTCTTTGTATCAGCAACAACACAAATGCAAATCTTCTTAAATTATTTTTATTTGTATTGTTCTAGTGATGTGGAAAATATGATAAACAAATTGAATTGTTACTTAATCCTTAATAACTTTTTGAATGACAAATGTCAATTTTAGAACAACCACATATAAACAATACAGTAATGTGCATGCTGATTGATAACAAAACAATAGAATTCAAATTATTTTTGGAAATGCAACAAGTTTATCAATAATTAATCATACAAATCTGCATGCAGTTCTAAAATATAAAGTAATACAGAAAATATACGTCAATTTATCTCTTTTTCATTCCGTTGTAAAATGTTTGTGAATTCCACACAATTTCTTTTAAATTACAAAGCTCGAAGTTCTACTCGTTCAATGGAAAATATAAAGAACCAAGCCATATACAGCATTGTAAAGTATTGACAACAAATCCAATAAAAAGGTTTTTTCACATCCAGTCTTTGATGATTATTTAAACATAATTTGATTATTTTCAACTTCATATCCATCACATAAATGCAGCACATATGAAAAAGTCAGTGGAAATATTTTGTAATTTTTTTTATATCAATTAGCCAACATGGCACAGGCTCCATAGCTTGAAGTTGATGAAATTTTTATATGAAATCGAGTCGACTCTGCCATACAAAATGGATAAAAAATCTTGAGTCAACTTCAAGATCTGGCTCAGGACACTTTTTACCATCTTTTTGTTCTCATTTTACTTGAGTTTTAGATTCACTCAAACTTTTTGCTAAATGTATATATGCACGATAATTTGTGGGTATAGCTGGATGCTTTGTTGTTTATTTGATATTCTTGTAAAAATATCGATTTTTAGCGCATTTTTGAAATTTGTTTCTGAAAGATGGCTTAATGATCCACTTTGTATGGCTCGAAGTTTCTCGATCAATAACACGAGGAATTTTCTTGAAAAAAATATATAAATGTTAAGATAAAATGAATTTTAAGATATGTTGAGTAACAATTTTATTTCTTTATATTTGTCAAAAAAGCCTGAAAAATCGAAAATTAAATTGATGAATTTTTGATTTGTTGCAAGCTTCAAATAGCAAGCTTTAAAAAATTTAAATCATTTTAAAAAATTTTTTTATTTTCTGTTCTTCAGTTTACATTTCTTAAATGATATCGAGATATCGAGAATGGCTTAAAAACTTAATGAAAGAAGTCGACATAAATAGTTGACAATGCCAAAAGTAATGCTAAAGCTTTAAAAACAAGATTTGTGATGGACAGGAATGAAATTCCAGCGCATATTTCAAAAATGTTTTTAAAATATCCTTTTGTGTTTGATTCACATGCCTTAAAGTCATCTGCATTAGCATTCGTTGAAGTCGAAACAGGCTCATCCTCAATATCACTTCTTGTTAGGTCATCGTCGTAAGCTGTTGTAGCGAAAATGGCAGCAATAAAGAAGACTGTAAATTTTAATCTGAAAAATAAATTTAAAATCATTTGTTATCAAAGTCATTTAGCTCGACGTTCATGGGAGTGGGGAACGGTCCCTCATTTTAACATAGAACAATATGGAGATATCCTATGGAGAGCTCAAAGTCGAGGCGAAAACTGGAAATAAAAAGCTTAATCTGCAGCCACTGCATTCTGCACTCCAAATATTTTATAACTCACCTCGTCATTATCTTAGATTCAAATCAAAACTGATGTTTAATTGCAAACACAACCGTTTATTTCACGTCTCATATCTTAAATGACAAGACTGTAGGAAAACAAGGAAATTCATAATGCAATCGTAAAACGATGTATGCTGACATGCGGGTTAAATCTGGATGAGTGTCATTGATGTTGGAATCGATATGAGTCGTGATATTCTTCTCAGAAAAGGCTGTCCATTGACTGTTGACTCATAAGTAGGGTGACCATCTGCGTAGTTTTTCAACGGACAGGCCTGTATTTTTCAAGAGTGTCCTGTATAAATTTTTAAATTTTGTTCTTGGTCCTGTATTTTTTTCATGAAAATTTCCGTTAATTTTCGCATTTTACTCTATGTCCTGTTTTTTTCGAAAAAATTTACCAAATGTCCTGTATTTTCATGAAAAGTAGATGGTAACCCTACTCATAAGCGGGACAGTTTTTCAAAAATGTCGGTGCACAGTTTTCTAAAATCGACTTATCAAAATTTGATAAACCTACTTGATAATTTTTATTTTTGGTCGATTTTGACGGCAAAGGCATCGGAACATTGAACGAAAAACTGGTACTATTTGTCCTTAAAATCCTGAACTGGCATATGGTTTTGAAGAATAGAATTAGGATTGGAGCCAGGTTTGAGAGGATTTTGGGGACACATCTCTACGTCAACGAAAATTTATTCATCTTGGCAGGATTTTTATAAAAAAAATTTTTATACAGAAATAAATTCCCCCTCCCCCTCCCCCCTTCCTCTTCGCTTCCCTCCACCATTGCTCCCCGCCCCCTTCAAGGAATTAAGTATATATAAGTAAGTATGTCATATAAAAAAAAAAACTTAGATGGACAGACTATGATAGAACAAAAAATATGTGAGCAAATTGAGCTGGATGAGTTGACTATAAATAGCTTTACCATAGATATTGAGTGTACTCAATCAGGAATCAACTTGTTGCTCTACTGTTGTTTTTATTGCATTTTCTGTTGAGCTTATAAAAAAAATCTGTAAATTTCCCAGTAATCGGATTATTATTGAAGGTATACAACCATAGAGTAATCAATTGATTTTCAAATTTAATGTTAAGTTTAAAATTGTGAAATAGATTTTTTTAAAATTAGAGATGCTTTTTATTTCCAAAATATCAATCTTCTATCCTCAATTTTTTTCATTAGTTGAACCAACTAAAATTGGTGCATAAAATAGAGAAACATAGCACAGTGAGGATTAAAAATAATACAGACGAGGTCGAGACTTCTTTTATGTTTTTCACGTTAACGTTTGAATCTTCTTGTTGTTGATTATTGAGCTTTTCAGTCACAAAGTCCTTCAACTCATCATTCTTTGTTTCTGGGAGCTAAAAATATTGATTGGATTAGCTTTATAGATAAATCGATTGATTTAATGACTTACCAAGTATATTAGAATGCTGGCTAAGATGCTGACAAGTCCAAGCATCGTTGTGAATTGAGGAAGGCTATAAGCATCTGCTGATGCGTGATAGTAATCAACTGAAATCATAAAATGGAATTGTTGAAACTCAAACAACTTCTTCAGCTGCTGTTTTGAATTCAAAATTGAACTCAAGTCAACATTTTGAATCTAAAATTGAACTACAGCCACAATTTTGAATCCAAAATTGATCTACAGCCGACATTTTGAATTTATAATTGAACTGCAGTCACCATTTTGAATCCAAAACTGATCTACAGCCGACATTTTGAATCCAAAATTGAACTTGAGCCACCATTTTGAATCCAAAATTGAACTACAGCCACCATTTTGAATCCAAAATTGAACTGCAGTCACCATTTTGAATCCAAAATTGATCTACAGCCGACATTTTGAATCCAAAATTGAACTGCAGTCACCATTTTGAATCCAAAATTGATCTACAGCCGACATTTTGAATCCAAAATTGAACTACAGCCACCATTTTGAATCCAAAATTGATCTACAGCCGACATTTTGAATCCAAAATTGAACTAGAGCCACCATTTTGAATCCAAAATTGAACTACAGCCTCCATTTTGAATCCAAAATTGAACTGCAGTCACCATTTTGAATCCAAAATTGATCTACAGCCGACATTTTGAATCCAAAATTGAACTAGAGCCACCATTTTGAATCCAAAATTGAACTAGAGCCACCATTTTGAATCCAAAATTGAACTGCAATCACCATTTTGTATCCAAAAATGATCTACAGCCGACATTTTGAATTTAAAATTGAACTGCAGTCACCGTTTTGAATCCAAAATTGAACTGTAGTCACCATTTTGAATCCAAAATTGATCTACAGCCGACATTTTGAATCCAAAATTGATCTACAGCCGACATTTTGAATCCAAAATTGAACTAGAGCCACCATTTTGAATCCAAAATTGAACTACAGCCTCCATTTTGAATCCAAAATTGAACTGCAGTCACCATTTTGAATCCAAAATTGATCTACAGCCGACATTTTGAATCCAAAATTGAACTAGAGCCACCATTCTGAATCCAAAATTGAACTTCAAACCCTTCAATGCACAAAATTAAGCCTTAGGAAATAAAAACTTACCAATACTTGAAGCATAATATCCAGTAAGATATCCAGCAGATCCAATTACACCAACAGCAGTGCTTCTAATTTCTGTTGGAAACATTTCAGCTATATGAAGACAAAATAATGCTATTGCTGGATTCCCAAAGCATCGGCACATTGTCAGTAAGTATTGATAGAATGGAAGTTCCTCTGAAGGAAGTGCAGCACCGAGAATCAAACATGATCCTAAAAGGACGACTAATGAGATGTGTAGGAACTTTCTAGGTAGCCAATAGACGAGGAAGGCTGTGGCAATATATCCGAATGTATCATAGACTGTGGACATTTTGATGTGACTGTCGAAATCTTGATACACAACTTTCATGTCACAGAAGTTGAAGGCGAAGAACCAGAAACAGAAAATTGTCATTGAAAGCCATGACAAGTGCCAGTAGTTTGTTGAGCAGAAGAATTGAACGAGTTTGAGGCTTTTGACAGATTTGGTCAATGAAAATTCATCATCTGAGCTTGTCCTTGGCTCATCTTCTGGTGCAAAATCAGATGCAACTGGTTTTTCTCCATTCAACTCACTGAAAGCTTCTTCGTACTGTTTCTTACATATTAAATGTTTTGGTGAGTCAACGAGATACCTGCAGAGAAAATGATAAAATTAATACCCCAAAATAGGCAAAAAAAATGATCACGTGTCAACTTACTTAATAAAAATCACCAAAACTGCTGTGCTGATGGCCAATAAAATTTGATTAACTTTAATATTCTCATCTGCTACCGACGATGCTGTGTATTGCCACATCATACCAAAGACGACTGACAAATTGATCATAATTGCAAAAATTTCACGGAATTTTCTTTGAGAATTTTCTATCAGAATTACAAATAACAAGTTAATGATGCCATATCCACATAATCCAACGGTAAACCTTGACCACATGTAAACTGTTTCTGTTTGGAAGTAAGTGGGTACGAATGATGCAATTATGTATGGAAATAATGCGATGTTGAATGATAGTTTGCGGCCGAATCTAGAATTGTAAAAATGGATTTAATTTTTTTTTAGATATTAAAAACCTAACGTCAAAGCTTTTTTGGAACATAAGCTCAAAAAATTTATTTAAACGAAACTTTAATGTTCTTTGTTAAAAATACCTCAAAGTCAAATTCAAACTTAACCCAAATATCCAATTAAAATCTAACCTCAAAAGTCTGATTCAAACCTTACCTCAAAGGCCAATTCAAACCTTACCTCAAAGTCCAATTCACCCCTTACCTTAAAATCCAATTCAAACCTTACCTCAAAGTCTGATTTAAACCTAACCTCAAAGTCTGATTCAAACCTTACCTCAAAGTCGAATTCAAACCTTACCTCAAAGTCCAATTCAAACCTAACCTCAAAGTCTGATTCAAACCTTACCTCAAAGGCCAATTCAAACCTTACCTCAAAGTCTGATTCAAACCTAACCTCAAAGTCTGATTCAAACCTTACCTCAAAGGCCAATTCAAACCTTACCTCAAAGTCCAATTCAAACCTTACCTCAAAGTCTGATTCAAACCTTACCTCAAAGTCGAATTCAAACCTTACCTCAAAGTCTGATTCAAACCTTACCCCAAAGTCCAATTCACCCCTTACCTCAAAGTCTGATTCAAAACCTAACCACAAAGTCCAACTTAAATCTAACCTCAAAGTCCAACTTTAACCTAACCTCAAAGATGTTTCAAAAACCTAACCTCAAAGCTTATGTAAATCCTATCAAATGACTCACCTGTCACCAAGTACACCAAAAATAACGCCACCTAAAATGCACCCTCTATAAAATGCAGTATATATGCTCGACACATCATCTCGACACAGTAAGCTCATATCATCAGCATAGCTCTCTTCAGCACCTTTAACAACATAAATGACACCACCAATTTCCGAGCACATTCCACCGTCTAATTCATCCAAATTATTAACAAGGTCCAATGCTTCTCCAAATGATAATTTAGAAATAAATTTGTAATCCAATTTTAAAGCCATGCAGCTTTGTGTGGAGTTGCTATATTTTGACACTTCACGAATCTCATCGATTGTCCAGTTTGTGTTTTTGAGTTCTTTTGGGAGGCAGAAGTAGTCGGCTGGTTCCTCAAGTGCTGACAAGTCAAAGAATAGTTGAGAGTAAAATGATGACGTGCCGATGAAGCAAAGGGCGAATAGAAGCCTAAAAATGAGAAGATAATAAATTAGAAATTTTTGTGCAACAGTTGTGTAGCTACGGGAGGGTTTGGGTTGGAAATTACTTTTTTCCTCAAAATTGCCGAGATTCTGAGCTGGTTTTCAGAACAACTACTGGAATTGAAAGACTGCTTGTTGGAATGTTAAAAAGCGCATAGCCAGAATGGTCTTGTACCCCTTCCATGCTCTCACTTTGGTTAAAAACGCTTAAGGGGCACAAGACCTTTTAGGCTATGCGCCAGTGTTTAAACAAAATTAAATTGAAACAAGGGGGCGCCTAAGATAGCTCAAGTTCTGGCTACAGCACTGATAAACAATCAATCCAACCCTATTGCCTTTAACTCTCCACGGTACTTTAAGTTCGTGCCTTGTAATAATCAAAGTGGCAATTAGCAACAAGAAAAAAACTCAATTGAATTGACGCTGAGTGTGGAAACTCAATCAACAGCAATAAACGATAAATGGAATAATGTGACAACTACGTCAGAAACAAAACAATCTTCATTTAATGCTGAAGTAATTAAAATTTTATTTTTTTTTAAGAAAAAATAGTTATTGTTGTTTTTGGGGAAGTGCTGTTTAGCATAGTGCTAATTTGATTTCAAAATTCGGGCTAATTTTGGGTAAAAATGAATTATTTGTGGATCTTGCTAATTGAGATGTTTTGGCATCATTTCATAAATAAACAACTCTAAGCTTTGAAAATATTTTTTAAAATGGGGTTTTTCATAAATGACGTCAGTTCAATGAATAAGATTCTAGCTTAAAAGGCTGTTTTTTTGGTATTTACACCAAAACTTAAAGCAACACTGACTGCTGGTGTATAGTTTAGAGTAAAGTTAATGTTTGTGTAGGGGTAGATGCTGTAGCTTGTAAGGTTCAAGGTGTCGAAAATTTTACTTCTAGTGCTTACTCATAAGGTTTTTAAGGGAAAAGAGCGAATTCTGTATTTTTTCCTCAATATTGGAATCTTTAAAATTGACTCGTCGTGTCCAACGACGATCAGGGGTCCTACAACGATCCCATTAAGCTACTAAATCGTTATTACATTTAAGACAAGTTTAGATCAGTAGTTTAGCTAAAAGGCTGTCTATAGAGTCCCTCAATGCCGAAAATATCTTTAATTTGCTTGATTAAAGTACGTCATTGAAGATTAAACCATAATTTATCAATGGAAAATTTGAGACATCAATGAATAGACACTGCCACTTGTTAAGGTTAATGACTGAATAATTTTTTCATCACATCAGCTCAATTTTAAAGCTAATTATTATATCACCGACTTTTATTGAAATTTGAACCTTTTTCGTGCTGTTTTTAGACACTAGAGTATATTTTGCATAATATTTTTTCACAATCAAATTTCTCACTCACCACAACCAAGCATGACCACTGCCTTTTCTCTTTAAATCATCACAAACAACTTCTTTTAATGTTTTTCTTTCTTCATAGGAACTGTTCACTGTTCCTTTAACAGCTATCACGTAAGCTAAAGTGTTTCCTGTCATTTTTTGTACACCTTTTTTTTTGATCTCTAATTTAAAATATTCTTAAGAAAGTTTTAATAAACTTCTTGATGGACTCTTTTGTTGAGCAAAGATTGAAATCTCACTGAAGATTTCTGGCCAAATATGCAGCATTTTATAGAGAGATGTTACAGACAACAAGTGACGTGAGGTGATAATTTCTTGGTAAAATATTGAGGTAAAGTGATGCTAGGGTTGGGTTTGGTGTTTTTGAATGATTTGTTTGAAAGAATATTTTATTAAACTGGACGTTTGCGAAAAATTCATATTGTTTGTGAAAAACTGAACTTATCTTAAGATGATTTAACATTCCAGAACTGAACATATTCCAAGATAATTTAACATTCCAGAACTGAACATATCACAAGAAAATTTAACATTCCAGAACTGAACATATTCCAAGATAATTTAACATTCCAGAACTAAACTCATCCCAAAGTAGTTTAATAGTTCAAAACTGGCCGTATCCAATAAATCTAAAAAAAAAAATTTAACCAAAAATCTCAAGCCAAAAACCAACCCTAAATGTTCACCACCAAACAAAATAAAAAATTTCCTGATCATATGGCACTGATTTCGGAAAGCAGCAACAACATCTGTGGCGTCACTATGCGATGGGTGCTAATTGATACTAAGACTAAGTGGATAAAAAGTGGATTTGCTTTTGATGTGCGAAAAAATAAATTAAAATGTGGAGAAATTAATGACGACGGTCTTTATTTACGTTTTCTTCACATCTTTGATGCTTTGTTTTGACTGCGTGACTTTTTTTTTCAGACTAAGAGAAAAATGACGAATTTATCGAAAAATAATTAGTTTTGCTGGATTTTTTTGGTATCATTTTTGGATTTATTTTCAGAATTTTCTATGATTTTATTGAAGTATTTGTCATGCTGATGACGATAGGCACTGCTTAATTAGTTCACATTAATTGGTGACAACTTGAAAAAAATAAAATAAAATTTACGTAATTGCAATTTTGTTATGAACAATAAATTAATAGCTTAAAGACTTTGAAATGTTGACAATTTCTGCCAATTCTTCAAAATTCTGTTATTGCAATTTTTTAATTATGCACAGAAATTTATGCTGACTAGCAAACTCAATTAAGCAGTTCAATAATTTAATTTGGAAAATTATTTTCAGTCGAATTTAAGCCGTCGATTAGTTCACTTTAAAGGAAAAAAAAACTTTTGAAAAAATGAAAAACTTTAAAATTTTGTGTTTAATTTTTCCTTTAATAATTTTTCAAGTTTCACAATCTGCGTCTATAAAAGTTGATACTGAAGACACTGAGCTCGTTCCAGATGTGACCAGCACTTTGATTAATGAAGATTCAACGACCGAAATTGAAAGAACCAAAAAGGAAGCAAATTGTTTTGAGACTAAAGTTAATGGACAGTCAGTTTTGCAATGTGCTGATTCGGAAGCATCGCCAACGCTCAATACTCCTGCATTTGCTCCACTACCTGGATTAGCAAGGCAAGGATTTCCTGGATTCGAGCATCAACAGCCATTGAATTTTCCAACTTTTAATAGCATCTTTCCAACTTATAAGGTGAGTTGACATTTAAATTTGAACATAAAATTCAAATAAATTATTTTGCAATAAATTCAAACAAAATTTTTAAATTAATTCACTTTTATTTTAATTAATTCAATTTAATTTTTTGAAATATTTTTTTATTTTTAAAAACTTAAAACAAAATAAAATAATTTTAATTTTTTTTATTTTAATTTAAATCAATTTTAATAATTTTTTGAAATCTTTGAAAATATTTTTGAAAAAACTTAAAAAGTAATAATTTTATAAAAAAATTAAAAATTTTGATTTTATTTTATTTTTAAATTTTAAAAAAATGGATTTATTCAAAATATGATAATTTAATTTAAACTCTTTTTTTTTTATTTTTATTTTATTTGTATTTTAAGATTTTTTAAATTACAGTTTTAATTATTTCATTAAAACTCTTTATTCAATTTAGCCAGCAACTCAAGCAGCAACAACTACAACTCCTGCCTATCCTCAACATTATGCATCTCCAACCAATAAAGTATGTTTTTTAACTTTTAAAATCAAAGATAAAATTTTAAATAAGTTTATTTTCTCTTGAATATTTCTCAGCCATCAAACACATACTCAAGCAATCATTTAGCAACAACGACAGCACCAAGTTACTCCATAACAACACCATCTCAAGCATATTCAGTTCCATCTCATTCATACTCAAACAATGTTCGTCCGACATACCCAAAACCATCGTCTCAACAATATTCTGAATATTCACAACCTGGTGCCTCATCTCAATCTCCATCTGGATCAACAGCTTACTCACAAAACCAACATCAATCATCTTATGGATCTGAGTCTAAACCATCATCTTATGGTTCAGAATCAAAGCCTACATCCTACAGTTCAGGCTCGAATTCATATTATCAACCAGCACCACAGCAAAATTCATATTCACATCCACAATCTCAACCGACGCAAAAGCCTGCTTACCAAAAACCATCATCAACATACCCAGCAACCCCGTCGTCATATTCACAGCAATATCAGCCATCATCATACTCATCTGCTCAGCCACAAGTTCCAAATGCTTACTCATCAGCTTTGTATTCTTATACGCAACCAGCCTACCAGGTGAGTCATAGAAATTTTATTAATAAAGTTAGGTGCTAATTTGAGGAGATTAAAGCTATATTAGCAAACATCTTCTGCTGCATATTGATTACATTCTGATCTCTTTTTTTAAGCCTTATCAAACCTACGAAGGCTACCGTGCATGGCCCGCAGCTCCATCTCAAGTAGACTACAGCAGTTCACAAAGAAGCTCAAGCTCATCTTACACGACTGATGCCAGTAAGGTTCAAGATGCACGTCATAAGTACGAAAGTGCACTTACTGAATATGAAGCAGCACGTGCAGCTGAGAGTGTAAAGGCTAATGCAGAATACCAACAAGCTCGTGCCAGAGCTGAATTTGAAAGGATGAAGGCTGAATTTGAAAAATCTAGAGCTGATGATAGTGCAAGAGCAGCACAAAATGCTAGAATTGAATTCCAAAATGCTAAAGCTGCTGAGATGACTCAAGCTGAGCAGGAGAAAATGCGTGTTGATTATGAAAGATCGAGAGCTGACTACGAGAAGGCACAGATTGAGTATCAAAGATTACAGGCTGAAGAAGCAGCAAGAGCACAAGGAGACTACCAGCAAAGATATGCTGCATATCAAATTGCATTAGCTGAATATGAGAGAGCACAAGCTGGTTACCAAAACTCTCAAGCTGAGGAAGCTAGTTGGAACCAAATCAACTATCAACAGGCACTAGAAGATTCTCAGGCTCGAGCAAGAGCTAATTATGAAAAATATCATGTAGACCAAGCTGCTAGAGCTCAAGCTCAATACTCAAGTGCTCAAGCCGAACAATCAGCACGTGCTATGGCTGAATACCAAGCAGAACAATCCGCAAGAGCCATGGCTTCATATCAGGAAGCTCAAATAGATGCTCAAGCCGAACATGCTGCACAAATCGAATATCAAAGAGCACAGGCTGAACAGTCAGCAAGAGCAATGGCTGAATATCAGGGTGCTCAAGCTGATCAAGCAGCAAGAGCTCAAGCTGAATATTCACAGGCTGCTGAAATCGCAAGAATGCAGTACGAAAACTCAATGGCTATAGAAAAAGCACGAGCTATGGAAAGTTCACAAATGGAAATTGAAAATGCTAGAGCTGTAGCACCTATGAAGCATATCCCACAACCTGTCTATGCTGCGCCATCAGTACCTTACACCTATCAGAGCCCTGGACCATCTGGTAAGGTTTTTGTAATTTTTTAATAGCTTTTTTGTAACATTTTGACTTCTTTTTTAGTTCCATGTCCAACAAATCTTCTCTTCAGCTGTAATCCAAGTGTTGCACCAGTTCCATGTCAAAGTGTGACTTATGAAAAACCAGTCCCTCCTGCACCAGCACCCCCACCTCCTCCACCACCAAAATACACCAAACCAGCACCTATGCCAATGTATTACGAACCTCAATATAATTCTGATTTATCGTCAAAGCAGACCAAAAGAGAGAATGAAGTCGTCAATACATCAATTGATTCACTTGGACAGGTTGTTGGACAGCCAATTGCACCATTGGAACCAAAAACTGCTGCGTCTGATGACAGTTTAATTATTGCTGGACAAGATTGGTCTTGAATGTGACTTTAAATTTGTGGTGAATTTGAAAATCAGATTGAATAAAATTTTAAATTATTGAAAAAGTTGAAATTTTAAAAAATTAAATTTATTTCCTTTTTATTCATGTCATTTTAACAATCTTAAGGCTTGAAGTTAATCTTCTTCTTTGTGACAACATAAGCCAAATTATGATAATCAACTCCATTTTCTCTAAGTGTGTCTCCACTAGCAAGCATCATGTAGTAAGGCTTCTTAGTCAAATCGAATGTTGTCTTCTTAATCTTGACGGTGTCGACGCGCTCAACTTGACAGTAAATACGTCCATCAATAATCTTCGAGTCAACGAGTGTAATGATATCTTGTGGCTAGGTTGGCAATTAAAATATTAATAAGAAAAATAAATTTTTATATTAATGTCATAACTTACAATTCCTTCGCGTACAGAAGCATAATTAGCACCAACAACAGTCCATGATGAATAAGCTTTAATTTCATCACCTTCTTTAACACATTCCATAACCGAGTCATCTCCCATCTCTTTGTCAGTTGACAGACCCATTGCAATATATTTTGCACTTTTCCATGATCTCATTTCGAAAATTACTTTTCCATCTATAAGTCAGGAAGATTAGCATTAATTATGAGTTATAAGTGCATTTAGTAGGGATTTTCAGATTAAGTTTATAATGTAGTTTGTTTTGATGTGCTTGGGATTAGATCAACCACTTTTTCTTTTGTATCATCTGTCTCCCTTGGTTTAACACAATCCTTCCCCGTTGAAGTTAATAATATGTATAAAACTCATTGCTACCCCTTGAAGCAAATCCTACCCCTTAAAGTTCATGCTTACCCTTGCAGTCAATACTACCCCTTGAAGTCAATCCTAATCCTTGAAGTCAATCCTACCCCTTGAAGTAAATCTTATCTTATGAAGTCCATCCAACCCCCTTGAATTCAATTCCTAATCATTGAAATAAATCCTACCCCTTAAAGTTCATCCTACCCCCTGAAGTCAATTTTACTTCTTAAAATCAGTACTACTCTTTGAAGTTAACCTATTCTCATGAAGTCCATCCTATCCCTTGAATTGAATTCCTACCCCTTGAAATCTATTCCTACTCCTTGAAATAAATCCAACGTCTTGAAATTAGTCTTAGCTCTTGAAGGCAATTCTACCACTTGGAGTTAATTCTTACCCTTGAAGAGAATACTAACCCTTAAAGTCAATCATCATATAAATGGTCAAGTCAATAAACCCCTCTAAACATATTATCCACAAACTTCAGTTTAATCAGAGGGAGCTTTTCCTTATTTTACAATCTATATTATAAAATGTTAATAATGTAGTCACTAACCTTTCACATAAGTTGAGCTCATTGTAACACAATCTTTATCAGGAACGCAATCGCCAGGGTTTCCTAAGCATTGCTTTGTTGTGCCACATCCTTCATAAATATCATATTCACCGTGTGCACACGCGACTACGAGAAGCACAGCTAAGATGATTTTTTGGGCCATTTTTCTGAGAATTAAATTACAAAAAATATGTTACTAATTTTAGGTGTTATGGTTGTGATGATCCTTAGTAACTTGATAGAATGATAAACATTTTCTGAAATTAGATGCTGCAGCACGCGACATCAGAATTTACATTGCGTCATTTGCTACGTGATTCTTGGATCCTTTGTCATCTTATCAATGTAAGATGATATCTTTGTGTTTTGAATAATATTTTTAAAACATTATTTAAGGAACAAGAGGCTACATGGAAGCATTAGACAAATGATCCTTGACTTGACGCAAATATGTTAATGAAAATTTTGGATTTTGATGAGTTTTGAGTGTGCATGGGTGGGTTTATTGATGTAATTGCCCACACCTGCGTCTAATATTAGGTATTAAAGTAGTAGATATATAATAATTTTATAAGGATGTAGTTATTGGTTTGTCCAAAGGTTTTTATTGCCTAGACTGTAGATAATGTCTGTTTAGCAATAAAAATTGGCTCTTGAGAGGGTCAAACCTCATTAAGAATATGATTGAACCCTAAAACATTTTTCCATCTATTAAACAACAACTAGTGGGAGAGATTGGAGTATGAGTCGACACAAAACCTTCCAAACAGCTCACACAAGACAACATAACCTTGATGAGGACTTTAACATTTAATACATGCTTACCATACCCCAACATCTGATATATGATTTCTAATTACGTCGTAAAAGAAATAATAACAACATTATCCCCATTTAACCTGTTCATTGGCATAGAATCCTTCATCTCCACAACAAACATAACATATTCCATAAATAAAGTCATCACGTAAAGTCATTAGAGCGGAAACTGAGAAGAAAATTGCAAACTCATAACAAGAAGCCAATAGAAATTACTTATTTGTTGTATTAAATTTCTATGTCACAAGCATAAGATGAGACAATAGTTTCAATAGAATTGTCAACGACATAGGTCATTGATTCGTGAGGAAAACAATAGCAATTGATATTGAAGAGGATATGCTGATGATATTTTGGATGATTTGGCAGAAATAAGAAACAGTAGAAAACATGAGTGCATAAAAAATGGTAGCAAGGTACGTGAAAGTGGCAAACAATTGTTTGATTTTGACAAAAAAAGGACAGAAATTGACTGAATTTTGCTTTAATAAATAGGCTGTCCAACTGAGCTCTATTAACGCGTGACAATCCTACATTTTAGTCCAAAATTCAGCGTCTCGGCTTTTAAAAAAACTAGCTGTGCTGCTATTAAGTCAAAAGTTAATGGACAGCCTATTAGTAAAGGGATTCTGACTATGGACCTTTCCTTTTGTCTGTCAATAAAATTGCAATTTTCCAAACTTTCGTCATTGCTGAACAAAGTCAAGAAATTATAAATTCATTTGGATTTTTTTCCAGCTCATTTACTACTGTTTACTTATGAAATCACTAAGCATCAATAATTAAAAACAATATATTTTGTAAACAATCAGAATAATAAGCACATGCTTCTATTTTTGATATGTTTGTAAGTTTTTTTTTGCTCAAATTTCTCACGTACGCAACATTTTGATTTCTTGATAACGATTCTGACTTGAGATTTATTTAAATTATCATTAAAAATTGAATTATTTCTTTTTAGAATGTATTGAATGTCTTAAAAGTCAAAGACAGTGTTGTCCAAACTTTGTACCGCGGCACACTGGTGATCCGTTGCAATTTTTTTAAATGACGCAAGCCGCAAGCTGTGTGCGACTTTGGCAATGGCGTGCCGTGGCTCAAAAAATTTTGACCAAAACTGGTTAAAGAGATTGGTCGACGGTATAAAATGGACTTAAGAAGTACGATTGAAGCATTACTGAGTTAACGCTTTGATTGTTACAAATTTAAAGCTGTTTTAATTATTTTTTTGAAAATTAATGACATAAAACTTAATGTGTAGGATCATCCAAAAGCTAGTTTCTCGATTAAACCCTCCTGAAAAGCACACGTGGTATAATTGTTCAAAAATCCGATGCCATGTCGCAGTGATTCTGGAATGGAGCCTAATTTTAATCGTATCCAGCTGCATGTCAGAACCATTTGAGTCGAATTTCTGATCGGGTAATTGTTTTGAGCTTCCGGGCCTACGTTTAACTAGATTTGGTCCGAAAAATGGACAAAAAATCATTATCTGGAGCAGTGATTGCCAACCTTTTTTGTGCCACAGCACACATTGATGCTCAATCATAACAAAAACCATGGCAAACGGTTCGTGGTATTTATTGAAATTTTAATGATGACACACTAGTGTACGGCGGGACATGATTTGAGCATCACTGATCTAGAGCTAGGGTGACCATCTGCGTAGTTTTATAACGGACAGTCCTGTATTTCAAAACCCTGTCCTGTATAAATTTGAAAATTTTGTTCCAGGTCCTGTATTTTTTGCACGAAAATTTCCGTTAATTTTCAAACTTTCCTTTGTGTCCTGTATTTTTTAGGAAATTTATCAAATGTCCTGTATTTTCATAAAAATTAGATGGTCACCCTATCTAGATCAACTTGGACCGACTTTTCTTGTCACCATCAAATTTTGTTTAAAAGCCTAATTTTCAGTTCATAGTTTTTTTTTTTAAATCTAGAGCAAGCTGCCTCTAATAGTTTCAAAAATGGACCCCAAAGTCAGATAATTCTACTCTTAAATCTAATTTTGTGACACTTAATGCCAACAATAAGCTAAATTCAACCCCAACATACCTCATTTTATCAACAAAAATTCACACACAAAATCTAAATTCAGGTCACAAAAAGCACTGACGTAAATTCCAACAATTTTTGATAACGACACTACATTAAAGCCTTAGAAACTCTTACCTTATTTCAATTTATATTCAATATTCAGTCTCAATGTCAATGCCAATATACTCGACTCAAGAGTAAGAACACGACTGAGTGTAAAATGCTTTAAAGTAAGAATTTTGTTATTTGAGATAATCTGACTAAATGTAGAAAAAATTTCTCTCGCATCTCAGAACTGGTTCTCTGTTGTCAGGGATTATTGAGAATTTTAAAGAAATTTCTAATGAGAATAATGGAAGAGATTCTTTGAGGTTTTAAACACCTGACTTGTTGTTGTTGTTGATGATGCAGTCATTGACTTCTTTAAATGGTTATTTCTTTTATGATTTGTTATCTTATAAGTTGTTTTGCTTTTGGTTAATGCGAATGCGAAAGAATACTATTCTATTGGGGATTGTTCATAAATGACGTTCCTTTCCAAGTTGAGGAAGGGAGTGGACAGGTTTTTTATGTGTGAACTGACGATTTTAAAGAGGTCTTGACTTCATTGTCGCTAGCATGACGAGCAATTCTCATCAAGGGGTTTATATTCTAAAATCCAGTTTCTCAGCTCTGTCTAATGGTCATTTTCTTTGAGCTCATGAAAATTATGTTAATAATGTCTTGTAATCCAGCTTTTTATCTGACATTAGATGCAAATTATTCCTTATTGGATATTGAACTTATCAAGGTTAACATAATATACAAAAGGAACTCCTACGAATGTATTTTATAATAAATAATCAGATCAGGATAAATTCTCCAACATAAATGGCAATGAACCGTCTTAAAGTTCTTAGCTATTGAAGGTCTTTAAACAAATTGATTCTTAATTATTTTTTATGTCTCCCAGCTTGGGTGCTTCAAAACTTTTTAATATATTTTAAATGTTTTTTTTTTGCATAAATTTTTTTTTCAAGGTCAAAGAACATTTTTGTAAAAAGGAACCACAAAATACTCATTAATTTTGAATTCTTTGAATTTTTACAACAAATGACGTCAAAGAAGAACAAAATTGAAAATTTTTTAATTATTTCTTTGAGTCTAGAGTTTGTTGTCAGTTCTTTCATGAGGGGTCATTTATTTCAAATGACAAAATAAATAATAAGACTACATATTAGGTTAGGTACCCGGAGAATCAATAAAATTTAAAATCAATAGTGTAGCCCAATTAGAATTGCAAAACAGGTCGAGGGACAGGTGACAGATCGCAACTCTGAGCCGAATTATAGACAAGCTCTTTTGAACCATAGGACACTTTTGTGTTAAGCTATGAGCAAGACCGCACACACCATACGATTCCTGAGATTTTCAAATTTTATTCGCGGTACTCCGGTTGAACATCACTGGTGTAGCCTTAAATACTGTGTTAATAAATGTACCGAGGGAGTTAAATTTCTCAATAAGGGTCAATTATTTATTTTCGCATACATATTTCAGTCTCAAATGACTCCTATAGACTATTAAATCCCATTAATCCTTCTGACTATGTTTATAGTCTCCAGGAAGTTGGTTTAAAACTGAAATCCAAGTTTAAATCATAATAAGGCACGATTATGAATGTGATTTTGTAGCACACATTGGCCTTAAACTTCGATTATTTTAAAAATCGTCAAAAACTACAGTTCATTGTTTGAAAATTTAGCAGAGCTCGAAGTCGATAGGGTTCGAGTCAACTCCAGTTGACTAGACTCGACTCAAAACTTGAACCTCAAGTCGAGTCGACTCGAATTGACTCGGAGTAAATGAAGTCGACTTGAGAAAAGTTGAGTCAACTCGAGTCGACTTCGAGCTTTGAAATTAAGAATAAATATATTAAAGAATATAACCCGAACGTCACAAGTCGGGTAATCGATCAAATATCAAAACCATCTCCATGTCAGAGTCACGCAAGCTCAGAATCTGATTTTTTAACATTTTACCGACTTGTGCTATCCGGATAAAATTGTTGCCACATCTAACCCATCGTTCACTCATAAAGTTCTAGCTACGCTACATAATATAGTCATTATTAGCATATACACTCTATAGTAGTAACAATAATAATAGTTTACTAAGGACAGCTGAGGTATTAAAATGTTGTGACGTGAAAAGGGGCTGTTCACTTATTACGTAACGCGAAAAAATGACTTTTTAGACCCCCCCCCCCCCCCCCTCGTAACAAAATTTGTATGAAAAAAAAATTTCCTTGTTTGAACCGTAACAAAATCTTAGACCCCCCTCCCCCCCTAAAAGCGTTACGTAATAAGTGAATGGCCCCAAAATAAATTTAATTAATTTTGTGGAATAATTTTTATTGAAAAAGATATCAAAAAATTCTACACTTTTCTTCTCTTTTGATAATTTCTACAGCTTTTCATACTTAACAATGTCTTAAGATGGCTTATGGCCCTGACAATTTGATAATTCACAGAATTATTAAATAAATTTTCATAAATCACATCTATTTTTTTTTTTTGAATTTTAAAGCAAATATTGAGCATAATTTAGAGACTAAGGTGACATTTGGTTCAAAATTTAATAATCTAATATCCTAGACATGGGGTGGATTTAGAAATGTAACAGACTATTAAGTCAAACCTCCAAAAAATTACACCCCAGCATTGCTCATACTACATCACCCACTTCCATCCCTAAACATAAGCATTTAATGTCTTCTGCGATATCGCATGTCCCAAATTATGAATCTGAACTCTATCTGTCTTAACTTTACTTCCTGTTGCCATCAATAAATAAAATCTTCCACTTTTTAAATCAAATGTTTTGCCATCAACCACAGACGACTCATCACGTTCAATCACACATGAAATTCCATTTTCATCACTTTTGCCTGATTGTAGTCTGATAATGTCCTGTGGGATTCCATAACGAATTGCATCATATGTGCCACTCTGACGAATTGTGTATGATGAGTAAACTTTCACATCACTTCCTTCTTTGACACATTCCATTGCTGAATCGTCGCCCATTTTACGATCAAATGAGAGGGCTGTTGCGATGTATGCTGCATTTGGTGCTGAGTGCATTTCGAAGAGATATTTTCCGTCTAAAAATAGAATAAAATTAGATTTTTTGTGATTTTTAATGCAAGAGGCTATTTTGAAGACATTTGTCCGCACTAAGGATGAACTGAGAATATTTTCGGAATTTTTTTCATTTAGGCTTACAAAATTGACCCGTCCAGCACTCAAATTAACCCCCACAATGATAAATACCAACCCTTCTGATACGAAGCAGCAAATGCCTTGCATGAATTCTTCTTCACACATCCAGATGGATATCCAATACATATTTTAGTGTCACCACAGCCTTGATACATTGGACTTGCTTCAACTTCATTTGGTTTTGATATTCTGAGTCCAACACTGTAACTCATGTCGCGAAACATTGTTGTGTTAAAGATTGCGAGCATCCAGTATGGCAGCAACATGATTGTGGGATAAAAGGTTCTTTGGTTTGTTGGTCTAAAATTGAAAATGTAAAATAATTGGGTGTTAAGTTGGTTTTGTAAAGAGAATGGATGTTCTGTCAGTTGTGGACGAGGACTTTGTTCTTGCAGTTTACTGACTAATCTACAAGTCGTAGAGTGAGATTTGATCATTATAAGCTTAAATAGACCTACTAAATGCGCAAGGTTTAGAGGAAGAGCAAACAAGTACCATTCAATCAGTTACAGACATTCTTAAAAAACTAAAATGACAGGCAATCTCTAAGATGTCTTAAATGGTCAACCACCCTTAGCTGCACTCCAAGTCAGACTAGATTAATCTCATTTGAACAAACAAACTTAATTCTGCCATAAATCCCACGAGATTAAACCTTTAAATTGATAAACCATTCCCTCGAGTCATACAATTAACCCAAAGATTAAACAGTCTCTGCAGATAATCAAACGTGACTGATTCAGCACAACATTGATAACTTAATCATTAAAAAAGTGACTCATTTGCTATGGCCGTTAACTCATAATGTGGTGGTCGTATTAAAAAATATTATCAATAAATCCACAAGAGATCACTGAAAAGTTCATTTAATTACTTTTCAGAACAAATCGTGTCGACAAGCGATAAAAAATGAAGAATAAACTTTTTTTAATGATTAATTTAAATTGAGACACAGATGTTTATTGTAAAGTGCAGCAAGCTTGACAAATGGGAGCATTAATTTATTATGATTTATTGCGGTTGAATGGAATTTAATTATATTGGTCACTGATATTGGATTGAGATGAAATTGGATGATGTGATGATGAGTTTAGTCGATGGTATGAGTCATAATTGGATGTAGAGGAGGAAGGAGGGATGTTCAGTGCTGTGTTTAGCTTAAAGATTGCGGTTTTTCACATGATGTACCCCAATTTTTGTATAATCTTATCAAAACTGCTCAAAACTAGCACATAGCATGTTTAGCTAATGTATACGTACACTACTGTGACTTGTATAATCTCCGGACTGCAGTATGCTGTATGAATACCAAAAAAACTGCTTTAATCACAAATCAAAAGATGATAAAATGATTTTCAACAAGTTTTGATCATATTGTATCATCTTCTATGACTGTGCCAGTTCCACATCCTTAACCCTAGTCCACAATACAGAGGCGTAGCCAGGAATTTGAAGGGGGGGCAATTTTTTTGTATGGAAAAATTTAAGGAGGGGGGGGGGGGGGGAGTTGTGATTTTTTCATTAAAACCCTAGCAAAATAAAGAAATTTCATTTTTTTTTGGGAAATTTGTGTCCCAAATCCCCCCCCCCCCCCCCCCCTCCCCTGGCTACGCGCCTGCCACAATAGCTCAATAAGAATTCTCAAAATTAAATAACTCATGATGCATCAAAAAACAGTCTCAAAATATCATAAAAACCGCAATAAAAACAACTTTTTTATCACTCAAATGGCAAAGATTTAAAAAATTTGATGCATTGATATAACATAAATATCCACAATACATAGAACCACATTAGTATTCCACATAAAAGCTAGTTCATATGTATTAAACACCACTTTACAGATCACCATGAACACGTGCGTACAACACAAACAAAGAATCCGGCAAAAATACTTTTAAATACACAATTTGTGTGTCTTGTTTACATAGATTTTCTTCATTTATTTCTTTTTTCGTGTTCTTATGTCACTATTATGTGTGCTGAGATAATTTGACTCATGTGAGACAATTGCCGAAAATATTTTGATTAAACTCAAGTGAATTGCTGTGATTTCTTCTTATTTATGCTGATTGTTCGGCTAGTTTATGTGATAATTGATAGGCTTGGTTTGGTGATGACTGGTTCAAGATCAAGTTGGTCTAGCAATGACTGATTCGAGATCAAGTTGTGAATAGATTCAAAAACAAATCCGGTAGGTAAAGCAATGTTTAACCAATCAGTCCTTTAGGATTAAGCTGTTCGTACCTTAGATCTCAGAATAGAAGACATCTTTGTAATGCCACTGAAATCAGTTCTTGATGGATATGAACTTCAGATTCACATACAAGACAGATATTTCATGAAAAATTGATAGAATTACATCACAAAATTAGGACAGACTTTAGAACAATTAAAATGCTGATTATGATGAAACTGCATCGAAATATTGATGATCAAGATGCTGAAAACAGGATATTTCACCCAGAGGCTGGTGCCTTGCAATGACTTATTTTAAAGGCATCGACTTGCTTTAGGATAAACAAAGCTAGTATATCAGAACTAAAGCAATCTTAATCCCAACTCTCCATGTCCTACACGACTCACTTATTTTATTTAACACTGTAAATCCCAAAAAGGTATAGCGAACATAAGTACTATGGGTCCTCGATTTGAGTAGATTCGATTTGATTACGATATTTCTGGAACAAAACACCTACTCAAATCGAGGACCCCCAGTATACTTCTGAGAAAGAACAGAGGTATACTTAGTATTAAACAATTGAACCGCAATGCCTCCAGCTGAAAGGCTGGGCCCTTGACACAATATTATCATAGTATTGGACATATCTTATCATACTAGGTTTATCCTTTTTCAAATTTACTTATTCTGAACCATTAGATACTATTGAGAATTCGGTCATTAATACGACAGTGTCATGCAACATCTGAGTCACTCCTGACTTCCACTGTACCGGTATGCTTAATATTAACTCTAAACACCAGCTACAATGCCTTCAAAAAAGTCTGATACATCCAATTACTTAGATAAACTCACTCTTTTCATTCATCATTATTTACGTATTTTTCGACTTCTTCTTCATCATTCATGCCTTACTTACCACTCAAAAAAAGTCCGTGCTTACCGGTTGGGAGACAAATCGAGACTGAGAGTTGAATAAATATCAGAGAAATTATTTGAATAATTTTCTGTCTGCTCTCCGCACTTTCATTTTCCTTAATGTATTTTGTTGTTGTATGTCTCGTGTCTGGCTCTCATGTCTGCGGAGAATTTGAGAGAATTTGAGCATACTGAGCGTAACTTTTCAAGAAATTCTCCCAATTTTCCGTCCGACTCTCACAAATTCCTATCCGATTCTCTCAGAGAAAATTGTCTCGGGACACGAAATGAAATTGAAAGTGAATTTTTACAACAAAAAAATGGCACTTTCACTGTCTGCTGTCTGGGATTATTTACACTTTCAATATCTACTCGTGCATATCCTGTCGGCTCTCTCAATTTTCCAGTGCACTTTTTGTCTCGTGTATTTCTCTTGAACTTGAGTGATTTTTATTCAATTCTCATTTCTGATTTCTATTAAGGACTGCTTTAAAGTGAATTTTATACGTAAGCAGTTTTGAGTGAGATTTGGTGAATGGAAAACTTTTTTGAAATTAATACAAACTCTATGCCATGAGCGGTTTTGATCGTGGTTTACCATTAAGGTGGGGACATCATCAATCAAGAGCTAAGGACATGGATCATCAGGGAGAAAATCACTCTTGTGGACCAGTTTTATTTGAATTTAAATTCATTTTTGATAAGCAAAAAAAAATTCTCAGTCCTCTGAAAACCAAAGCAGATAGTCAGCCTAATCTATGCCTCATCTTATTATGACTGCGGAAATTTCTTTAGCCATCAAATCTAATCAGACTCTTTGTTATTTGCTCTGATTTCTATTTCACAATAAAATATTTAATGACCTTATTAACTTTAGTCTTTACTCATTTAAAGCTTTATAGTTTGTTCATTTTTTTTGGATTCTCTTTAAAATTGTTTATTTTTATAATCAATTGAGAGTATTTTTTTCGTGGCCTGAATGTTGTCATGTAAATGGTTGATTTGGAAATAGAAAGTTTTTGTTTGGGGCTGTTCACTAATGACGTTTATCAAAAAGGTAATTTTTAAAAAAACCCTTCACCCCCTCTGTCACAAAACTGTCAAAGATGTTAATACTCCCCCCCCCCCCCCCCCCCCCATATGACGTCCAATCAAAGACAAAAAAAAATCACGATTTCCTGATTTAAAAATAGGATGCCACAAATTTCTTGACCCTCTTTTCTCCCCTGTCACAGTGTGTCATACGTTTTTTGACCTCCCCCCCCCCCCCCCCCCCCCCTCCCCCTCCAAATTTTGGACATCATAAGTGAATGACCCATTTGATGATTTTGTTTTTAATTTGTAAAAATGATTGTGTGTTGAACTTTGTCAATTAATTGAGACTTAGTTTGCCTTTATGGCACAATTGGACATTTTATTGCAACTTTTCTACATTAAGTGCCATTCAAAAAATAATTAAATTTTTATCAAGGCGTGGAAACTTAGGATTAATCCTGAAAAATCCCAAAAATCTTAAAAAATCTCTGAGTCAATAAACATGAAAACCTGAAATCCCTCTTAAATCCCGAAATTATTAATCAGATGTAGGGGTTTTCAATCCGGGATTGAAATGTATGTAATCCCGGGATCAAACCCGGGATTCAGTACATTTTGAACCCGGGATTTAAAACCCTAATCAGATGAATCAGGGACTTAAAAGGGATTTCACATTTCCATGTTTATTGGCTCAGGGATTTTTGGGATTTTTCAGGATCAATCCTGAGTTTCCACGCCTTGATTTTTCTCAACCAAAATTAATTCAGAGGCCTATTTCTAGAGCTACCCGAAGCAATAAATCATCGTTCCCTAATACCTGAAGCTCAATACTCTAAATTCATAGGTTTAGCCAAGAGAGCTTTCGAAGAAACTACTATTGTGTGGGAACAGGGAGTCCATTGTTATTTTTTTTTAAAAAGCCACACTTTGAGTTTTAACGCAATAACCCCAGAGCTTTAAAGCAACTAATGGTGTAAAAAAAGACTACAAATTATAGCCCAAAAAATTTGTCAGAGTTCAATCCAGGAGGGAAAATGTAGATTAATAGCCAAATAAAATTAACCCATCCAATAGTCATGTCTACATATCACCCACGCAAAAAACCATCCCATAAAAGCAGCACTCTATCATTTAAATAACATAAATCAAACCTCACTCCAAACACTTCTCAAAATTCACACCACAAAAATCCCATTGACATCATGTACGACACGTTCATATGGAAGCATAAAGCACAAAGGATACACAAACACTCAATTAAGCAATTAAACTGATACAGCTTACAGGCATTGAATAATTAAATGAACGAAGTACTCAGAACAATTAAATTAATTTACCGTATGCTGTATTATGACACATCCGTACATGAAAATGTCACCAAACAATAATCCGATTAAAACCTATCAAAAGGAATTCATGTGAAAATTCCACAATGTATTTACATGTAAAGCATAAAAGCCATAAGCTGATGAAAATGCAATGATAAAGTTTGGTTGCAGTTTTGTGTTCAGCAATTAATTGAAGAGGATTAAATGGGAAAATTCCTTTTGTGTGGTGCATGAATGGTGATGTGAATGGATGGAAATTTATAGCAATTACAGTTGTGGATGCTTGAATGGTTGGATAAAGCTGCATAAAGGTAATTACATTTTTTCTGTGAATCTGTTATGGAAATGTGAATGGAATTTTGTGGGGATTTAAATTGTGGTTGGTATTTAATGAGTTGTGATGGCTTTGTGGATGTTTTTGGAGTTTTGAGGTGCACTTTTGGAATATTCAGGATGCTGCTTTAGAATTATCGATGAGGGTCATTTGTGGGTGCGGTTTTAAAAAATTAATGAGACAAAACCACTTAATTTGATGATTGATGAAGAACAAAAAGAACAGAATAGCTTACAACTGATACTAAGCTTGCATCGGGCCAGCAAAAAGCTTTAAGAAGGCCTGCTGACATAGGTTTTGGTTTTGAAACTCTTGAAACTGAAATTTTTGAAGTCTTTCTAATTCCAGCGTTGTGAAACAATCTGACAAGAGCCACCCTGAGCTGAAGAGTTATAATAGCAAGAGCAAGAGCAATACCGAGCTATTATAACATTTGTGCTGAAGGTTTACTAATTTTGTGGTTTACAAATTATAGTTTCTAGTGTTGCGGTCCCAGTTTGCTATTATTTGCCTACTCAGTGGACTAATAAGTGCCCCTGAAGGTTGGCTGTCACTCTGCTTGAGATTTTAGTAAAATGTCCTCTCCATCGTCAACTTTTTGAGTGCTTTTGACATTTCTTTTGCCCAAAAGTATGCTGTCTATAGAATTATGAATGATTTCAGCCTTAAAGAAGCGGAACTGTCCGAATAAAAAGAGCTGACTTTTCTCACCAAATTCAATAAAATTCCTTAATAAATCCAAAAAGACATGTTCATCCAACCAAAAGATGTAAGTAGTCGCTTAATAATTTCTCAAAAAATTAATCTCAAAATTAATTCTACAAATCTACAACAAAACTGTCACAAAATGTGCAAAATTCACGATAAATCTCGTGACATGCTGCAATAATTCAACAAACTCGTGTCATTTTAATCGTCAAAAATTCATCAAATTACAAATCACGATGAAAGTTTCAAATATAAAAGCTCAATTAATTTAAATAATTTTCTACATAAACGGTGAGAATACAGCCGAGTTATTATCATCAATCCGCATGTTTTTGTGTTTTTTTTTCTTTCTATAACTCAATATAATCGCATCTCAGAGTCTCAATTGATCGGCAAACTTACTCGCATGAGGACGTCGATCGCGGAGATTTTTCTTTAATAGAACAAATTAAAATAAAAAAAAAATAACTCAAACTCTTTTTTTCATGTGTGTAAATTGATAAAGAATTGCTTGAATGAGAGAAATATTCAGTGCGGCTCAGCGTTTTATAAGTCTGGTTATAAAGACATTATTGTGAATATTGCAGTTAAATTTGATTGAATTTGAGTCGTTTGTCACATGGAAAGCTGATGCTTGGTGTTACTAAGTGAGAAAAAAATTTAAAAAATATTATTTAAAGTTCAAAAAATCAAGAATTTAAAAAGAAATTTTTTTAAAAATAAAAAAATAAAAACAAAAGAAATTTTAAAGGTTTTTAAGAATTTTAACATTCGGACAGAGTTTTTAAAAAAAATATAACAAAAGTTCAAACAAAACTTAAAAAAAATTAAAAACTGTTTTAAGAAAGAAAAAAAAATTTTGATTTATATTTAAAAATAATACGTATAGAAATTTTAAAAATCGAAGACAATTGTCAAAAAGTAATTTATTAAAAACTTTAAATTTTTTTTAAACTTTTTAAAAACTTTTTATTATCTTTTTTAATTTCTGAAAACATTTTTTTATTGTTTAAAAAAAATTGGAATTTAATTTAAAATTTTTGAAGTTTTTTAAAAAAATTCTAACATTTTTTAAAAGTTTTATATTTTTTTTAAGTTGATCTTTTCTCTAATTTTGAAAAAAAAAATTTAAAAAAAAATAAATTTAAAAATGCCAAAAGTTTAAAAATTATTAAAATTTTAAAATTATTATTTTAAAAATAACTAAAGAATGTGATTAAACAGCAAAATTTAAACAAAACTTAATAACCATCAAAGTGGAAAAAAATAAAAAGATTCAAAGAATCGTGGCACAAAAAAAAGAATTGAGTGAGGTTAGTGAGACAAAATCAGCTGGCAACAGAAAGTGAAGAATAAAGAGAGAATTGAGACTTGATTAAATATTGAGAATTTATGCTCAAAAAGACTGTTTAAACTAACATGTACAGTTTGACTAAAAAAAGGTATTCGAATGTGTAAAGATAGCAAAAAAAAATAAAGTAAAGAAACAACAACAGAACGGCCAATTGAGAGCTTCAAAAGTGAAAGAGAGGATTTAAATTTATTAAATTAATTGTTTTTGGCGATTAAGTAAAAGGAAATAACAAGTTTAAAAAGTTTCTCAATGTCTAATTAAATTAATAAATTGAAATTTCTCAAAAATCAAGTCAATTACTTTGAAAAACAGACGATTTTGAGTGAAAATAATTTTTAAAATTTAAAATAAAAATTCAGTGATAATAAAATTAAAATTAAACAATAAAGTCATTAGTGTTGCTATTTAAGGTTGTGAACTAGTTTGTGGACATCAGAGCAACGCTTGATAAGCTTCAGTAGCTTCGGATGAACAATTTTACTAGTTTAAAACCTTTAGAATATCAAAATATGCTCAAAATTGACTGAAATATTCATCATAATAAAGCAAAAATAATTTTTAAAATTAAAATCATCTCAACATTCAACAAACCATCACCAAACTCATTAATCCTCACCAAATCCACTTCACAATCATGTATCCAAGTTCCTACAGCTTATCCACTAAGCGTCCACCACCGAAATATTCCGATTTCACCGGCTACGGATGGATCATCGTCACATGCAGCTTCATTCTTTACCTCATCGTGGATGGTATCGCATACAATCTCGGTCTCATCAACAGCGCATGGCTAGCCGAATTTAAACAAAGCGAAACTGCAACATCCTGGATTGGTTCAATTTTCTACTCCGTTCCACTTCTTTCCGCACCAATAACTGCACAACTCGTCGAAAAATTTGGTTGTAAAACGATAACGATTATTTGTAGCATTATCAGCACATTTGGATTTGTGATGTCGTCATTTTGCGGGTCAATAGAGCAATTATACTTGACGGTTGGTTTGATAGCTGGATTTGGTGCTAGTGCTGCATATGTTGTTGGAATTTTGAGTGCTGAGCGATGGTTTGAGAAGAACAGGACCCTTGCAATTGGAATTGTGTCATCTGGAACAGGTTTTGGGACTTTTTTGATAGCTCCAATCACTCAGAGACTGCTGGATGCTTACGGATGGAGAAATGTCATGTATTTTTTGGCGAGCTTGAATGTTTTGATGGGATTTGTAGGATGTTTCATTAGAGAACCGCTGTGGGTTATAGAAGAGATGGAAAAGAAGGGCATTAGAGAGCCCAAAAAGAGTGAAAGTCATGGAATATTTGAGGAACATGAGACTAGCTTTGGAACTTTTAGGAGATTGTCTATTGAAGCTATTGATGATATCAAGGATGTTGTTCGAGGTCATTTCAGTGAGCATTACAGTCATTTAGAGGAAGTTGTAGAGGAAAAAGTGGTGAATTTTGATAATTTTGAGGAAATCGTAAGAGAGTCTGAGGATGTAAACAACATTGATGCTGTAGCTACCTCAAAAGGTGAGGTTAGGTTAATCACTGGCCCAGAAAGTGAGATTATGTCTTTAAATCTTCTACAGAATGAGGTTGAACCATCAAAATCACAATACAATCTGGTCACAACAACAAACACAACATCAGAGATCCCAAAAAATCAGCAAAGTGAGGTTATGTTACAGCACACAACAACAGTTCTTCAATCAAACATCACAAACTTACAACACACTCCGTTTAGACATAACATTGAACAGCAAATAATCGTGCATGATTCTCAAGAACACAGTAATCTTGAAAATAGTATAAACATTATGAAAACTGAGACAAATACATCATCTAGTGCTAATGTCGATTCTCATACGTCACACCAAGAAATTGAGAATGAGAGAATGACAGTGCAATTACCTCAAACAGAAGACGAAGATTATCAGGAAGAGAATTCGGGGTTAAATGGAGATTATGAGCATTGACACCGATTATAGCTGTTAAAAATATTAGAGAACATTGTGATGACTGTCATTGTATGAGTAAGAATGATTTGAGGTCAAAGTTTGGTTCTGGAGGGCTTCAAAGTGTGTCAAAAGTTGATCAAGTCTTTACTATAAGTGGTCAGGATTTAAAGAATAATCCTGAGAATCTTAAAATTTGTCAGCATAATGGAAATAACCTCAAAAATAGACACAGCACAATAGAAATCAACAACAACTTCCAGAATCACAGTTTTGAGAATAAGTTCAGTAAAAGTGACCCGAACCTTGGAGCTGGCATCAAAGTAGCCAAATCATATCATTTCTCCAACTCTAACAACCACCAGCTTCCTTCATATACCCAAGTCTGCTACAACTTCCAAAACCAAGACACAAACAATCTTCAACCATCCCCACAACCACCAAAGAAGCCTCAAATTTCAACAACAATCCTCGAATTTATTAAAAATAAATTCAAAGTCGTCAAAAAATTATTTTCACATTTTTCGAATCGTGACTTTACACTCCTGGCTATCTCGACATTTGCAATCTATTCTCTCTACAACATCCCCATATATTTCATAATTGAGTTGTTAAAAAATTACGGCTACACAGAGCCTCAATGCGCAAACTACATATCCTTAATAGGCATCTCAATTCTTATTGGAATGATCACACTTGGATATATTGGCGATGTCAGCGGTAACCACGTGAAGAATGTCAACGCCTTATGTGTTTTAGTTTGCGGCATTTCCGAAATTTTACTTCCAAGTTGTGCTGACAATTCAATCACATTCGGCATTTGTTGTTTCTTTTTTGGATTCTCATTTGCATCGGCGTATGTATTGATTCCGAAAATAGCCGAGATGATTGTTGGTGTTGAGGCATTTGCATCGGCAATTGGATTAAACTTTTTTGTGCAAGGATTGGCTCTGCTGGTCGGCATTCCGTTTGCATCGACAATTTACGAAGCGATAGGAAGGTGAGTGATTGATAATTCGGGAAAATGTGAATTGATGGTCATTGGATGGATGATTTTGAATTGAGGTTTTAAGAGGTTATCATAGAAATGTTCATTTCGTTGCTGTTTGTCTGTCTGGGTGTTTTATTGACATCCATTCTAGACACCTCATTCTACTTGACACAGCATTCATCATCATAGTTAAGGCGTAATGATGTCTAAATGGCTAAGATAAGACGGTGTGGCTCAGTAAAGCAATGTTGTCTAAACTGTGTGCCGCGGCACACCAGTGTGTTATAGAATTATTTTCGAAATGATACGAGCCACATGCTGTATACGATTTCGATCATGGATTACTCCTAAATTGTGTGCCGTGGCGCAAAAAGTTTGGACAACACTGGTATACAGGAATGATGATTAAATGCGCCTTTGACAGTTGACTTTTACACTTGCATATCGATGAAGCTTGTGCAAGCTTGCATTAATGCGCATATGTATGTTCAGTTGTCCTTTATAAACATAAATTTTTTTGGCACAGCTGGTTGCATCCAGAGTTATGATTTTATTGGGTCAAGCTATTATGTGAAAATAAATTTGAATTTTATTTCATTTGTTTTTTATTTTTCTTTATTTTTTTTTTTAATTTTTATTTATTTTATTCAGTTGGAAAATTGCATTCGAAATTTGTGGAACCATCATTTCATTTGGGAGCATATTTGCATATTTAGTGAAAGTAGATAGACAATAAGCTAAGAAGCCTAAAGGAACAATGAACAAGCTTTAATATTAAGTAGCCGAATCTTCCTAGAAGCAAAAGAAAAAATGTGAAATAAATTTAAAAAATTAAGAAAAAATAAAATAAAATAAAATAAAATTTTTTTATATATTTAAAAAAATGATTTTTAAAATATTCTAATTTTCAGGAATTTTACAAAAAATAATGCAAACGACTTTGTTTTTAATACCGAATTCTCGCTCATTCATAAAAAATTATAAACAAATTATAAACAAAAATTATTAAATTTCTTCCCAAAAAAGTTCTTAATTCAGAACAAAAAAAAAATTTAATCCACTTCGATCTTGGCAGGACTCGAACCTGCAATCTTCTGATCCGTAGTCAGACGCGTTATCCAATTGCGCCACAAGACCATGCTATTTGTGTATTTCGCATTTGACTTCATCCCTATTTCAGCACGTGATGAAAATTGATGAGAACAATTTGGGAAAAGATCAAAAATTGGATTTGGCGGGAAAATGAATTCTGTTTCAGATTCAAGAATGTTCTAGATGGAATGGAGTGGAATTTGGGGTGCGATTTGGTTTTGGAATGGATGGGAATGTGAAATGGAATTTTTAAAAATTGAGGAAAAAAATTAAAAATTGAAATAAAAATTTTTAAAAATTTTTAAGAATTTTTGAATTTTTTCAAAATTGTTTTATTTTTTTTTTGATTTTCAAAACAAAAAAAATAAATTTATTATTTTTAAATGTTTAATTAAATATTTGAATAATAAAATAATTTTTTAAATTTCACCTTTTTCTACTTTACATCAAAAAATTTAAAAATTATTCAATAAAAAATATAAAATAAAGTCAAAAAAGTAAATCACAACGATCTTGGCAGGACTCGAACCTGCAATCTTCTGATCCGTAGTCAGACGCGTTATCCAATTGCGCCACAAGACCATGCTGTTTCCAACTTCACAGTTGGGTTCGTTCTTGCAAAATGACGTATTTGAAGTTCGTAAGAATCGAAAAAGATCGAATTGACGAAAAAGAATGGCGGGATGATCGGACTTTGTTCGGGTTTTTATGAGAATTTTTTATTTGATTAAGTTTCAAAAATATTTTTTTTTTTATTTTTTTTAAGTTTTTCAAATTTTATTAAGTTTAAATAAATTGAAAGAATATAAAAATTGGTTTTTTAAATTTAAAAACTAGATGAAAATTAAAATTAGAATTAGAAAAATTTATAATTTTGAAAAAAAAAATATTTTATATTATTCAAGATTTTTAAAAGAATTAAAATATTATTTTCCAAAAAAATGTGTGAATTTGAAAAAAAAATGTTAAAAGTGAAAGTTTTAAATTTAAATGTTAAAATTAAGCTTATTTACACAAACAGCAACGGCAAATGCACACAAAAAGAGCAATCACGATAAAAGCAACACAAACAATTCCAATCGGTGACACAAAAAAGTCTTCAATTCGACAAAAAACTTCGGCAACTTGAATATGATTTTCAACGTCTTCGCTAGCTTCTTGTGGATTTGTTAATGATTTCCAGCTCACAAATTTCCTTTCCAGCTCTTTATCTTCGAACTTTTCAATGATACAGCTGGCAATCTTTGGTTCTTCAGAATATCTTGACTGCAAATGTTCAGCCAGTCCAATGTAAAACCCAGCATTTAATGTGTCGCGTATTATGTCACAGTAAGCAAAAGTTAAACATGAAGTTGCGAGAAATGCAAACAGAGTCAACTTACTAGAATGAAAGAAATGTTTATTTTAAGGGTTTAAAGTTACAGATTTTACGAGGAGTCAGCATACTTCATGATTATTTAGGTTTGTTGATGCTTGGTTGATACTTTGTAGATGCTTGTTGATGGAACTTCTGTATGAAGCGTTAGGAATGTTGAATATTGCCGGAACTTAAATTATGAAATAAAATTTTGTAAACAGTTTTATTTAAATAGTGAAAAATTGAGTTTTGTTTATAAAAATTTAAAATTTTCAGTAATTTTTTTTAAATAAAATTTTAAAAAAAAATTGAATAAATTTAAAAAAATAAAACAAGTTTTAAAACTTTATTCAAAAAACTGTGGTTTAAAAATTTCTTAAAATTTCACAATAAAATTCGCAATAACTTTTGAAACCATTTTGAATTTTTTTTAAACAAAAAAAAATAATGTTAAATTTTCTCACTTCAAACTCTTCAGCGTGGCTTTCAATCTAAGACTAAGACAGCTTTTTAAAAAATATGACGAAGTGGACTGATTTTAATTTGTAAATAATTTGTCAGCAACATTGCTATGTAGATATGCTGAATGCAATTTGATTTGCTGCACACAGTTGAAGAACCACTGCTCTATAGCATGCTTTAGCAGTGGTGGACAACCTTTTTTGTGCTTCGGCACACATTGGTGGTAAGCCGTCACTAAAATTGCACCAGCGTTGATACAAAGTTGCCTTTGCCAAGATTTTGCTTTTGATTTAGCAAAGTCATGCCTTTGCAAAGGCACAAAAAAAGCAAAGACCAAAAAATTGCATTTGACAAAGGCAAAGGCTCGTGTCTTTGAATTCAAATTACCTACGCTTAAGTCCACCTTTTTAAAGTCAAGTGCTAGGTATTAACACTGAATTGCACAAGATATACGATTTGTAAACTCGTTCAACTCAAATGTGCCGTAGCACACGGGTTGCAGATCACTGCTCTATAGTATTTGAATAGCTAAAGTAGGAACTAAGGGAAATTAATGTACATTCCTAATGAAAACTCTTTTTTCCGGTTCCTTTTCTACTTTTGATTCGCCTAAATCTTTAGGGGACTGAAAAAGCCGTTCGCTGTGTAGAATAAATCTTATGGCGACTCACAGATATTATCTACAGCTCAGCCATAAAAGTAGAAGGCAATTTTTCAATTTAAAATTGATTTGATTTTCTTACTCAGTAAGTATTGTGAGTTTGTGTCTTATAAGACGTTAAAAAATTGTTTTTCTCGAAAATTCCCGAAAATTTTAACTTTAATTTTCATAAAAATGAATTTCAAGAAGATTTTACTATTTTTTACATTATTGACAGTTGCGAAATGTGAAAATCTTTGTGATTGTGGAAAATTTATAGACATAAGAGTTACACAAAATGATAATAAACATCAAATTGACTTCAAGTCATTTGAAGAATTTCTCAAAAATCCGCTAATTGAAGGTCGGAGGCTTTATGTCGTTGGAAATTATGGAGAAACTGACGTCCTTAGTGGTGTCATATTAAATGAATTGTATGAAAATGTAAGTTTGAAGTTCAGGGTTAAATACTTCAGTGGCTAGTTTTTAAGGCTGTTTGGGGCATCAGAGACATTCCACTGACTATACACTCATTTCAAGAATATGTCTTGGTAGCGTAGAGTAGATAATCCTAGGTAAATACCACGTTCATCCATAAATATCGGCGTAGTGGCTTCGATTAGGCTCAAAGTGTATTAAAATCCTAATTTTGTGAGCACTTCCGAGAGACAGCTGACCTAATACCTAAAATGGAACAACAGTGGTTCTTTACTGATGAACAATTCCCTTAAAAATACTCAATTAAAACCATATTAATTACAATTTACATAAATTCCATTCCAGTACAAACCAATCAACTCCCCCGACTGTCTCGTCCACAAATCAAAATTCACATCTCTCATTGACTCCAAATGCTCATCAATGTCAAACAACACAGCATCAATTCAATTATGGAATGATATTTTCCTCTATGAATCACAAAGTAATCATAAAGTTGCTATAATTTTTGTAAATGTAAAGGCTCAACCTGATCAGTCGCAATATGAAAGTAGAATTTTTTCAGCGCTTTCTGGATTGATGTCGACGATTTATTTTGTGCTGGGTGAAGAGAGCTTTTATAATGAATATTATGGGAAGGAGGTAAGTTGGGGCTGGGTTTGATGATACTTTTAAGAATGCTGGTGACTCATTTGAGTCCTTTTTGTGACTGCTAATCCTAATCTGTACAACATAGCTTCTTTATTTAAAAGAATTAGAGACCTTTGACAATGACTTGACTATTATTGACTGTAAATAGCATTGATGGCAGTTCTACAGTGAAGATACCTTCTTTAGATTGAAATAATAGCAAGACAGAGCCTTGATAACTACAAAAGGAGGTCAGAACCTCTAATGCTTGTTTCTATTGCTTCATAAGGTACCCTAACTTATAAACAATGATATTTAATTTTGATTCCAGTTTAATTAGCTTGAAGTAGCCCTAAAAGTCAGCTCATAGATATCTTAATACCAATTGACATTATATTTGCATAAAACTCAATTTAATCTAATAATTCTAATTTTATTGTAGGCCCAAGAGTGCGACTTTCACTTCCACATTAACGAACTTGATCAAAGGAATGAAATTGACGAGTCAATCCTCGAAATTCACAGCATTTTGTCACATCAGAACATTGAAATGCACGAGGACTTACATTTTGCTAAGGAAAATCTGAAAATTTCAAACTTTATTGACATTTTTAAATTCGGTGCTGATAAAATCGCTGAAATTGAAGCTGAAAAAGAAAGAAAATTGGGAGAATTTGTCATCAATTTGAAGAATTTTGTTGAAGGTTCCAACATTTTTGAAGAGATTTCGAGAATTTTTGATGAAATTTTGACAAAAAATGACAGCGAAAAGAAACAAAAAGTTCAACAATTTACAAGAAGTCTCAAGGAACAAGCAGTTGCTATCTACATGAATCTTACAAGCCCACAACTCTCAACTTCAGACATAACAACTCCAAAACTTCAAAGGAAATTAAGAATTTTCACCAAAAAACTGCGGCAAATTGAAAGAATTGTGACTGCAAAAATTCAAACTTTCATAACTGAAGTTGCTGAAGAATTTAAAGACATATTTGATAAAAAGTTAAAAAATGCAAATGACAAGACGATTTTAAGCACCAAGGACACTCAGATCTTAACATTTGGAAGTGTTAAATTCGGTGAAGATGTTGAAAAGTTCGAGGCTCCAAAAATAACTCCAATTGAAAGCCAAGAACGAGTATCTTTAAAGAATTTAATCAAATTAGAAGCTACAAGTTTAATTGATAAAAATCAAGAAGATAATACAGCCTCAATTGCAATAAAACTGCAGGAAAAATTCATAAAAATCATCGATACTAAAGCTGTAAAGCTGTTCAATAGCTCAGAATTAATTGAAGAAAAAATCAGAACAAAATCTACAAGAAATTACATTAAAACATTACAAAAGCTTTTTGAGACTTCAAACATTGAAATTCGGAAGAGCAACGCATTCAAGAAGTTGATGAAGCAACGAAAGATATCAATTCCACTTCCATGCGACATTAAGTGCTGAAATATTAGAACTAATGATGCAACACACTTTTACTTTGTATCATTTATTCTCAAAATGTATAAATAAAATTAATCTGAGGCTAGTGTGCCTCGGCTAGTTCTAGAAGAATAGAGATTTCAATTATTTTGGGTTTTAAGTATTTGTAAAAATAAACATAAATATAGAAATATAGAATAAACCCAATGGTTCATCCCGAGCGGGAATCGAACCTCGCACCTCTCGATTTCCGGTCAAGTGGTCAGACCACTAAGCTATCGGGCTTTGCCATTGCAACTGGCAGAATGCCAATATAAGTGAACCACGCTTTTTGAACTTTTCTGTTCTAGAGTTTTCAACTTTTAGTGTTTTCACTAATTTGGCAAGGCCACTAGAAGCCAAATTAAATTAAAATAAAAAAAAAACAGTTATCTTTATTCCTAAGTTTGAGTCAACTTAAAGACAGACAAAGCAACTTAATGAAAGAAATGTTTAAAGTTCATCAAGATTTTTGCTACTTAGTGGACTGAGAACTTGACCGGCAATTGAGTGGTGCAAGGTTCGATTCCCACTTAAGACGAACCATTGAGTGATTTTCTTTTTTTTCAATATCTTTTAATGGAATAAACATTAAACATCTTAAAACTATAATAATATTAAAAAAAGGTAAATTTTGATCTAATAAAATATCATTTCATACCAGGAGCGTAGCCAGGAATTTGAAGAGGGGCAAAAAAGGAATTTATAGAATTTTTCTAAAAAGATCTTAGCAAAATTGTCATCAACCCACCCCAATCCCCCCACTGGCTACGCGCCTGTTATATGCAGAATACTTGCTGACGACCCAAGTGTTTTTATACATGGAGTATTTAGTACTTTAGATCTGATCAATCTGAATGTCGCTTATTTAGGAAAGGCTTTCCTCGGCTCTTGTCTATGCCACTGATTCGATTTTAATTCCATGAATATTCATAGGTTCATCCCAGTAGTAAACTTAAAGGATCCATCAAAAATAAACAATTTTAAGATCCAGGAAGATAAAATAAGATCTGGTTTTATATCCACAAGCCTCTTCTGCTAGCTGTAAAATCTTAAAACTTAATCCATAATGTGGAAGTGCTGATAATTCTTTAGAATACAAAAATACAGTAAATTTATCATATTCACAATTTATCCACCAACTTCAACCTTTGCCGACCCTCATCCAATCCTTGATTTCCTTAATGCAGCTAACACCATAGCTTTGTCATTTTCAATTGCTGTACATTTCTCATTATCCAGAATTATTTCATTGCGTCGATCACCAAACCTTGCCATTACCCTCGGTCTGTAGTCAACCTCAATTGCTAATGGATTTCCGTTCAATCCTAAAACTTCAAGAATTGGAAGTGCTGCAATTTCATCAATTTCATCGATATCTTTTATCATATTGCAGGATAAGTCGAGAGATTTAATAGATCTGAGTTTGCTAAGGCCTTTTAGTGACGATATATTGTTGCCGACTAGATTTAAAGTCTGGATGTTCCCAAGTTCCATGCACCAATTGCTAAGATCTTCAATTAAATTATTATTCAGACTTAAAAAGCTCAATTTTGGCAAATGACGAAGGTTTGAAATTCCACGAATTCTATTTCCATCCAGCATCAATGTTTCAACATTTGGAATCAACTTTAAGGCAGGATCAAGCTGCCAAATGTCATTGTAGCTGAAATTAACAATCTTTATTGACTTCCACTGCTCATCCGTTACGGAATTGTTATGAATCGACTCTGGATTTAAAATATTTTGGATGTTCTGCGCTCGAGTAAAAGTCACAGTAAAATTTTCAGAATTCTCACGAATCCTGGCGTTGGAATCAACATTCATTGGCACAATTCCATAAAATTCTAAAGTTTTAACATTTGTAAATGGAGAAAGCTCAAAATTTAAGGTTGATGCGAGGATATTGGAAGTTCCAATGGGGTTAACGAGTTCCTGAAGAACATCCTCTTTTGTATCACATTTGGTTCTGGTCGGTGTCACTTTTAATGATCGAAGGTTTGAACAAAAGTCAAGGATGTGTGAGAAGTCGAATTTGCTGCTTTGAAGCTCTTGTTGTGGACATGGAAGTCTAAGGCGGGTGGTGATCGAGTGGAGCTTAAAAGAATAAAAAAAGGATTTTGAATTTCTAAAAACCGTTAAATTTTAAATTTTTAAAAAACGTTAAACTTCTTAAAAATTCATTTTCCATAGCTTCTGCATCTAAGGTTCAGTAGACATCCTTATCCTCATATTTATATTAAGAATTGAATAACTAAAGTCACAATAATGTCAACGCGGCAATAACAACTCATTATTTAATTCCATCTCATTCATCATCCTTGAATTTAATGATTCAAATCTTATTTACTACATCTACAGCCTCTCATCCATCTAATTCCCTACAAAATCATGATTAATGCTCACCTCAAGTATCGTGAACGTCCACATCCCCTCATTCTCCAGCAAATACTTTTCACCATTCTTAAAAATATCCAGCGCCAAATTGTGCAGCACAAAGATCACATCATACTTATGAAAATCCAAAAATTCAACAAATTCAACTGGCATATGCTTCTGCATGATGTGTGCAATGGTCTGCAAATATTTCTGAAGATCCTCGCGTCGTTGCTCAATAAACTTACTATTCATATTCCCAAGAACCTTCTTTTTTGGCAGCAAATCCCGTCCAATTGAATAATTGACAAGCTTCTCATGAAGATCATGAAAATCTCGATATCGTCGCAATACTGTCCATTCTATGTTATGAAAGCACGTGACTCGGATGTTGTAGAATGTAATTCCATCGATAATATCAACATTTGGTATCGTTATTGTCGTTTCTAGTGGATTTCTATAATAATTTGACATAATAAGTCGCGATTATTGGAATAATATTTATCAAGTGATAGTTTTGAGGCTGTATGTGTTGGAATTTTCTGTTTTTCGGAATCAGCTGTGTTAATTCGAGGATTTCTGTTTTTGAATAAATTGTTGCAGTTACTTTGATGTGGCTCCTTTATGGTTTTTGGACAGTTTGAGGTCTGAATTTTGGGTTTTGAATGAAAGGATGTGCTTCGCTTCTTAAGGAGCTTCACAACAGCTTCAATGGCAACATCCTTAACTCACATGATCATTAAAGACTGTGCTTATAGAGCCTTATTGTGCATTCTATTCTTAACATTGCAAATTGAATCAATGAACAACAAACCTTTTTTTGTAACCGTCAAAATAATTTCAAAAATTTAAGAATCTCAAATAAAATTTATAAAATCAAACAATTCAAGAAATTTAGGTATTATTGAATAAAAAGTACATCCTTATAACATAAAATGTCTTGCAATTATGCAGATAATCTGTCGCCATATGATGATAAAGGAGTTCTAGGAACACCAGAGGTAAAAATCTTAATATTTTATTTATAATGATCAAATTTGAACCAAAATCTGACCTGAATCCACTCCTTTCAGATCTTTGACTCACCATCCGAAATCACCACAAAAGTAGAACAACTAGTCGACTTGATTCTCAAGTCAAAACACATTGTAGTCCACACAGGAGCTGGAATCTCAACAGCATGTGGAATTCCAGACTTTCGAGGACCCAATGGTGTCTGGACACTTGAAAAGAAAGGAATTAAACCGAAAATTGACATCAGTTTTAAAGATGCAGTTCCTTCAAAGACACACAGAGCATTAAAGCACTTAGTTGATAAAGGATATGTCAAGTTTATAGTCAGTCAGAACATTGATGGACTTCATATGAGATGTGGAACACCACGAAAGAATCTAGCAGAGCTTCATGGCAACATGTTCACAGCAGAATGTCCAAAATGCAAGAAACAATTTGTTCGAACATCGGCAGCACCAACAGTTGGAAGAAAGACAGTCGGTGACACATGTAGGAATGAATCCCGGCCATGTCGTGGACAGTTGATAGACACAATATTGGATTGGGAGGATGACTTACCTGATGATGACTTAGATATGGCTATGATGCACTCAACAATCGCAGATCTCAACATTGGACTTGGATCAAGCTTTCAGATCATGCCGTGTGCTAAGTTCCCAATGAGAAGTCAAAAATTTGGCGGGAAATTTGTATTAATTAACTTACAGGCAACGAAAATAGAGAAGAAGGCAGATTTATCGATACATGCTTATGTGGATGAAGTCATGGAAATGGTGATGAAAAGATTGGGAATTGAAGATATTCCAGAATACAACGAGGCTGAAGATCCAACGAGAAAGGCTGACTTTAGTGTAAATTGGAACATTCCAAAGAAGGAACTTAACAGTATTGAGAAGCTTTATAAGGAGAGAAATGAAAAGAATAAGAAGAGGAAAGGAGATGAGGCTGTGGTTAAGAAGAAGTATAAAAAGACTAAGGCTGAAGATGGGGAATAGAGTGAGGAGGGGTTCAAGGAAAACATCAGATCTTTTTTGACAAATTTTATTTTTTGACTAGAGTAAAAAATCGAATTTCATATCTTATAGCTTGCCAACTACTGCTCCATTTTAACATCGCAATCCTTCAAAGCAGCCTTCAGTTCCGCCTTAATTCCTTCAAAATCCTTCACATATGGAACATTTGTAATAACTAATGTCTTCAAATTCAGATCCTTCAAGCACCTCAAACCCGAATCAGTTAAATTCTTACAATCGATCAGTTCCAAGTGCTTTAATGAATCCTTTCTGTACTTTAAATATTCCAAGGCTTCATCCTCAATGTAGCCACAATTTTTGAGGACAATTTTCTCTAATTTTGTGCAGCCTTTGATGTGTGAAAAGCCAATGTGACTGATGCCAGCATCATCAGCTATAATTTCTTGGACAAAGAATTTTGAGTTTTCTGGCGGGAGGAGGTTGTAGTCACAGAGAGGATTGGGTGCACTGGTGAATTTTACACATGATCCGTTACGGAGGAGCCTAAAAATTGTGAACATTTTAATTGAAATGTTCTAGACCATTCTTAAGATTATGCGTAGTAAGTTTCTGGTCCAAAATCTTAATGGCATTAACTTTGATGCTTAAAACCAACAATCAGCCAGTTTCATCACTCCCTGACAACTTGCTCCCGCGTACTTCACAAACACCAGCCTCAAAACTACCAAATTTCAAAAACTTACCATTCAGCTGTGCACCTATCATGCCCAAGAGCCTTAATTCTCTCACCATCGACTCGATTGAACATCATGTTAACCCACCAGAAGAACTGTCGTCCTGAATGCACTGGCTTGAACAAGGATGATGAAATTTTCAATTGACTGAACATCTTTGAATGTGAAAAATTGCTTGAAAGTTGCGAAATTTATACGAAAAAAAAATTTCACAGAACTATTTTTTGGTGCCGGAGATAAACAAAAACAAAACCAAAATTGTTTTTTATTAATCAAGAATTTTCGAAACTTTTTTTGAATATTTTTTGGCGGTTGCTGTTGTGATTGAAATTTTATTGCAAATTAAAATTGATAAATTTTTAAGTTTTGAGGTTTTTGAAGTACAATTAATTGCATCAAAGGTGCTGTAGCTACTAAAATATCAGCTGAGATATGAACAAGAACTCAAAACCCTGCAAGGGATCCAAAAACCCTGCAAAGCCCCCAAAAATTTGCAAAGCAAACCCTACAAAAAATTATATTCATTAAATTACATGCTAAAGCTTAACAAGCACTGATCTGACACAATAAAAATCATCACATGTGATTAAAACAAACTACATTAATTTGGATTTTTTTTCTGTGTACACACAATCTGGTGATTTAGATTATTTTTTTTTCAGACAATAATTAAGTGGGTATGAAAAAATAAAATCACAAAAGTTTATGAGAAAATCGCAAGTTGAGTTAATCTTGTGGAAATTTTTCGCGTGTTCAATTTTATTTGAGTATTTTGAGTGGTCAGGGTTGGTGGACAATAGAATTGGGGTAAGGCTCCTTCAGTTAAACGTTTTAGTCAAGAATCTAAGCCGACTTAATATCCGATCCGCATCTTAGTCTAACCCAAAGAGGTCGAATGACGTCCATAATTATCTTGCAGACTCCCCTCCCTTCCTCCCACCTACCCCCCCCCCCCCCCACACACACACACTTAGACGTCAGAAGGAAACAGGAACAGCGGAACTGATCAAATTATCAAAAGTGATCAAAAAATTATCAAAAACTAATCAAATATTTCCGCACCTTTAGACTAAGCTGCCCCCGTTCTCCAGTGACTCATCCCCAACATTTTCAATTTAAATCAATCCTTCATCCCAACCCTGATGTTCCCACCCATCTACAAACATGGTCAATGTCAATTCATCAGCTCATTAAGCTGTGATTTAATCACTCAAAGATAAAACTTGTTCACAAGGCATGAAATTATGATGACAACTCTTTTAATTTTCAGGTATAAAATCATGAAGAAAATATTCAGAATTTATCAGTAACTCACCTGCTTTATCTGAGTAAACAACAGCTGCAAGAAAGTCAAAAATGAAGATTTTATTGTCAATTCTGATTGTGGCTGCAGTGACTCTGTCCAGTCAAGCTAAAACTCGTGAAGAAATGAAAGCAAAATGGCAAGCATTAGCAGCTGAATGTCAAAAGTCATCAGGAGCTTCAGACGATGATTTGGAAAAAATCATAACGCACGTAAAGCCTGAAACTCATGAAGGAAAATGCATGATTGCTTGTATCTTTGAGACTATGGGAGTTGTAAGTAGTTTAGGACTTATGGGAACTATAAAGTTTAGGACACAGTCAACCATTGCAGGGCTGGCACTTCCTTCCCACCTTTACTCCCAAAAACCTTCAATTTTAATCTCATTTGATACTTTACACAACTTTACAAACAGGTCAAAGATGGCAAGATCTGCAAAGAAGGCTTAGAAGCTTGGCAAAAAGAGTCTCCAATACCAGCTGAAGTCATTCAGACTGCAATCACTGAATGTGAAGAAATAACTGACGCTGATCATTGTGAAGCAGCAACACAAATTGGTCATTGCTTTAAGGATACATTGAAGAAGGCTGGATTATTTCCTTAGGATTAAGTGAATTGTTGTTGGCTGTTATAAGCGTAGGGCATCGAGGGAGCCTTGGAAACAGCACAAAATATTTTTTTCGACTGTTAAAGTTTTTCAAAATTCAAATAAAAAAATTCTTTTATTTCACAAGTTTAACCATTTTAAGAATCAATTTTCATAAACTTTTGATAAATCATATTTGCCATGACTCCATCTTCTATGGCATTTCCCATCGATTGAAAGACTGTGACATTTTTGCTATTTTCTATTTTGTGAAGAAACTTTTTTCCGGCAACAATTTCACCAACTTCTCCATTTACATATTCCTTAATTCCTTTCAATTCAGTTTCTAGTCCAATATAGCTTTCAATGTAGACACTCGATGACTGATAAATATCCATGGCTAGCTCAGAATGATGGTTTGTTCCAGCTCCAATTGCTAAATTACAAATAAATTGAAATAAATATTTTTAATATTTTTCCATTGGATTTTTTTGGAAGTTAAGCAAGATATCAGGATTATACGAAAGATAGTGATTATGGACATAGCCTGGCCTTTAATGGCAAACCCTTCTAAAAAATTTCAAAAAACACCTGCTTCAAAAAAAAATTCTGACTCCAACCCTGTCAGTGACCATGAAATTCCAAAAGCATTTGATGGTTCACTTCCAACGCCACTTCCTTAACCTGGTTATAGCTTCTCATAACACCAAACCAGAGTTGCGACTACAGGTACCTGTCATAGGTACAGGTGACAGGTCCTGTCAAAAGATAGCCTTTCACAGGCTGCCACTTGTTTCACAGGTCACAAGATTTGCAAATCTGTGACAAATCTGTCAACATGTAGCCTGTTAACAGCTGATCTGTCAAACAAGTGGTGACCTGTGACAGGTGGGCTGTTTTCGTTGCGACAGATTGCAACTCTAAATCAAACTCACCATTAATATGAACATTTTCCTTCAAATCTTTAAGCTCAAATAACGGTTGACTGGAATTTGTTGCCGTAACAACTCAATCAGCACCTGCGACACACAAAATTGACGAATCTGCAATCACAATGATAATCTCTGGAAACAACGCGTTTAATTCTTTCTTTAACTTCTCAGCTCGATTTAAACTTCTGTTCCATAATTTCACTTTTATGAAGACATTTGGGAAGTAATTAAGCATTGCTAGAGCATGGATTCTACCCTGTGGAATTAGAATTGGATAACATTAGATCATGAATCGGATGCAGGACAAGAAACCAGCACCAATCCATTTGCCCATACCTGAGTTCCACATCCAACAATTGCCAGTTCCTTTCCCGTCATATTCCCATCCAAGTTCTTTAAACTCAGGTCACAATACAAATATTTCGTAGCAACAACACTAACAGCTGCTGTACGCCACGCTGTAATTTCAGTTCCATCCACAATAGCTTTCAGCTTTCCAGTGTCAGAATTAAATAACAAAATAGTTCCAAGAATTCCAGGAATTGCTGGATTTAATTGAGAATTTCCACTGAAAGATGTGACAAGCTTGCATGACAATGTTGAATGCTTTTTATCACTTCCAGTGACTGAATTTAAAGTATAATTTGATGCATATCCAGGCATTGTCAGCAAAACTCCTTTATTGCCAGCAAATGTAAAGGTTCGAGGTGTTTGGGATGAAAAAGGTTCAGTTTCTGAATTTTGTGATGTGTTTGAAATTGCAACTAGTGCTGATTCCATTGCATCTACACAGTCTGTCCAATTTAATAAGTTTTTGACAGAAGACTCTTTGATGAAAGTGACGTCATCATCTTGATTGGATAGACTGCCCGTGCTTTTATCTGATTGGAGGTTTAGATGCTTTTGATCTTGGATGTTCATGTTGAATTTTCGGGGCGATTGTGATTGTGTGGATGTTGTTGAATTGCTTATTTGTGGACTGTATTGTAGGATGATGAGTTGCTAGGTGTGTGAATGCTGAATGGGATGCAAAAACAAAACAAAAAGTTGATTTTGGAATTATTTTTTAATTTAGTAAAGATTTTAAATGAATTTTAACACTTAATTTGAATTTATAAATATTTATTCATTTAAAAACTGAAAAAATTGATTAAAAAAAATTACCTCAACTTCAGATTTGGTTTCTAGAACTAATTAAAGCACTTGTTGCTACAACGACAAATTACAGAATAATAAAAACAATTTAAAAATGCTTTAATGTTTTATTTACTTTTTTTTGTTATCTACATTGAGTACAGCTGTTGCATAGTCATGTGAATTGTCAAGAACTAGAAGCATATTGACCTTATAAGATATGAATATTGATTTGAAACCACATTGTGGTTACTTCATGCAGGGGTGCAGCCAGGGATTCTAAAACAATTACTTTAGAACATTAGTAATTCATTTAGTATTGGATATTGGCACACAGTAGCCAGCAAGAGTGTCAGTTTTTGAAATCATCTGATGGAGACAATAGATTACAATTGATCTGTACGGTCGCCGAAGTAAGTAACATAATAAATCAGAGCAATTCTGATTCCAGAGGTGCGCTAGGGCAATTCGCAGTTAATGAGAGTTTAACGAGAGAGGATGCGCCAAACCACTGCACTCAAACCTAGACCTACAATTTATAGTGGGATCCGAACCACTCCTTTGATGACATTTTTACCTGCAGCCTACAAAGAAAAGCTGTGAGCCTCATTTCCAGTACAGATGATTCGAAAAAGAAGAAGTTGAAAATTTTCCATTCCCAATCTCGAACCTATGATCGCTCTGTTGGTATTGCAATAATTAGGTACCGAAGTACTAAACCATTCCGCCACGGAGCTACTTCAGCTCCAATAAAGCTTCATTAAAAATAGGCTATAGTCATAATGTGTTGTAGCTCATAAAAAGCAGACCAGAAGAAGTTATCTCAGGAGTAAGAACATGCAGAGTTGTCGGTTACGAGTCTTTGAGAAGATGCTTAACCTAAGCAAAGAATTTTTTTGGAGCTGTCCAAAAATCATCAAGCCAAATTTATGTGCTAACATTGAGTTTTCTTGAAGAATTTTGGTTGCAACAAGGTTGAAACTCTAGTTTTATATGTTTTAAGCTACTATTAAGCAACAATCAATTTTTAATCATATAGTTTACACCAGGGGCGTATCCAGGAATATGAAGAGGGGGGGGGGGGACAATTTCAGAGGGAAAGGGAGGATTTTTATGATTTTTTCATAACAAAAGCAAAATGAAGAAATTTCTCTTAACGTCGGGGGATTTGTCCAAAGTCCCCCCCCCCCCCCTAGTTACGCGCCTGGTTTAGACTACAAACTGAAAAAAATTTCCATTGTTTGAACTGTCACAAAATCCTAAACCCCTTCCCCTCTAAATGTAGGACGTCATAAGTGAACGGCCCCTTAAGGTTAATCTACTTTTAATGAATTCAGTGATTTTAAAATCGAAACATTGAACAAGGAAAACATCCAGATCATCTCACTTTTTAATAATCATATGCTAGTTAAGCATCAATAAGCAAACAAGTTTAAATTCGTGAATACTTAAAATGTACAATAAATACTCAAATTGTCCTGATTTAAGGTCTAAAATGGATACGGATAGTAAAGATAAAATTAAGAAACAGAAAAAATCACAAATTTCAAGAAAACCAGGCAAGACTCGAACGATAATTGAAAATATCAAGCAAGAAAGAAATGAAAAGAATACAGAAGAATTTGAATGTTTAAATGCTGTGCTTAATGTGATCGAAACGCTCAAAAAGTCATACAATTTGGAAACTAAAGTTGGACAAAATCTGGGAAAAAATGATACCAAAGATGCTAATTTGCCAACAATTCGTGACTGTCAAGTATTATTGAAGGATATAAAGAATCAAGCTAATACTTTTAATCATGAGTTGATGGATATATCTGCTATCAAAACTGAGCTTGGAGAAGATTTTAAAATGAATTTAAGCTCAGAAGCCTTAAAAAGTTCCAAAATCTCATCAGATCCTGACATAAATCGACTTAATCGTAGATTCAATTGCAGTTTTTGTCACAAAAGCTTCACATCTCGATGTTACTTGTCCATTCATACGAAATCACACCATAAAAGACCTAGAAAATTATCTTATAGCTGCAACATTTGTAATTTAAAGTTTACAACAAAATCTATTCATAAATCACATGCCAAACGTAAGCATTCCAATGTAAATCGTCAAATGAGGCTAGCAATATGATTCAATGTTAATCGACAAAATGCAGAGCAGAGTTCCTTCCAATGTAAAACTTGTCTAAAATTTTACAAATCTGCTGCTTCCTTAAAAACTCATCAAAATATTCACGACAAAAAATTTAATTGTAAAATTTGCAATAAAAAGTTTTCATTCCAAATAAGCAGGCTTTACAGTCTCATAGACGCAATGTTCATCGAAATATCAAATTTCAATGTGATTTTTGTGGAAATTTTTTAAAAACTAAGCGAGCAATAAAACTTCATTTGTTATAGACTGTGCCCATCGTTCATTTCGTATTCCAAAAGAATCGAAAAGTCAAGAGCCAAACCACAACTCAAAATGCTGCCACAGATATCAAGTCTTTTGGACAGTAACAATTTTCCATCGTTAAGCAAACGACATCAAGTTTCTGCTCATTCACATCCAGTGAATGCTGCAAGTAACTCATCAGCAACATTTAAAGAAGAGATTAATCAGCAACAACTGATCAATAATATCAGTTATGCAGAGAAACTCAACGAAGCAGTAAAGAATGAAAGCCTTTTCAAGAAATTCACAGAAGCTCAAGAACGTCTAAAGAGAATCCCCAACATTGAAGAAGCAATAAATCAGTTCTGCAGTTTCGTAGACGAAGTCGGAAAGATCCCAAAGGATGCACCTCAAGGAACTGCATTTAAACTCATAGTGAAGTATGGCTTCATGAGCTGCTCACCAGCACCGACAAGCCAGTTCAAAAATAATTTATTAACGTAGTTCATAAGCTTAAAAAAAGCTTTTTTTTTTCTCGCTCGGCAACTTTTTTTAAACTTTTTATGCCACATTTTCATGATATATGTAAATCTCATTCATCAAAATTAATAATTAATCAAGATATAGTTGAATTAAAGCCGTATTCAGGCTGGTGTCAAAATAAGACTCAAAGAAATGTAACTTAAACTACAATAATTCCAAATTTGAAATAAAGAAAGATTTGTTTAAAACTTCATTTGCTGATGCATTTAAGGATTTAAATTTGTTGTTGTTGTAAATTTTTATTTATTTTAATAAAGTTTAACATAAAAAAAATTAACTTTTTAAAATTTAAAGGAGTTGTTTGATTTTTAGTGTTGACTAAGCATAAGGCAGTCTTAAAGGCTTTTTGACGACGATTTTTTCTTTGTCTCATTCGAGCTTGATTCGAGCTAGATTATTTAATTAACTATTGTCTCTTATAAACGTATTAAATGCTGTTTTGAAGCATGTCTACACAAAAACAAACTAATCCTTGTCACTTTAAACTTCTTTGGTGTCATTTCTTAATGAATTTTCTTCAGGAATTTCGCTCAAGACCTTTTGTTCTTCTCTTTTTGGCTCAGCCCATGATTGTAACTGTCCGGATGACAATATTACATACAAAACAGCTCCTGCTATAAGTAAACCTCCAGCAGATGAAAACACTGTGCTCCAGACACCTTTGTCAGTCTAAGGAATAGAATTTTTAATTAAATTATAGTTTTTTGGTCATTAAGTGTCTACAAATGGATCAAAATGGTAAATAAAGTTTAACTTTATTGATATATTTTAATAATTGAAGCTACACCTATTCTTAAGTCAAATATTAAACTCCACTCACTTGGTCAAATGTCATCAAGTCTGTAAGAATTGGACAAGCTAATCCAGCTACGAATCCAACAGTGTTTGATATTCCCATAATTATGCTCGCGTATCTTGGTGCTATATCCAAATGATTAACAATGAAACCTGACACAGCAAATCCACTCATTGCCTTGCAGCCCAAAATCAACAGCAAAGCTCTTGGCTGTAATTATTATGATTATTAAAAGTCAAGGAAATCCTTAACTGTTGTGCAAGGAATCATCCCAGGAGCAATGAACTTATTGCTACTCGAAGTCCCTTGCACAGATGACTAGAAAGCAAATAAATAGAAAAAAAACCTTACCGCAGTGTGAACATTTGGTAAATACAGCAAGCACACTCCTTGGACTATAAAGCTGACACAGAGGAAAAATTTTCGAACATTTGTTGTAGACAGGATGCGTTTTTGACGTAACAAGTCTGATAAAAATCCACCGAGTAGTAAAATTATGATCATCATAATGTAAGGCAATATAGCGATTAATCCGTCCTGTAATTAGATAGAGAATTGGTAGCTTTTCACTTTAGGTAGATCCTTAAAGCTCATTTCTTAGTTTACACTATCAGTATATCCAAGTAAAGCTTAAGAACCGTACCATGAGCAGTTTAAAGCGTCCTTTAAGTTACCTCATTAATCTTAAACGAAAATGTGTGCCTTAAAAATCTACTTTGATAGTATCCAAGTGTGTAGTAACTCCATTTTTGACAAAATGTAGCAATAACAATTGCAAACACAGGTAATGACGTCATAATTTTGATCCACGGTATGCATGGCACTTGATGCTTTGCTGATTCTCCCAGTGACTTCTCAATGTACATCAACTCTTGTTCTGTTATTGTTGGATGATTTCGAGGCTTTTCGAGTACAAGCCAATACCAAAATCCATACCAAACAATACCGAGAAGTCCAAAGAAAATGAACATTATTGTCGGATGAATCGAGTTTGATAGATGCTCACATATGATGGTGCCTGTGGGTTGAATTGACAAATTAGTAAAGCTTACGATCCGAACAAGACAAAAGTGCGAGAATTGAGGGATTGGAAAAGCCCAAGTCTGATTCCGAAGCTGACCAAATGTCAACTGCATACCTTCTCGTGACACCGCTAAATGCACCGCTGGTGACCGAGCCATGTTGAGGATGGTAGCCCTACATTCAGGCTTGGGATGGTGAGGTTTACAACCAACCATTCCCGAAATCAACATGAACAAAGAAGGCAATAAAATGTAAATAGGACTGGATTGCAAAAGTGCAATCTTTAAGATCTGTGGCTTAGAAATGAGAAAGAGTGAGCTTTGATCCCTTCTTATGAGGTGCGTAGTTAGGGGGGGGGGGGAGTATGAGCCCAATAGAAAGCTCTAGAAACAAACTAATGCGATCAAACTCCTTTGAGACATAGACTTCAAAGTTCTCAAAATTACTGAGTCTACATACCTAACATCATTCCAGCATACATTCCACTCAATGCTATTGTAGTTAATTTACTTCTCTCAAAAGTAGGCGACCAAAATCTCCAAATTCCCTATTGACAAAAAATAAAAGAATTTCTTATAATCACTTCTAAGCTTCTCTTCTAGTTGTATGTCACATCCGTCTTTCACTTTACTACAATGTTAACTTTTAATCGTCAAATATCTGTCAAGACACACCTGTGCCTCACTATGAAGTCAACTATATTCCATGTCCGTGCCTTAGTAACTGACACTTACTTCCAGACATGAAGAACTTACTTACAAACAAAGCTGGAATGGTGACACCTTGAGCGAATCCTTGCAAAAAGTAAAACGTAACCAAAATTTTCTGACGTTCAGTGACCATCGGTATGAGAATATTCAGCACTGCTGAGCAGACAACTCCTAATCCAAAAACCTTATTCGCTGGAAATTTATAAGCCAGCAATCCACCAGGAAGTTGTGCGACAAGATTACTTAAAAGTGAAAAGGAATCAAGGTTGTTTGCTGTGCTCCAGTGAAGTCTTGTTTCGTTTTCAGGTTTCTGAATTTAATAAAAAAATATTAAGATTAATTTTTGACAAATTTTAAATTAAAGTTTTTAAGGCACTGACAATTTTATCGAAATACATTCTTGCCATCATCAAATTAAATCGAGTTCCATAAATGACAGCAAATCCTAGAAATGCCATAACAGCAACTGTGTATCGATGTGAAAGCCATGAAATCTTTGATTCTGCATATTTGTCAATTGCTCTCAATGGCGGTCGAATGAATGCTTCAAAAGGCACTTGAGATTCTGGTTCTGGGCTGTTGTCTTCATTTGTTCGTTTGTATTTTCCAGAGTTTGGCATGCTAAGGCAGTTTATGGTACTTGAAAAATCTAATAAAAAAATTAAAGAAAATTCTTAAAACATTTTTCAACAAAAAAATTAAAATAAATTGAGTAATTTTTTGATTAAGTCAAGCCATCAAGCTAGCGTAACTCTGGCATGATTCAAGACTTAATTTGAATCTAGCACCATGCCATAGTTACACTAGCTTGATGCCGGTTTTTTTTCGATTAACAGACTTGTGCTATTCGGGTATGATCAAAAATCTGTGTTTTAATCCTTGACACTAAATTCCTAAGCAGTTATTCGTTTTAGACCAGTGGTTCTCTTACTATTTGCCACGGCACATTAGAAACAGTACAAGGTGAAAAAAAATTGTAACCAAAAATCATGCTCATGTAGATCACTTGTGCAGCATATCAAAAAAGTTTGTGAACCACTGGACTAGACATTTAAAAACCCTGCTTTGATAAGCCTACATTAAAAGTATTGCTTGGTAAAAGGTAAAGCAGGAGAAGGGCTCACTCTTTTTAAGCTGAAAGCACTGCTATTCAAGACCTGATGATTTAAAGACCTGATATACCCTGCAATGTATCTAGTCACAATTCGTGTACGCAAGATTTTGTAAAGTCATCTAGACGCTTGCACATCCTAGTATACCTAGTTTTGTGCCGAAGATCTCAAAACTACATTCAACACAAGAACCGAGCTTCGTAACTGGAACGGAGAAATGGAAAAAGAGCTTCTATTTTTGTCCTGGCATTGAATCCAGAACTTTTGAAACTTAAGGCCAATGCTCTATCATTTATGACACTAATGCCATTTCATTGGTAGCGCAGCCCAGTGGTTGCCAATCTTTTTTGTGATACGGCACACATTGATGGAAATTTATGACTGAAACCGTACACGGTTCGTGAGATTTCCCGAATTTTTTCTTGACAGACCTTGGACATTGTGCCGCGGCATATCAGTTGAACATCACTGGACTATATCAACTACATTTAACATACTGGTTCAATATTTCAGGAGATTCAAATGATTTGAAAGAAATTAAAATTTGTGTGAATACGAAAAAATTAAGTCATAAATTGCTGATAAAAATTAACCTTGAAGCTTCTGAAGAATTTCATTTTTTTACATAATCTTTCACAATTGAGTCATTTTATGTTGTCAAAATGAGTTCAATTTGAAGTTTTTCTATTTATAGATTTTATAAGCATTTGCGCAAAAATTATACAAAACTGTGTTTATGGACGCACATTAATGAGTGCTGTTTGAAAGATTTAATTAATATGTGAATGTTTTGTTCATTAAAATAGACAATAAAAATAAAAAAAAGTCTGAATTTATGTCATTTTTAAGAAGCTTTAAATGTCTACAGATGTTTTTTTTATTAATTATTTGTCACAAAGTTGAAAAATGTATTGTAAATCATGTCAAAATTAAATTTTAACTTTTTTCAATCCTTTATCATTTTCTACAATTCAAAACACAATTTAATCCAAAATTAAATTTCAAACAAGCTTTAATTATTAGAAATAAACCTAAATTTACCGAATTATCCAAAAAGATTCTCAATTAAATTACAAAATCGAACCACACTTGACAATGTTTAACAACAAAATGAAACTAAAAACAGAGAATTTTCGCAGAATAATTTTGAAAATCTTCTCAGAGAAAGAAAAATAAAGAAAAAGAGAGAGAAAAGGCCAAAAAGAGCAGGCTTAACATGTGTTCAACATTAGACAAAAAGTCATGTTGAAATAGTTCTGGATTTTAATATTTATTGACTTTTATGAGACGTCTTTAACAGGACGTCGAATTTTTAAAATTTTAATTGTCAATTCTGCAAATCAAAAATGAGACATTTAAGGATTTTTTAGAGCATTTTTGAAACTTGTTTCGAAAAGGTAGCTTAATAAGACGCTTTGTTCGTTTGCTCGGCTGCTTACAAAAACTTTTGATCTAGACTTCGTAGAGAGTTCTAGTTTTTTGCATTAGCTGTGTTCAATCGTTTTATTCCGGCGACGAATAGTTAAATATCTCAAAATCATCGGGAAATACTATATTTAATGATTTTTTTGATTTCAAAATAATGTAAACAATGGAGCCAACTTCAAGTGGGATAATTTCAAATGTATTTTGATCGTTAGAAAGTTTGAATTTTAAAAAACAAATGACAAATCTTTTCTGTATGGAAATTCATTGCAACAAATTATTAATTATACTATAATTAATGTTTTTGTAGTGCAACTTTTAGCGGGAAAATTTCAAATTATTTATTGATCGTTAGAAAATTTGAATTCCAAAAGATCGTTAAACAATAAAGCTTTTCTATATAAGCATTCATTGTAATTATTTATTAATTACACTTAAATTGATGATCTTCTGATCTTTTAATGATCTGTAAATGAACGCTAAATAATTATATAATCAAATACTGATCGCTAACACAAAAATGCGCTGAAGTTCCTCGATATATAGCACGAGGACTTTCGCCAATTTTTTTATTTAAATTCGTCATCGAGATTTAATTTGGAACATCCATTAAATGTCTCTGGGCATCATTTCGCATGTGAATCTTCATGTGTTTAGTAAAGTTTGACTTAAACTTCATAAATCGTGCACACAAATCACATTGAAATAAATCTTTGGTGTGGACAGCTTTCATGTGAGCTTGATGACTGCACTTGTCTCTGAACAATTTTAAACACTTTGTACATTTTATTGGATTTTTCATTGCTGCAAACTTCTCATCTTGACGTTCATGGACTTTTTGATGATTCCTAAAATTTTGAGTCATATCCGTTGCATAATCACATCGATGACATTTAAATGGTTTTGGACGATTTTTATCATGAATTTTTTTATGGGATTTTAAGTTATATTTGAGATTACATTTTTTACCACAAATCTCACATTTGTAAATTTTTTTATTATCATGATAAAATTTGATATGAAAGTTTAGTCGGAATTCGCTTTGAAACATTTTCTTGCAAGTGTTACATTGAAATTGTTTGTTGTGAATTTTTTGATGTTCTTTTAAATTTCTAGCTCTGTTGAACATTTTTGAGCACACTTTACACTCAAATTTGAAATCAAATGTATGAACAGACTTCACGTGTTCATATAAGGATGAAGCTTTTAAGAATTTACCACAAATTTTACATTCAACGGATGAAGAGTGTTTTTTCATGTGAAAATAAATTCTAAGTCTATTTTTGAAGATTTTTCCATCGAAATCGCATTCAAAATAAATCATTTGTCCATTCGGATGCTTTTTTGTCATATGAATGTCCAAATTTTTCTGTTTGAAGAACTTTAGATTGCACAAAAGACATTCAAACTTTTCAGATCTGTCCGAATGATAAGTTTTCGTGTGGCTCCTTAAATCTGATCCAAATGCAAATTTCTTCTTATTTTTAATTTCGTTTAATGAAATTTCATTAAAAAGTGTCAAATTTTCCTTGATAATCACACGACAAACTTGAAATTTTGATAAATTTTCATCACATTTTGTTGATTTTGGAATCAATTTAAAATATTCTGAAATTTTTCTTGACATTTTTCGATTAATTTGTAATCCTCAACGACTAATTGTTATGAACTGACGGATTTGGGATTAATACTCAAAAATTTTATAAATGGCTTCACAAAAATTCACAGGGCTTCACAAACCCCCTCGAACTCGAGTCCTCTTAATCCTGCAAAAACTTTATAAATAGCTTTACAAAACTTAACATGGCTTCGCAAAATTTTATATGGCTTCACAAAATATTCCTGACACCAAACTTTTCCCACAAACCCCATCAAATTCGGACCCCCCCCCCCCCCCCCCCAACTGACACCCACCTTGTCAGCACTCCTCAAATCATTGGCTTAACAAAATATACCTGACACCCCCTTGCCCCCAATCCCCACCTGACACCCACCCCCCACCCTGACACCCACCCCCCACCCTGACACCCACCCCCACCTGACAACCACCTTGTCAACACTCCTTAAATTTTTGTCTTCACACGGCTTCACAAATGTCTTCACATGGCTTCCGTTCCAGAGTCAGTGAATCAGTTGGGCCTAGCCTTTCAGCTGGAGGCACTGCGATTCAAATTACAACAGAATCTATTGTACCACACCCTTTAGACCTACAGTTTATAGTGGAATCCGAACCATTTGCAAGCTCTGCACATTGCAAAGACACGAGGACTTCTATAAACCTGATTTACCATGCAATGTATCTGGTTACAATTCGTGTGCGCAAGATGCCGTAAGGAAGTCATCCAGATGTTAGTATATCCTTGGATACCTAGCAAAGGAGGCACATTTTGTACCAAAGACCTCAAAACTACACCCAGCACACGAACCGAGCTTCATAACTAGAACGGTGAAATGGAAAAAAAAAACTTCAAAAATTAGACATGGCTTAGGATTGAACCCAGGATCTGATGGACTGATGCCATTTCACCGCTTCCGATTGGGTTTACATACATATGTAATAATATTTTGTAGCATCAAGCTTCCAATCTTCAAATCTAGGTTTCGATTAAATTAAGGCTAACACTTCAATCTTCTTTGGTCGTGACTTGATACATTTCAGGTCCGTTCTGACAATATTCCATCAAAAGGTGCTCTCGTTCCTCTTTTTCCCACTACACTGTAAGTTCCTGACCCGTTCCTTCCGATCCAACGTTGCCCAATTGCCCAGTTATTGTTTGATCCCGTACCTTAAGCAGTCGAAGGATCTAAACTTCTGAAAAAGAACCAAATTTGGGAATGGCTGGATTCGACGCGACGACCTTAGAATTACTTACTTACTTCGATGACCTTACAGATCAATTATGATCCATCGCCTCCTTCAGTTGCCGGCTAAAACTGGCTCTATCACTTGCCAATTTCCTATACCAAATGTAATATTGTCTCTATCAACAGCCTCTTTCCATGAGTTCTTTGGCCTTCCACGTGCTCTTTTTCATCGATTTGATTGATCATATCAGCTTAAAACCTTAAACCTTAGAATTACCATCTCAAATTTGAGCCAAATGCCTTCCCTATTCGACCAACAAGGCACTTCACAGCTTTATTTATTTCTTCAAGGCATTTAACTGCTTGCGATCTATTTTAAGTTAATACAGCGAAATGAAAAATAAAATTTTTCGAAAAGACGGTTGTTTCTTATTTTTAATGTATTTAAATTTAATCCCAAATTTATTTTTAAGTCAATTTTTAACAGCTTTAAATTCAAAAACTTTTTTCTCTTCCTTAACTTCAACTTTAAACTTCTTTTTGGCCTTTAGGTGGTTCTGGATCTTCATCTCTGATTTTGGTTTCTTCTCAGCCTTAATCTTCTTCACAGCCTTAATCTTCATCTCAGCCTTAATCTCCATCTCAGTCCTAATCTCCTTTTCAATCTTAACCTTCACATCCTCATCCATGTGAGTTTTTATGTGCTTTTTAAACCTCTTTGAGCTGTCACATTCAAATCCACAAATTTGACATTTGTTAGTCTTTGGCCTATTTGGTTCATGGATGTTCCTCATATGAGTATCAAGGCAGAACTGTCTGATAAACTTTTTGAAGCAAATATTACATTGGAATATTTTAGCCGTTTGGTGGAAGTTACGGACATGCTTTATCATTTGGCGCTCCAATCTAAACGTCTTCCTGCATTGTTGACAATTAAATTTATGAATTACTTTGTGATTCTTTAAATCGATTGCTGATTTAAATAATTTTGGACACAAATCACATTGTAATGTCTTTAAGCTTTTTAATGTCTTAATGCCGTTCTTGTTGTCCTCAATCTTCATTTTTGTTGGTTTTAGTATGTTTAATTTTGAATCATTATTTGACGTGACTTTAAGCTTAATTTTTTTACATTTCAATAGCTTAATGCAATCCTTATCGTCATTAACTTCATCATCAATGACAATTATTTGTTCATCGTCTAGTTGCTCATTTAATTGATTGAATAGTGAACCTGGAAGATCAATGAAGAGCTCATCAATGTCTCTTATTGGAAGCATTCCAAATGGACTGTCTGGATCTTCTTTTTTTGTTGGTTTAAGTTCAATTATATCGCAGGATGTGTCGAAGGTTTCGTCAGTTAAAAGTTCCTCTGTTTTGATTGCTTCGGATGAAATGTTAATGATTTCAACATTTTGGGGTTCATCTTTGACTCGGATGGTTGCTTGGTCTTTTTGTGGTATATTTGGCTTGATGTCAATGATTTCTGTTGTTCTTAGTGAATGATTGACTTGATTTTGAAGTTGATTGCTGCTGATGCTTTCCTGATTGATTTGAGTAGATTCTTGGATTACATTATTAGTTCTTGGTTCAATGTTGATGAGTTCTGGCTTCAGCTGGACACTGTCTTGTCTAGTACTGTCGACTTTTTGAGATATTGTTGGTTTGCTGATTTTATTGGAATTTGAAGCATTTTTAGCTTTGGTTGTTGCGGATTTTTGACTGAATTCAATAATTCTTCCTGATCTTAACCTTCTTGGTTCTGATATGTTGATCTTTAATTCATCGTTCACTAGTTGTGGTGTATTTTGTTCCTTAATCTTCAAAATTGCTTCAATTTCTATTTTTGCTCGTTTAGCGTCTGGTTGCATCTCAAAATCGTCCTCGTTCAACTCAATCCTCATTTTTGTTGGTTTTAATTTTAAATCTTTTGATGACATGACTTCAGGATTTAATTACGAATGTTTGTTAAATGTTCTAGCTTATGTCGTTGACTGTGGATTGGATGTATTATTTGAGAATATTAATAGCTAAAGTATACACAATATCAGTACCTAAATTCTTATTTGAGATTATAAAGTCTTAAGAATAAACAAAGATTTGATGAATTTTGCATTTTTAGCAAATGCTGATTGACCGATCTTGATTTTTAATTTTTGCAAAATTATTTGTTTTGTGTTGATTTCTTGTAGGGTTGCCTGATTGTTAACACTAGCGCCATCTATTGATAGGCTGTCAAACTGCGTACTTTTGAGCGGGACAGAAACACATTTTTTAAACTTATTTTCCCTGGAAAATGCTTCAAAATTTGGTCTGTGAAGCTTTCTTACAGTTGAAATCGGGACATAATCCAGAAACTGATAGACATGAATACTTATGTTAAAGGCAAATGTTAACGCGTGCGTCAAATCAGTGCTTCTATATGGCTGTGAAACATGTTACCAACGAAGTCAAACGTAAGTTCCGCACTCTTGGCTGTGACAGTAACGCAAGTTTGTTACAATGCCCTTGATTGGAATCCGCAAGGAAAAAGACGCCCTGGAGCTCCAAAAGCTACTTAGCACAGAACAGTAATAAAAAAATGTCAGCTTAATGTGCGGACAGAGAAGTTGTACAAACTAGGTGACAGAGCCAGCGACATAGTCAGATGGAAAACCTTTTGTTGTAACCTAAGCTCCACATATGAACATGGTTACAGAAAGTAAGTAAAGGCAAATTAGAATCATTATCCAACAAATATCATACTTTTATTATCCAAAAGGTTCTTAACAAAATTAAAATTGTTTTATTGATTTTTTTAACCACGCATTTTCTTGATTGCTTTAGTTCTGAATATTATGTTCACATCAATCTATAAAGCTCAGATTGTTAAATGTGGAAAGTTTATAAAATAAATGAAAATTACAAAACTTTTGATTTTTATATCCACAATTTCCATCTTAAACTTAGCAATCAGCACCAAATCTATAAACAGTGATCAACATTTGGCTGAAAACATCTGCAGAATCACAAATGACATTATAAAATCAACAAATGACACTCAAGACATTCTTATTGGGAACTTAGGAGGCATCATTTGGTCATCTGCAGTTAACGAGATAATCAAATGCATTGCTGATGAAACAGCTGTTGTATTCACTGATTTGAGGATTAAAATGATTAATTCAAATCTGAGAAAGGCAGCAGTTATAATCATGGCTTTCGATAAAGTTGATGGGGCAAGTATAAATGAGGTTTCTTCAAATGGTTTATTAGTATTCAGAATTCCTGAGTCTATCAGCCATTTTCCTTGATAACTTATCTTTCTACTCGTCCTCTTCAATAGGAAATCGTGTCAAAACTCATCAATCACCACCATGGCTCATCAATCTATCATCACATGGCTAAAATAATCTGCATTATATTCAGCACATCAACACAAAGTCAAAGAATGCAAGCATTAAAATATTTCATTGGATTTGGTCACTTAAACTTTGCATTAGCATACAAGTCTTCGTCTGGAGACGTAATTTATGAAATTGTCAAGTCGCTCCCAAATCGAGGATGGCTGTTTAACAGTCCACAAAATTTCTTACTTATTTTTCCTGACAAATTGAAGAACTTGAACAAATTTAAGTACAAAGTTCCGATTTTTTATCAACCGCCGGTTATTGAATTCACAAAAAATCCAATTTTCACTCCAATGTTGTTTTTCTTAAGTGCTGTTGGTGCTGCACAGAATGCTGAATTTGATTTGATATTTTTGCAGAATTCGTCTGATTTTGTCACTTATTGGCATAATCGTCAGATGCACTTGTCCTTAAATACTGCCAGAGTGCTGCAATATCCTGACCCAAAAGTTCAAACTTATGACAAAAAGAGCTATTGTGCCTTGATTCCATTTCCTCAAACAGCTTCATACTTCAGTGTCATTATTGTCAAGCCATTCGATGTTCTCATTTGGGTCTTCTTTGTTCTCTCGATTGTCAGTTCTGTTGCTGTCTGGCGGATGTATCAAGATTGTGGTGCTGTTGATTCCCATTGGCAGCTTGCTGTTGGTGTTTTCACAATGTTCATCGGTCAAGGTGCTGAATTCTCACGTCATAATCGTTTTGTGTTTGCTATGTTACTCAATATCATAAGTTTATCAGTGTTCCTGCTTAGCAACTTGTATGAGGGTCTTATTTTTAATGTATTTAAATTTAATCCCAAATTTATTTTTAAGTCAATTTTTAACAGCTTTAAATTCAAAAACTTTTTTCTCTTCCTTAACTTCAACTTTAAACTTCTTTTTGGCCTTTAGGTGGTTCTGGATCTTCATCTCTGATTTTGGTTTCTTCTCAGCCTTAATCTTCTTCACAGCCTTAATCTTCATCTCAGCCTTAATCTCCATCTCAGTCCTAATCTCCTTTTCAATCTTAACCTTCACATCCTCATCCATGTGAGTTTTTATGTGCTTTTTAAACCTCTTTGAGCTGTCACATTCAAATCCACAAATTTGACATTTGTTAGTCTTTGGCCTATTTGGTTCATGGATGTTCCTCATATGAGTATCAAGGCAGAACTGTCTGATAAACTTTTTGAAGCAAATATTACATTGGAATATTTTAGCCGTTTGGTGGAAGTTACGGACATGCTTTATCATTTGGCGCTCCAATCTAAACGTCTTCCTGCATTGTTGACAATTAAATTTATGAATTACTTTGTGATTCTTTAAATCGATTGCTGATTTAAATAATTTTGGACACAAATCACATTGTAATGTCTTTAAGCTTTTTAATGTCTTAATGCCGTTCTTGTTGTCCTCAATCTTCATTTTTGTTGGTTTTAGTATGTTTAATTTTGAATCATTATTTGACGTGACTTTAAGCTTAATTTTTTTACATTTCAATAGCTTAATGCAATCCTTATCGTCATTAACTTCATCATCAATGACAATTATTTGTTCATCGTCTAGTTGCTCATTTAATTGATTGAATAGTGAACCTGGAAGATCAATGAAGAGCTCATCAATGTCTCTTATTGGAAGCATTCCAAATGGACTGTCTGGATCTTCTTTTTTTGTTGGTTTAAGTTCAATTATATCGCAGGATGTGTCGAAGGTTTCGTCAGTTAAAAGTTCCTCTGTTTTGATTGCTTCGGATGAAATGTTAATGATTTCAACATTTTGGGGTTCATCTTTGACTCGGATGGTTGCTTGGTCTTTTTGTGGTATATTTGGCTTGATGTCAATGATTTCTGTTGTTCTTAGTGAATGATTGACTTGATTTTGAAGTTGATTGCTGCTGATGCTTTCCTGATTGATTTGAGTAGATTCTTGGATTACATTATTAGTTCTTGGTTCAATGTTGATGAGTTCTGGCTTCAGCTGGACACTGTCTTGTCTAGTACTGTCGACTTTTTGAGATATTGTTGGTTTGCTGATTTTATTGGAATTTGAAGCATTTTTAGCTTTGGTTGTTGCGGATTTTTGACTGAATTCAATAATTCTTCCTGATCTTAACCTTCTTGGTTCTGATATGTTGATCTTTAATTCATCGTTCACTAGTTGTGGTGTATTTTGTTCCTTAATCTTCAAAATTGCTTCAATTTCTATTTTTGCTCGTTTAGCGTCTGGTTGCATCTCAAAATCGTCCTCGTTCAACTCAATCCTCATTTTTGTTGGTTTTAATTTTAAATCTTTTGATGACATGACTTCAGGATTTAATTACGAATGTTTGTTAAATGTTCTAGCTTATGTCGTTGACTGTGGATTGGATGTATTATTTGAGAATATTAATAGCTAAAGTATACACAATATCAGTACCTAAATTCTTATTTGAGATTATAAAGTCTTAAGAATAAACAAAGATTTGATGAATTTTGCATTTTTAGCAAATGCTGATTGACCGATCTTGATTTTTAATTTTTGCAAAATTATTTGTTTTGTGTTGATTTCTTGTAGGGTTGCCTGATTGTTAACACTAGCGCCATCTATTGATAGGCTGTCAAACTGCGTACTTTTGAGCGGGACAGAAACACATTTTTTAAACTTATTTTCCCTGGAAAATGCTTCAAAATTTGGTCTGTGAAGCTTTCTTACAGTTGAAATCGGGACATAATCCAGAAACTGATAGACATGAATACTTATGTTAAAGGCAAATGTTAACGCGTGCGTCAAATCAGTGCTTCTATATGGCTGTGAAACATGTTACCAACGAAGTCAAACGTAAGTTCCGCACTCTTGGCTGTGACAGTAACGCAAGTTTGTTACAATGCCCTTGATTGGAATCCGCAAGGAAAAAGACGCCCTGGAGCTCCAAAAGCTACTTAGCACAGAACAGTAATAAAAAAATGTCAGCTTAATGTGCGGACAGAGAAGTTGTACAAACTAGGTGACAGAGCCAGCGACATAGTCAGATGGAAAACCTTTTGTTGTAACCTAAGCTCCACATATGAACATGGTTACAGAAAGTAAGTAAAGGCAAATTAGAATCATTATCCAACAAATATCATACTTTTATTATCCAAAAGGTTCTTAACAAAATTAAAATTGTTTTATTGATTTTTTTAACCACGCATTTTCTTGATTGCTTTAGTTCTGAATATTATGTTCACATCAATCTATAAAGCTCAGATTGTTAAATGTGGAAAGTTTATAAAATAAATGAAAATTACAAAACTTTTGATTTTTATATCCACAATTTCCATCTTAAACTTAGCAATCAGCACCAAATCTATAAACAGTGATCAACATTTGGCTGAAAACATCTGCAGAATCACAAATGACATTATAAAATCAACAAATGACACTCAAGACATTCTTATTGGGAACTTAGGAGGCATCATTTGGTCATCTGCAGTTAACGAGATAATCAAATGCATTGCTGATGAAACAGCTGTTGTATTCACTGATTTGAGGATTAAAATGATTAATTCAAATCTGAGAAAGGCAGCAGTTATAATCATGGCTTTCGATAAAGTTGATGGGGCAAGTATAAATGAGGTTTCTTCAAATGGTTTATTAGTATTCAGAATTCCTGAGTCTATCAGCCATTTTCCTTGATAACTTATCTTTCTACTCGTCCTCTTCAATAGGAAATCGTGTCAAAACTCATCAATCACCACCATGGCTCATCAATCTATCATCACATGGCTAAAATAATCTGCATTATATTCAGCACATCAACACAAAGTCAAAGAATGCAAGCATTAAAATATTTCATTGGATTTGGTCACTTAAACTTTGCATTAGCATACAAGTCTTCGTCTGGAGACGTAATTTATGAAATTGTCAAGTCGCTCCCAAATCGAGGATGGCTGTTTAACAGTCCACAAAATTTCTTACTTATTTTTCCTGACAAATTGAAGAACTTGAACAAATTTAAGTACAAAGTTCCGATTTTTTATCAACCGCCGGTTATTGAATTCACAAAAAATCCAATTTTCACTCCAATGTTGTTTTTCTTAAGTGCTGTTGGTGCTGCACAGAATGCTGAATTTGATTTGATATTTTTGCAGAATTCGTCTGATTTTGTCACTTATTGGCATAATCGTCAGATGCACTTGTCCTTAAATACTGCCAGAGTGCTGCAATATCCTGACCCAAAAGTTCAAACTTATGACAAAAAGAGCTATTGTGCCTTGATTCCATTTCCTCAAACAGCTTCATACTTCAGTGTCATTATTGTCAAGCCATTCGATGTTCTCATTTGGGTCTTCTTTGTTCTCTCGATTGTCAGTTCTGTTGCTGTCTGGCGGATGTATCAAGATTGTGGTGCTGTTGATTCCCATTGGCAGCTTGCTGTTGGTGTTTTCACAATGTTCATCGGTCAAGGTGCTGAATTCTCACGTCATAATCGTTTTGTGTTTGCTATGTTACTCAATATCATAAGTTTATCAGTGTTCCTGCTTAGCAACTTGTATGAGGGTGCCATTACATCCTTCATGATTGAACCAGCTCGTGACAACCGATTGAAGACTGTTGATGACTTGTTGAATTCGGACTATCAGTTTCAAGCTAGTCAGTTATTTGAATACACATTGAAGAACTCGAGTTTGGTTCAAAGAATGTCATCGAGACTAAACTCATCAGGTCTCCAAATGGGAACTAAAGGTACAAAGCATGTCTTTGGGCAATATTATGTCTTCATAAGAACATGTGATGAGGCTAGAATCACTTTAAATCACAAGCTTTTAAATGGTCAACTTGTCTCTGATTATTATTATCTGTTACCAGAAGAGCTCTCATGGCAGTATGTGCAGCTAGAAGCAAGCTACTTAAATCCATTTGTAGAGAGGATCCAGTACTACATGGATTTGTGTTTTCAAGCAGGTTTGCCACATATGTGGCGGGTTATGTCATCTCAAGATTACTCAGAGATTATCTGTCCACAAAGTAGAGATGAGAGAAATACTTGGAACTGCAGGATCTTAGATCAGTCTTTGGAGTTCTGTTGATTGGGCTTGGACTGTCAGGGGTTGTATTGCTGTTTAAGGTATTTTATCATGACTGCATCACAAATGTCAATCTTCGTGGCTGTTTATTGAGCTACTTTACGAATTTATTTCGAAAAGCTCAAAGAATAAATAAATTAAGAGTTCGAAAGATTAATGTTCGTCCAGTTCATGTGGATTTAGATTAGATATTTCATTCTATAATATTTTACACACGTTAGATGATCCAGAAACTGTTAGAATTCTTTCTACATCAACAAAAAGACACACATTATTAAAATCAATAAACTTTAAATTAGCTCATGCCAGATAGGACATAAAGATATTAAAGTAATACCTTAATTGCGATATAAAATCGTTTTAATGGCTTTGCGTTAGAAAATTGTGACTGCTGATTCAGCATTGAGTGTTGAGTTTGTGTTTTAAATAATTTTTTGATTTGATTCTTGTTAAAGTTGGTTGAATTTACAAGCTAAATAATAAAAGTAATCATTATCAATGAGATTTACAAAACTTTTCATAATTGCATCCGCAATTTACATCCTTGATGCATCGTTAAGCACCAAATTCGCACTTAAATTTCAAACTGTTGATCTTAACTTAGCAAAAAGCATTTGTAAAATCACAAATGATGTCATAAGTAAATCAACAGACACTCAAGACATCCTCTTTTTAAATTCAAAAGCAATAAAAGAGTCAACGACAGTCAATAAGGTTTTGACATGCATTTATGATGAAACGGCCGTTGTAGTTACGGAATTCAGGAAGAAAACTTTAATAAAAGGTTTGAGGAAAGCAGCAGTCATAATTATGGCTTTTGATAGCATAGATGGGGTTAGTCTAAGTTTTGAGTTTAAAATAGAAAACTGTGGCTCGTTTCTGGCGCTATCTGAGGCATTTAAACTTAATCCAAGCTGAAAATAGCACTAGAAACCTGCCTTTAATCAACAAGTTTATTAAAAAGTTTATTTTTACAGATCTCAATTGCAAAATTCATCGTTGAACAACGAAACTCGACAGTTTTTCATCACATGGCCAAAGTCATCTTCATTGCACCTAATTCATCGACTCAAATCCAAAGACTACAAGCTCTTGAATACTTTTTAGGACTTGGATTTTTAAATGTTGCAATTGCACACGAAGCTTCATCCGTTGATGTTTATTATGAAATTGTACAATCTCTTTCTAGGCACGTTAGAACGCTGGTTAACCCATTAGCTGTTTTTCCAGACAAACTTAGAAATGCGGAAGGTTTTCGTTACAAGTTACCAATCTATTATCAACCAGGAGTTTTGACTATTAATAAAAACAACAAAATTTCATCTCCGATGCTTTATTTCTTGCAAGCTATTAAAGATGTACAAAATGCTGAATTTGACATTACATTTCTTCTTAATGTGTCTCATTTTGACAAATTTTGGAAAAACTGACAAATGCATCTGACGATTAATACTGGAAAACTTATGCCGTATACTGATCCAAAGGTTCTAACTTATGACAAGAAAAGCTACTGTGCCTTGATTCCTATTCCTCAAAATGCATTATACTTCAGTGTTATTTTTCTCAAGCCATTCGATTCTCTCATTTGGGTTCTCTTTGTTCTTTCGATTGTCAGTTCTGTTGCTGTCTGGCGATTGTATCAAGGTCATGGTGCTGTTGATTCCCATTGGCACTTTACTGCTGGCATTTTCATGATGTTTATCGGTCAAAATGCTAATTTTTCGCGTAAAAATCGATTTGTACTTGCTGTTTTGCTCAACGTCATCTGCATGTCTTTTTTCATGCTCAGTAATCTATACGAAGGTGCGATTACGTCCTTTGTAATTGAACCAGCTCTTGACAAACGGTTGAAGACTGCTGATGACTTACTAAGATCAGAGTATGAATTTATTTCGAATACACTTTTCGAGTACGCATTCAGGAATTCAAGTTTAGTCCATAAAATGTCATCGAGACTAAATTCATCAGGATTATTGCTGGGAGCTGATGATAGCTACATTATTAAACAAAGTTATGTAGTCATAGGAACATGCAATGAGACTAGGATTATCTTAAGTCACAAGCTAGCAAATGATCGACATGTCTCTGATTACTATTATCTTTTACCAGAAGAACTATCATGGCAGTATATCCAGTTGGAAGCAAGCCACTTGAATCCATTCGTGGAAAGGTTCCAATATTTTATGGATTTGTGTTTTCAAGCAGGATTGCCACAAATGTGGAAAGTAATGGCTTTTCAAGATTCAAAGTTCGTTATTACACAGCGTGGGGTTAATAGGAACTACTTAGAACTGCAGGATATCAGCACAGTTCTTAGGATTTTGGTCGTTGGTTTAGGACTGTCAGTGATTTCACTGCTGATTGAAATTTTTTATCATGATTGTTTAGGGAAATTAAGTTTAAGTGGGATTGTAAGATTCTTGAGGAATGGCGTTAGAAAAATGTTTCAAAGAAGGAAGAAACTTAAAGTTCGAAGAATTTATGCTCGTCCGTCGAAATCTACATAAATTATTAAGCTTATTTGAGGTTTCATAATCGTTACAGCTTCAATGTGATTTATTTTAATTCAAAAAAACCTTTTTATTTTTTTCTCACTTTTTTTTAAAAAAATCATCCAACAAACTTAAAAGAATGCTCGTCAGTCTGTCTCTTTCCGCCAACAGTCAAACTTTTCTCAGTCATCTTAAACACTTCCACATCATCCTCCAACTGATTATGATCAAATTTAGAATTTTCATCATTTTTCATCCCTTGATTCTGTTTCTGCGCTTCTCGTGGGATTGCAAATCTTATTCTTTGCTCCGTTGTTGCCTCTGCTGCATTGTGGACATGATTATTGGATTCTTGTGTTGAGGCTGTTGTTAAATGATGAGTCCTAATGTCCCCTGCATCATGTTGTGTTGTTGACTTTTTGAGGTTATGTTTTGATCCCAGTTTATTATCTTCTTGAGACTCAACTTTGTCTCTTTTGTCAGCAATTGTCCATTCATCTTTAGGTGTTGTGCTTTGGCTGTGGAGTATTTTGTGATTTATTTTGTTTGTGGTGTTTTTTGAGTGGTAGCTTGTGGTGCTGTTATGATTGTAAATAAGGTTGGGAGTTGATTTATTTTTGTAGCTTGCTGTTAGGTTTTGATTGTGATTCGAAACATGTTTAGGATTACTTTGGTGAGTTGTAAGTTTTTGGTTACTGCTGTGATTTATTGTATTTTTAGGAGAGTGGCTTGGATCATGTTCAGAGTTAATAGTATGGTTTCTACTGGATTTTACCCTTCGAGTGGTTCTTAAGCTTGTCGCATGATTGCTTGAATTCGATTCTTTATTAGTCTTGTTGTTATGAGTTGAATTTTTAACCTTGACTGTTGAATTATGAACAATTTGGGTTGTTTTTGGATTATTGGTTAGCTTATTGGTGTGATTGACATAATGTCGCGTACTATTAACCAAATAAGACTCAGTTGTTCCGAAATCATTTGTTGACTGATGTAAAACTGGATCAATGGATGGCTTAGTAGAACTTTTATTATTTGTAGACTTCAGACTGCTTTTTGTTGATGCTTTTAATAGTTCTGTTGAATTTGTAATTTTATCATTAACTGTGGACGAGCTATTGCCAAATTTTCCTGGATTATGAAGGGTTTTATTAATTTTATCAATCTTTGTTGTCATCATATTGTGATCTATTGATCGTGTAGTCTTTTGATGAGTTCCATCAGATGTATTCATCTTTATTGAAGAATTATTCAAATTAGCTTCAATATTTTCATCTGAATCCTCACAATCATGATTTGGTTCTTCTGAATTTTGATCAATTTTTGAAGTCGATTTATAAGGTTGTGTCGAATAATCATGTTTATCATCATTAATTCTCGCAGATGTGCTATGATAGATTGTTGAATCTGTGTCCAATGCAGTCTTACTTAGCTCATTTGAATGATAATCTTGTTCAGTGATGTGTTCTTCAGTTTGGTGATTGTTAGTCTCTTGGTCCTCTGAATGATCAACTTCTAAAGTAGAATTTTCATTTTGACTGCTGTCAGTTGTCTGAAGGATTGTATGAGCTAAGTTTTCATCAGAATCTCCATTTGTTGTTTTCTTGATATCAATTTTATTGCCATGATGACTTTCAAAGCTGTCTTTAGGCACATTTGATGGCCGTTGATAGCTAAATCCATGTTGATTATGACTTTGATTGTCTTTGTGATTAATGTGATTTTCTGCAGAGTTGTCTTGATCAGTTGCATCTCGTTCTAAAGCACGTATATTATTATTATTAATGAGTAAGTAGCTCGAGTAGTTTCACACTTACTTTTGATAATTTTTGAATTTTCATCATTGTCGTGAATCAATTCAAAATTAACATCAGTTTGGTTACTATTAGTGCCATTACTCAGCATTAATTCATCAGATTCAGTCTTATTACTGCCAATTGAGAAGTTCTCGATCGAAAAATTAGCTACATAATTTAAACGACCAATAAAAATTACAATAAAAATTTTCACAATCATTTCTGGCCACTTCTGATACAACTTTTTCATTGTTTAAATTTATTAAAATTATTAAAAAGCTAAAACATTTTTTACAATTTCCTGAAACAAGCTTGACAACAAAAATTTAACGCTACTCAAAAATTTGGTACTTTTTTGTGTAAAACAACATTTTGAAATAGTTTAAAAAATTTAATATTTTTATTAAAATAACTTTAAGCATCTCTGAAACAACCTACAGCACCCGTAACATCGAAAGACTAATTGAGTATTAAAAAATTATTCCCAAAACCTTAAAAAAACATCTTTATTCTAATCATCCTTCCTCAGCTTCTTGCTGGCAACTTCAAGAGCCTCAAGCCACATTCTCAGTTCTTCTGGCTGTTCTGGTCGCTTCTGTCCACCCTCAAATTTCTTCATCAAATCCATGACATTAACTTTTGTGATATTTTGCTTTGACATTGCTATTGCTCTAACAAAGCCATCAAATGTGATGAATTTTTGCTGTAAGTAAATTGCCTTCTCGTCCCACCAGATGAGCTCAGTTGTGATCTTATAGAAGTTAAAGATTGGAATTGTACGACGATAACGAACGGAACTGGCTCCTTGAACAGCTCCACCACCCATGCTTTTGATTGCTGAATAGATTCCAGTTAGACCGTAGTAGTGGAATCGTGCAAAATCAAGTTCTCGGACATATCGGGCGTTGTTCATGTGACGGATGAAGATGTCGACGTCTTGGGTTGTGCAGAGGCCTGCAAAATTTGGAAGGAAATTGAGAAAATTGAAGTATTTTTGTTGTATGTGCTGACAACTGTTTCAGACTCCATCAAGGATGTGGAACTGATCAAAATGATCAAAATGTGAAATATCAGTTCCACGTCTTTAGAATCCATTCATCAAAAAACCTTTGATAACAATTAAACCCCAAAACTCACCATAAATCGATGTCATTTCACTGATTTTTCGTTTTCGCTGGAAGAATTGAGCAAAACCGAGTGTAAAGACGCATCTGATAAAGTAGTTGACATCCCAGATGATGTAGATGAACAAGGCAATTACGATTGTTGTGAAACCCATGTTTGGTGATGATCTGTGAAATGTTTAATTTGATTAAAGCAAATATTGAAGTTAAATAATTAAAAGCATTAAACAAGTGATGGGTAACGTGTGTTTCATGGTCCACCTCAGGGGCGTAGCAAGGAATTTGAAGAGGGGGGGGGGGGGGCAAAAAAAATTTCATATGGAAAATTCAGAGGATAGGTTAGGATTTTTATGATTTTTTTTATAGAACTCTTAGCAAACTGAAGAAATTTCTGTTAACGTGGAGGGATTTGCCCCCCAAATCTCATCCCCCCCTGGTTACGCGCCTGGTCCACTTTTACATCTAAGAAAGGTTTTAGATATGCAACATATTTTTTGACACATCTGAGACCTTTTATACCAAACCTGAATTTTAAGTCATTTAGTAGGATAGTAGCTCAAAAAAGGTTGACCACCCCTGGTTTAATCACAAAATTATAAACTTATTCAAAAACCACCTTTAACTATTAAAGATATCATAAACTGAACTTTTTCATCAATAAGCTACGTTCAACATCAAAAATCGAAGAAATAATCAAAAAAAAATATTTACAAGAACCAATTTTCTTTTCTTTTTGGACTTGAATGTAAAAACTGTTTCACAATTCTTCTTCATGCATGCGGCGATAGCCAAAGGTGAGCCACACATAGAAGTTGAATATTGAATAAATTACTCTATCAACACTAACACTAGTGAGCGTTTTGTACGGTAAATAATTTGTTTTATTAAAATTTTAATCATTTTGTAGCTTTTGAGGATTTAAGTGCAATTAAATCTGACTGCAATCGATGACAAATTCAATTCAATTAAGTCAGCAGCTTCTAAAATTATTTTAATACAAAACTTACCGAAAATCTAAATGAAAAACCACTTGTTGGCAACCAAAAGCTAAGACGACGAATATCCGACTGCAAATGTTTTCATTACTTAACTTGATTCTCTCAAGATTTTTTGTGATTCTCTCAATTTTCTTTCGCAAAACAACTCAATTTTTTTTAAAATTTTAGTCTTTCAGGTTGCAGACTTTTCAAAAAAATTAAAAAAAAACTTTATTTTTTATTCTTTCAAAAATTTGAACTTTTTTTACATTTTTTACAACATTTTATGATCTTGTAGTTTGTTGAATCCATGGGAGGTAATTTGCAACATTCACATATACACCTGGTACATTAGACGTTCCACAGCCAATCCCCCAAGCCACCAATCTGTTAAAAAACAATTTCAAGTTTATGAATTTGATTTAAAAACTAGATTCAAAAAATGTTGAAAAAATTATTCTTAAAGGTATCAATCAGATCGTTGTAAGTTCCTGGATGTTAATTTTTGTTACTTACCCAACCACATACCACTGATTCACTATTTGACATACAAGTGGTGCTCCTCCATCACCTGTACAGGCATCTAAAATGAGAATTGATGTGTAGTGTCTGGGCAGAGTGGAATCTGGAGTTTCTAGCCATATAACGGCTAATCTACCAGGGGTGTAGATCATCTGGAAGAAACCATGGAAATTCATGAAAATCCATGTAATTTAAAGGTTTTCTATGATCTTAGGATCGTTTGTCAAAGTCCATGGAATCCCATGGAATTTCATGGTTTCTGCCAGATGATCCGGACTCATCTACCAGTGCAAGAATTATGCAATGGACTGGATATCAGTAACTCTCTTTTGTGAGGACGTGGGTTCGATTTCCATCTGAGACCTGCCTCTAAATCATTATATAGAGTAGATTTGGCAATAATTCTTACTATACTCAAGGCAATACAGTTAGGGAAGCAGACGAGAGGACAACAACTTAGTCTGACAATAGGCTAAGACATTAATCTCAAGACAAAATAAGGGGTGATTCACTTGTGACGTCCAACATTTGGGGGGGGGGTCAAACAATTTGTACCACATTGTGACAGGGGATGAAAAGAGGAGGGGGGGGTCAGGAAATTTGTTTCATCAATTATTTAATCAGGAAATTATAATTATTTGGTGTCTTGGATTCGATGTCACAGTTGGGAGGGGGTAGGGGGGTATTGACATCTGTGACAGACAGAGGAAAATGGGGGGGGGGGAAGGGGTGGTTTAAAAATTAGTTTTTTTGATAGACTTTATAAGCCCCTTATCTTGCTTCCAAAAGCTAACCTCCAATTTTGCTCACCTTTTCCATTTTCCCCTCCAGCACAAATGAAAGCTGTGTTGTCCAATATAAAATTTTGTCCAAGTCGAGTTGATCTCAGCAAGTTCTGACAAGTAATTTGATCAACAAGTGGAACATCTACTTCCTAGAAGTCAAGAATATTAATTCATTTTTCTCACACATTTTCAAAGCTATTTGTCTTACTGTCTGTTTACTTTGGTAGAATCCATTCATATTGTTGTAGCCCCAACCTGCAAAAACATTTCAAAATTTATTTAAAATTTACAGAAAACTACAGCCAAAGTCAAATCAAAGTTACGGAACCGATCGATCACATTCTCATAATTTTTGTTTAATTTTAAAACCAACCAGCAATCCAGCACCTAATAGCAGATGTAATTGGATTCGATGGCAAGCAAGCATTTGTTATTGTTGGCGTATCTCCCAAAGTCACAAATGAAACTCTCAAAATTGCAATGTCATTCTTCAAATTTCCATAATTTGCAAGTGGATGAATAAAAATTCGAGTTACTGGAAGCTGTCGACTTGGAATTCTTTCATTGTCAGCTGCTGCATCCCATTCACCAAGTCGAACGAAGAGTTGTGTTGAACTAGAATTAAATGAGATGTGAAAATATGGGGATTTGTGGATTTAAGCTTATTTAGAGTTCCTTACAACGATCCATTAAGCTTATGTGCTGTCGTCAAGACATGCTGATGATCAATCAATACTCCTGTTCCTAAATGAATAATTTTCAAGTTTAATGTGGCTTGATAAATAATAAATCTTTTTAGATTTACCAACAAATGTTTGATTGCCAAGAACAATCGCTGCAATCCAAGGATATGCTCCATATTGCTTTTAAAAATTAATAAATAATTCTTTATTTAAATCTAAATTTAATTTGTTCTAATCTTACGGATTGTCCAGATCCAATTGATGGACGATCAGCACCAGCAATGGGTGGATATCTCATGCCACATTGAAAGCCTTGATAACCTTAAAAAATATATTTTTAAAAAGTCTCAAAAATGAAGGAACTAAGGCTACGGAAAGACAACATCTGCAAACTCTTTCAATGGTTCTATAAAAATATGACTGATTATCAAAACTTCTTCAGTCTTATTCATCAAATTGTGCATATACAAAATTATTTTATACCTGCTGATAAGCAGCACCTGTCAAGTCCAGCATAGGAGCATGAAAATTGATTGTTCACAACTATAATTAAAAAAATATTCAACTTTTAAATGTTAATCTGAATTATTAAAAACGACAATAATAAGAAATTAATCATTTTTGATTCTTTGCAAACAAGCAGGGTCGTAGCCGGGAATTTAAATGAGAATTTGTTCATATAAAGCTTAGCAAAATGACCGTACTGAGATTTGTCACAGAAAACCCACTCGTCCGTGGCTACACGCTTGCATACAATTGAACTAAGTCAGGTAGTTTATATATGGGAGATTGAGAAAGCCGAAGTCTGACTTTGAAGCTGCCCAAATGTCAAGTGTATACATTCTCGTGGTATCCCTTGATACCACTAAATGCACCGCTGGTTACCGAGCCCTGTTCCGTAATAAGTCCTTTAAAGGATAGATTAAAAGCCTTTCCAAGCAAGTTCGCCTGTAGGGTGGCACCCAAAATTCAGACTAGGGACAGTGAGGTTGAAAACCAATTATTCCCGGAATCAACATGTACAAAGAAAGAAACATAAGGTAACCAGGACTGGATTAATAACGACGACCGAACGCAAACAACAATGGAAGAAAGTTTACCAAGATTGATTCCAGTTGATGCTGGTGTTGTAATTGCGATTGATGTACCTGTTGCTCCTGGAGGTGGAGATCCATTCTAAAAGTGTCAAAATTAATTTTAAATTAGTGTTTTAAAATATTGAAGTGAAGAGCTTTTGTCTCTTTTTTTTGAAGCATATAACAAATAATTCATGCATGAATGAAAAATCAAAAAATCCGTCTTAGACCCTTTTACACTTTACTAACCGTTTGTACTCGAATGTCGATTGCAGCTCCTGAAAAAAAAATATAAAATAATTAAACTATCTCAAAATTTCAACATTTAAGCTAACCTGATCCATCTAAATTCCCACTAGAGCCTGACGTTGAATTACAGAATCCGGATGGAACACAGAAGCAGACGCCAGGAACATTCTGGGAATTTATTTGATTTATTAAAAATAATATTGATATTAAATCTTTAAAGATGTTAAAAAAATTCCCCATTTTAGTTCAAAAATTGTGAATTTTCTGCTTGTAGATTTCAAATTAAACTAAATGAAAACTTTATTATTCTATAAAAAAATTGTAGGATTACGAAAGCATGTAAAGTTTTTTATGTCAACCATGTTTTGAACAATGTTTTTGTTTAGTAAATTCAGGTGAAGTTTATAAGGCTAAATAGTTTTTTAATAATTTGGTTATTTTTTCTAACGGATGTGACTCATGGCTTGTTAAGTATTGTCTACAGTAGAGGATTGGTAAGCTTCTCATTTAGAACAGCCACTAATTAGTGCATTTTTAAGCTGATTAAAAGATGCAACTTATTTTGAAAATTTCTTTCGTCGCTTCTTATCTGTGCTAAAGTTCTCATGTCTTTTAAGGGCTTACAACAACAAAGTTGTCGATTCTAATGTGTCATTGATGTACTAAATTAGGACAATTTTACATTTTGTTGTAAAGTCGATGTTAATTTTTTTTATATTTAAATAAATTTTCATTCATATTTTGATTTTACATTTTCAATTTCTATTCATAATGAAATATTGTTCTGATCAAGCTAGACATACATAATTTAATATTGAGAATCTATTGAATTTATGAAGCTGAAGTGAAATTAAATATTACGAGCAATATCCTTATTAAAATAAGGAGGTCATTAAGAAAACTTAAAAATGAGAGTACCGAGTTACTTCATAAACTTTATAGCTCTACTAAATTTGGTTAATTCACAAAGTGCTCCAAATGTTTGTTTTTGTGCCACGTCTGGAAGTTGCAATGGAGTAGGTGGAGGTGGGAATGGTGGTGGAACTGGAACAGGTACAGATGGAACAGGTTTGTATTATAGTTCATTCAAATTGATTTATGTTTTTCAAAGAAATACTTCACACTAATGTCTAGTAATTAAGTCTAGATCTAGTAAATAAACCGAAAAGCGGCAAGTAGGTTAATCGAATAGAAATCCGGTGCCAAGCTGGTGTGACTCTGGCATGATACTGGATTAAATTAGAGTCCAGCACGATACCAGAGTCACAATGGCTTGGTACCGGTTTTGTATTCGACTAAACGATTTGTGCTGTTCGGGTAAGTCTAGATATAGTGAATAAGCCTAGATCTAGTAATTACTAGACACTAGTGTCAAGAGTACACTTGGGGAAGTTTGATGGTTTTTATTACAATAAAAGAACAACAATCTAGGGTGATATCTAGCATGTGCCTTTAGAAAGGTGAAACTAGCGTAGGCAATTTGACACTAAATTCACATGTCTTTGCTTTAATTAAAGGAAATATGATTTTGCATCTGCCTTTGTCATGCCTTTGCAAAGGAAAAACTTGGATAGATCAAAGGCTATATTTCATCAAAGGCAATCAACACTGCAACACTCCTCATTTCGACCTCAAAATCATGTTTTACTTAACCTCTAATCTAATGTTGTCAAAACTGTGTGCTGTGGCACACTGGTGTAATGATGATTTTGAGAGAAAAATGTATAGGTTGCCGTAAAAAAAATATCTAAAGTCAAAGTGTGCCGTGGCTGAAAAAAGTTTGGTCAATACTGCTCTAATCAGACCTATCTAACCTCTCTTACTTACTTACTTCGCTGGTCGTACAGCCAATAGTGATCCATGACCTCCCTTAGCCGTGCCCTAAAACTAGCTCTATCTCTGGCTACCGTCAGCCAATTGCCGATTCCAAATGCAACAATGTCTCTATCAACATCCTTTTTCCATGAGTTCTTTGGTCATCTAACCTCTCATCTCTCATAAATCTACCATAATTAAATGATTCAGTTGACTAAAACTAATGAGATTGATATTATTTATTATTAAAACAGGAAACATAGACATAAGGATTCAAACAGTAAGCAAAACAAGCACAACAAAATCAAATTTAAAATCAAAATTGAATAAATTTCAGAACGGTCAGGCTTCATCAGGATCTGGAACATCAGTTCAATTGACATCGCCAGCGTCATCTGGGATTAATTATGGTGAATCAATTATTTTGTCACATTCAATTTGTTCATGAATAGGCTGTCCAAATGTGCACTTTTGAGAGGGACAGTCCCACTTTTTTGAACCCAATTTTATTGAAAAATGCTTGAAAACTTGGTCTGTCCAGCTTTTTCAGAGCTGAATTTAAGGCATGTTCCCCTTTTTGACAAAAAAACAATCGGCAAAAACCAATGGACAGCCTGTTGATAAATAATTTATTATTTTGTAACTTATATTATGACATCACTGAAACCAATAAATTTTACAGTCGTCAACTCTCAAGTATTTTGCCAATCTGGATTGGAACGGTGCTGTCCTTCGACTGGATATCAATGTGGAAGGAGATATCCTCCAGTAGCTGGTGCTAGACAACCAATACCAGGATCTGGACAAGCTGTAAGTATTGAAAATTTCGAAATTTGATCAGAGCTTTATTAAAGATTGGTTTGAGAACGATGTTGGTAGCAAAGAGTCAGCAACGTTGAGTGGAACTCTGGAATGCTACTAGCCAGACCTAGTTTTTAAAAACAGTCTGCAAAAGTTCTTAGTGAGAGGGTATTTGGGTACGAATCCCCCTTCCCAAAAATTTCCACTAGTTGCCTCCTCTTTTCAAATTCCTAGCTAGGCTCCAGACCCAGCATTTTACAAATAATCCTGCAAATAATATTTGATTGTGACTAGGTTAGACTTTCCTACGGAGCCTCAGAAATAAGCTATGTTCTTTAATTCATTTTTTTTGTTTTCAGAACTATGGAGCATATCCTTGGCTTGCAGGTATGGAAACTCAAAATCTAACCATTATTCTTGACAAATTTAATTTTTTTTATTTGTTCAGTAATTATGGGTCAGACAGACTTAAGTTTTCAAGGAACTGGTGCTCTTATCGATCACATGCATGTTTTAAGTAAGTATTTTAATATTTACCGAGCTATAAAAACTTAAATTTATCGCTATCTTTTCAAGCTGTTGCCCACAAACTGAACCAATCACTGTAAGTATCAAAACCCCAAATACATCAACATCCAAATTTTCATTTTAAAATTAATACTTAAGTATTGATATCAGGGCCAGTGGACAGCCATTCATTGTTCAACTTGGCAGATGGGATGGCTTATCTGAGGTCATTCCATACCAAACGTTCACAGTGATGAGAATTTTTTCACATCCGTCATTTAATCCATCAAACTTACAAAATGATGTCGCAATTTTGAGGTTATCGCAGTCTGTTAATTTAGGAGCAACACCTACCGTTGGGGTGAGTTTTTTGGGATTTTTTTTTTGAGGTTATGTAAGTTTGTAAATTTCAAATATCTAGACTGCGTGCTTACCGACGAACATGATCAGTGGAGTAAGGTAAGTTCTGATAAGAATGAATTTAGAGAAATTTTGAAGTTTAAGAACTTAATTTTGACAGATGCATGGTTGCTGGTTACGGAAGTGCAAACTTTGGAGGACAGATAACCTCCAATTTATTGAAAGTAATTATTTTATATCTTTTTGACACAACTTCGAAGAGTATGATCAATATTTTGGCACAGACACTCATCAAATAATTGTCAAAATGCAACTTTTTATCCAAGTGTCTGAGTTAAGCTAAGTTTAGCAGCTAGATGCAATTTTTGACTCTATATCTCTATTGAGTCACCTGTTACAAGTTCTAAAGAATTTTATTTATTTTAGGAAGTTGACTTACCACTTGTGGATCAATTTACATGTCAAAACTTACTAAGATCGACTAGGTTGGGACAAAACTTTATATTAGATCAAAACAGCTTTTTGTGTGCTGGTGGTGAGCTTGGTAAAGGTAAGTTTTAAGTCTTTAAAAAAGTAACAATTGTCAATATTCATACATAAAGTCATTGTGCTGTTCTCTCTCTCGAATCGCACAAGTCGGTTAATCGATCAAAAATCCAGCACCAAACCGGTGTGACTTTTGCATGGTGCTTAAATTGATGCCAGAATCATATCTGCTTGGTTTATGAATTTTTATTCGATTAAACGAGTTGTCTTATTCAAGTCTGTAACCAAATTTCACCAAAAATCCAGCTGATTGACAACAAAGTGTCAAATTCTTCACTTTTGTTATATTTAAGCCTGCAACTTCTAAAACTTTAATCATATATTCATTAAAATTCCATCAATTATTTACAGACGCATGCACTGGCGATGGTGGAGCTCCCCTTGTTTGCCAGGTAGCCAATCAATGGTTTGTCTTTGGGTAAGCATGGATATGATTGATTGTAAAATTTTACAAATAAATCTTCGACATAATTTATAGATTGGTTGCATGGGGCATCGGATGTGGATCCTCAAACGTTCCTGGTGTCTATGTGAATGTTGTTAATTACATGAGTTGGATACAGCAGACTACAAACTCTCCTTAAATGTCAGTGACAAATAAGTGAATTTAATTTTTTTAGCTGCACAGAAAATATTAGTAAAATTCTTGAAACTTAAAATGTTAAAATAAAAATTATAAAATTAAAAAATATTATTAATTGAATCTCGTGACCTTAAGCATCATACAAATGAATTATTATCATCTATTGTACACCCAAAAATTGAGAAAATAATGAGCAAAGTCTACCTTATGATGCGGCATTGTTATTTTCTCTCTTTTTACTTTAGTCTCGTTTGTTTCTCCAATCGAGTAGGTTTACCAAAAAAAAAAAACACACAGAGAGAATAATTTACAGAAAAACCGGTACGAAGAAGCAATAAATTGAGAAATCACAGCTGATTTGTGACTTATTTCACAAAATTTTTAACCTTTTGAATGTTATTTTGTGAAAATTGTGGAATTAAAGCTGACAACATAGCTAAAGTCTATTAAATAATAAAATTAAAGTAGTTTTTGGAGACAAGTTATGTGATTTTCCTAAATTTTCTTTTTCAAACGTAAAATTCAGAGAACCAAGTCATGAGTAATCTACCAGAGGATATACTATTGATTATCTTTGATCATTTGGATGATGAGTCAATGTGGAATGCGCTTCAGGCTTCAAAGTTGTAAGTTTTGAAGGTTTTTAAATTAATTTTTACTAATTTTGTTGATGCAATGGCAGGTTTTGTGTTTCCTACGCGACCGTTTTAGCTTCTAAGTTCACTTTAGAGTTTGAACTTTGGATTTAAATCTTGATTTCATTTAATAAAAATGTTTAAGTTCTTTTGCAACTAAAAATGCTTGGAGAATCAAATCATTTCAAAACGTAAACACAAATGACCTTGAAAATTGTACAGGCAGTAAAAAAATCATACTTGTTCAGAATTTTTGGGTTTTCTATTTAAAAAATATGCATTTGCTGCCAACATTTTTTCAGAGGGCCTTAGGGGGATTGGGTGCGGTACAATAGGTTCTGTTCTAATTTGAATCGCAGTGCCGGGGGAGCATTTTTTGTTAGAAAAAAAATTTGTTGAAACGGAATTATTTGGAACTGATTTTTTTGGAAAACAATTATTTTTTTTTTTGGAAAATTTTATTTGGAAAATTATTGTGTTCCAAAAAAATCCGTTCCCAAAAATTTTCTTTTAACAAAAAATGGTCCGCCGCAGTGCCTTCAGCTGGGGCCTTCTCACATTATTATTAGGGGGAGTCTGCATGTTTAGCAAACGAATTGGGTGACCGGGAAGAAAGATGATGGATTGGTTGTTAAGAAAAGGTGTAAAAATACTAAGCATGGGACCTAGGTGGGAGGGAAGTGAAGTAGAAATGAAGAAAAAGAAATAAAATGTAAGTCATGGGAAGGGTCCAGGCTTTTGAGCTTTAGGCCCTCATGATGATGATGATGACTCCACTGTGAAATGTAGGGCGTTTACGAAGCTTTTGAATTTAACGCGATTTCTAGCTAATGCCGCAACCTCATTGAGTTGATAGCACTGCTGAGCCGCTTCTTTATGAATAGGCTCTAGTCACTGCGATTCAAATAAAGCAGAAGAAGTAGTAAGGAGTAAAAAATCAAGAGCTCAGTTCGAGTGCCTCGAAAAAAAATCACTTAGGACATTCAGAGGGGAAGGGGAGGTCAGTAAGGTCTTTTTTAAAAACTGATCGTAATTTTGTATGTCATTTGTGAACGAACCCTTTGTTGATAATTAAAAAATCTAAAACTTCTTGATTATGCTTTTGGAAAGTCATTTGAAGCTCAATTGCCGGATGAAAATGTTTTAAAAGATTCAAAGCAGTTCCATAGCTATTCTATCATCCCAGAACCCGAATAATACAACAAAATCTTAATGATAATTCAAAAATTTAATTCCAGTTGGGCCAGAATATTCTCAAACTCATCAAAGCACTTCTCAAAGTTCACCTTGCATTTAAATTCAGAAAAAGTTGACAGATTAACAAACATCAAGAACCTCCCAGATGTCCCAATCATTAAAATATCAATCGATGATTCTCAAGACATGAAGGTCCAATTTAGCTCCGAGGATATAAATAAAATGTCAAAAATCATCGATTTTTACAAAGAATCAATTAAGATTGTTGAGCTGAAGAACTTTGAATTAAGTTCGACTGATTATTTGTTGAAAATTATTAAAAGTTTGAAGCGTCTTGAGTCAATTTCGTTCGAGAATTGTAAAATGAATGATGTCAAGAAGCAGCTGCCTAAATTTATGCACCTCAAGTCAATTTACTTTCATGAATCCGACGACGAACTTTTTAAAATTTTCCACGCGCAGAAAAACGTCGAAAATATCTCAATTGTTCGCATGGAATGGGGCAATGACTTCTCGTGGGCTGACTTTGATGAAATGGCAAAAAATTACCCAAACTTAAATAAATTGGTCATGAGAGGACACGGAACTGCAAATTATTTTGAACATGGTGGATTTTCGTTCAAAATTCGTAAACTTGATGTGTTTTTGATGACATTTGACTGGACGAATCACTTACCGAGAACTCGTTTTCTTGAGTCACAAAAGGGAAGCTTGAAGGAACTGATACTTGAGAAGCTGCCATATGACTATGATGGTGGAGCTGTACTTAAATATATCATTGAGGAGATGAAGCTTGACACATTTTATTATGGAAAAATTCCATTAATTCTTGGTGGAAGGAAGCAGGAAGTTATGGAATTTAGGGTTCAAGAAGTTCAGATTCAGGCTGCATTTGAGATGTTTAGGCAGTTCCCAAGTGAGTTTGAATAGATTTTTCGAAACCTTTAAAAACTTGAATGTCAAAAAAATCGTTAAAAATTCGAAATATCAAAAATAGTTCAAATTTTAATTTTTTAAAAAATTGTCAACGTTTTGATTTTTTAAAAAACAAATTGTCAAAATGTGAATGTCAAAAAAATTGAAAATCTTAAATTTTTTAAAAACCTTAAAAAATTTGAAATATAAAAAGCTTAAAAATTTATTTTAAAAAACTTAAAAATTTAAAATTTTATAAGTTTAAAAATTATTTTAAAAAACCTTTAGAAATTTGAATTTTCAAAGTTCGTTAAAAATTGAATTTTAAAAATATAAATTATGAACTTTAATGTAAATCAATTTTTTTAACTTATCCCAAAACTTTTTCACAGCAATCACAAAATTCAGCCTGTTTCTGACCCAAACTGGACTAGATGCAGATGCAATTGGAGAAATCATCAATCAAGGCACTATGTTATTCACATGCTGCAAAGAACTTGAGATCGAGGACCGCAGCAACTACGAAACGCTCTTAGTAATGTTCACTGGACTCTACAAGAATTTTAGAAATATTCGAAAATTGACAATCATTTCTCCAGATTTGGAGATCAATTCAGTACTCGAGGAGTGTTTGCCTGAATTTACGCATTTAAATGAAATTTGTTTAAAATGTGACGTTCCTAATTCTATGCAGAGACTTCAACTTATCAGAGTTTTTGCACCAAATATCAAGAAATTAAGCATTAATGAAGAATTTGTGAATGATGCGAGGAAGTTTTTTGGAAATGATGTTGAAGTTGTTGGAATATAAAGCAAGCTGCTGCTTATAAAATGTATTAATTATTGTACTTAATAAAGTTAAACTTAATAAAATTATTAACATGCGATTGAGCATTGCATGGCATGAATCTACTTTTAGAATCTTAAATTACAGGATTTGAACTTACTTTTGACTTTAAATCAAGGAGCATTTCCAAAAGTTAAGGAAAGACCATGCAGACATCGCTAGGCAAGCGATCTTCTGAAATGTCCAAGGAAATAGGACTTGGGACCGACAGAGAATTACTTGGCGTACAACTGTTGAACGGGAGGTGGAACAACAGAACAAGAAGCTGCAGGAAATAGCAGCTTTGGCCCAGAATCGAGTGCGATTCAAATGCTTTACGGACGCCCTACGCTTCATAGTGGAGCAATAGGAACCCAATAGGAACCTTTAATTTATTTCATAAACTGATAATTTAAGTTCGCTTACGAAAATGGGTTAGTTCCCAAAATACCAACCAGGCCGTTCACTTATGACGTCCAAGGAGGGGAAGTCAAGAAGAAAAGAAAAACAGGCATTCCTGGAAATCCATTGTTCTTTTTGAAAATATTCCGGCCGTCATATGTGAACGATCCCAACTGGTTTTACAGGCTTCAATTCCAGCTTAAATGATTTTTTGTTCTCCAAACTGGATCCTTTCTTATTATTAAAATTCACATCCTGAAACAAAAGAACTAGCAAGCAATCAAGATCACTCCTTAATGTTACAGGACAGTCACTTAAAAATTTATTTAAATAATACAGAGCAGTCACAAAATAGTCATTTAATTCTCTTCCATTTTCGTTTTTTGCTTCGACAGTTGAGCTATTAAGTATGAGATGGGATCAGCTGGACGCTCTTTGGCTAATGCTTTTAGTGCCGGTAGTAAGATTGGATTAATAGTTTGGTCTAAATATTGACGTGTAGGCAAGCTATTTAAATCAGCTCTCTTCTTCTGCTGTTCCATTTCCTGATCTTTCTACTGGATGTTCTCAACTGCAAAATTATGGCTATTATCATATTTTTTTTGGGCATTTGTGAATTACAGTTGATCCTACCTTGTAAATTTCCACTAAATCCAACGACTTTGCCTCGTTAATTAAGCTATGCTTGACACAATTCTAATTTTTAAAATACACAAAACAAGTTTGTTTACAAGGGGATTAACAACTTAAGGTAAAAGTTTACAAATTTTCATTCCCCTTGGTTTTTAAATTATGTTTATTCGTTATTCTTCAAATTTAAAATACTTAAATAAAAAAAAAGTTTTACATAATTTAATTAAATTGAATTAATGAAGATTTAATTTTCATTTGGTTTGTGGCTATTGGATGTTAAAAACATATCAGAACTCCAATACTCTCATAGCAGATCCTAAATAGTTTGTACCAAATATCTAATACAAGTTCTACTTTGGGGAGATCCCGTTGATCTTGAATGGAGCTTAGCAAGGTGTTAAGGAATTCATAGGTTGGGATGTGCATTTTAGCTGTGCATTAGAAATGTTTCGAAAATTTCCTGGTGGGTATTCATACCTCCCCCGTCCCTTCTCCTGCCTTCCATCTCATCAAAAGCCATTTGACTTCATCTTTATTGAATTGACACTACTTTACTATTTATTACATTTCAGATATTCAATCATTCTCATTGTCCTTATAATAATAAAAATAATGTGTGAAGAGCCCAGCCTTTCAGCTGAAAGCACTTCGATTCAACTCGTTGATTCAACCACAAATTTAAATGAAATTTACCCGGGTGGACACAGCCAGTTAAAGTCCATTATTGGACAATCATTTAACAGTCTTTTAACTTGTCAAAATATATACGACATAGAGAACTATACGTTAACTAGACTTTAACTGGACATTCATGCTAATCAATCAAGTGTTCGAAACTCAAAAATAATTTTCCTTACTTTTTTGACCATATACTTCACAAGCGCTTGCAGAAATCACTTATATAAGGTCCACCAAAATTTGTATGAAACTTTTAAGTAAATATAATTGTTTCACGCGCAAGTATTCGAGACTCAATTTTTACTAGAGATTTTTGATAAGTGATAGTGTACTTTAATTAATTAATTACACTAATACAGTAATAAAATTTTACAAAAGAAAAAAATATGGAGAAAAAGACACGTGTTATTTATTTTATTTCGATTTTTTTGTAACTGGACATTAACTAGACATGTTTGCAATTCCTATGTCCAGTTAAATGGAAAGCGCAAAATATGTCATTAGTCGTCCCTAAGTCTAGTTGCAAAGGCACGTCAATGGATACTTACTCGCCGTGAAAAGGCAAGTCAATGGCAAGCTTTTAACTAGTACTTTGTCCACTCGGGTTATCTTAGTTCAACTGCTGTAAATTCAATGAAGAAGCTGCTCAAACCATCAAAAATCAAGGACTAAATGTTGGAAAGTTGATCGCTGCTGAGCAGTTTTTAAGGTGAAGCAAAAGATTTTTTTGGAAATGAATTGGAAAATTCAGAGGTTGGGGAATAAAATTGGGCTTCTCTCACAACAAATTTAATTTTTTTGACATTGCCTTTGACAGAAGGCTGACATCTTTCAATTCGTGTTACCAAAAAGTCACACAAAAAATGGCAAAAGTTGCAATATTGGCCACTAAAAATGTCAGACCAACTTTAAACATCTTCAATTTTAAAAAATGCACACGTAAACAATGCAACAGCTGTTCACGATCCTAAACATATCTCTTTAAACTTATTTTAATACAACTATACTCAGCTGGTGAGAAAGATTGTCAGTTGTGTGAGTGAGTCGAAGTTTGTTTAATCTTCAAAATCTCAAATTTTATTATTTTAAGGAATTTGTTGTTCAATTTTGGAGTTATTTTAAACTTGATAGATCTAATTAAAAAAGGAAAAACTTTAGGATTTAATTGAATAAAGTGTAAGTGATTACTTTGTCGTACTAAAAGCAATTTATTAAAATTTCTAGTTGAAAATAAAATAAAAATATTGTGAAATAATTCTTATGAGAATGAGAATTTCTCTCTCTTCCTCAATCTCAGCTGTTAATTTTCTCTCTTTTTTTAAAAAAAAGTTTCTAATGCTCAATTCTTATTCTCACTGATTTCTTAGCTAAATTGAAACTTATCATAAGTTAGTTTAAAATGGATCAACTGCCTGAAGACATCCTAATTGAAATCTTTTTACATTTGGACAACGAATCGATGCTCAATGTTATGAAAACATGTTCTCTGTAAGTATTTAATGGACTATCCCGAATAGCGGCTAATCGAATCCAGCACCATGCCAGAGTTATGCCAGTTTGGTGCTGGATTTCTATTTGATTAACCGACTTGTGCTATTCGAATGTGTCTGTGGCTACACAAGGCTCCCTAACCTTGAAATCAAATTTGATAAACTACAAAATTTTGTTTGAATAAAATTTATTTTGATATAGCAAAGCTAGCATCAGGAAGCCTTACACTTGCTCTACACACCGACCCCAGAATATTAATAAATTTATTTAATTATTTTTTCAGATTTTGTAACGTTTTCTCGACTTCATCAAAGCTTTTATTAAAATTTAACCTCAAAGTTACTCCAAAAAATGTAAATCACTTATCAGCACTTCTTGATGTGCCGTTTAAAAACATCACAATATCAGACATCAACACAGACGATGACTTGGCTCAAATTCATAACTTTGTGAAGAAATTTGGAAATTTTGTTGAAATTCTGAATTTCAAAAATATTTACATTCAAAAAATTGAGCTATTTTTGAAGGTTTTTGGTAATTTTTCGAACCTTAAAGAATTGATAATTGAGGAAGGCACAGTTGCAGCTTCAGAGACTGGATCAATACCTTTGCTTCCATCACTGAGATCCCTAACATTTGAGGAATGTTGCCAAAATATCTTCAAACTTTTCGTCCAACAGAGCGCAGTGAAAAAAGTCAAATTCTACAGAAATAAAATTTCCAACACAAGATACTTATTTGACAACTTCCTGCTAATGACTGCAGCTATGCCAAATCTTAATCATGCTATAATTAATGGATTTGCAGCTTCTTTATTCTTCAATTCGGATAATTTTACATTTAAAGTTCAAAAATTTGAGGCAACATTGCTGACTGGCTGGTGGTCTGTGACAGAGCCGAGGTTGAATTTTCTCAAGTCACAGCAAGGTGTATTGAAGGAACTAACAGTTCACAGACTGCCATACGATGATGATGGACATGACGTCTTAAAATTCATAATTGAGGAAATGAAGCTTGAAACATTTTACTTGAGGAAAATTCCTTTAATTTTGGATGGAAAGAAGCAAGAAGTCAAGAAATTAACTGTCAGTGAGTATGAAATATGCAGCATGTTCGAAATGGTCAGGCAGTATCCAATCCAATACTTGAGATTGATGTTAACACATACTCACATTGATGAGCCTGCTGTCTGTCAAGTTATTAATCCGGAGACGGATTTATTCGAGGATTTACAAAGTTTGGAAGTTGTGGACGGAAGCATGCAGCTGTACAATTTTCCGAGGTTCCTTGGACTCTATAAGAACTGCAGGAATATCAAAAAGTTGTCAATCAGCACAAATGACGACAACATCAACTTTGTTCTACGACAGTGCCTGCCAGAAATGACTCAACTAACTGAAGTTAACCTTAATGTGGATGTTAAAAAGGATTTAGTCATGGACATGTTGGAAGTAGTTAGAAAATATGTTAGAAATATTGAAAAATTTGGGATTATTGGAATATTTGCAGACGATGCACGAAAAGTTTTTAAAGAAAATGTTCAAATTATTGCAATTTAACTGAATAAATAAAAATTTGAGGTTGTTTCTAGCTTTATGCTTGCTTATTTATTTTGCTGGGAAAAAAGATCAATTGTGATTCATGGTTTACTTTTATAGCTGTATGCTGGAATTGAAATAGATTGTTTACCTGCCTTGTTTTGGATTTGGTTTAGTGGTTATTAAGAATTGGATTTCAAACCTTATTCTGAATAAATAATTGTGATCGGTTTCAGTAGGGTAAAGTCAGGGGTGTAGTCCTTCTTTCTTATTAAGATGCTCATTAAAGCCATAAAGTCGATATCATTAGAAATAATCCTAATCTATAATATAAATACTCTATTTCCTCGCTGACTATTGAACGGAAGCCGTGTGAAGCCATTTGTGAAGTCGTGTGAAATTGGGAAGTGTTGACAAGGTGGACGTCAGGTGTGGGGTGAGTGTCAGGTGGGGGGTGAATGTCAGGTGGAGGGCAAGGGGGGGTGTCAGGTATATTTTGTGAAGCCAATGATTTAAGGAGTGCTGACAAGGTGGGTGTCATTTAGGGGGGGGGGGGGGGGGTCCGAATTTGAGGGGGTTTGTGGGAAAAGTTTGGTGTCAGGAATATTTTGTGAAGCCATATAAAATTTTGTGAAGCCATGTGAAGTTTTGTGAAGCCATGCGAAGCTTTGTGAAAAGATGTGGTGGGTTTCGGGGGAATTAAAGTTTTTGAATCCGAGTTTGAGGGGGTTGTGAGGCCATGTGAAGTTTTGTGGTAGGGTTGGCCTTATAAACATTATGATTATTTGCGTCTTACAGTTATTTACATAATAGTAATCAAATTTTAACCCTGATAAGAGGTGCCACGGGCGCCTCCGGATAGCCTAGTTTTTATATAAACCCTGATAGCGGGCACCACTGGCACCCCCGAATAGCCTAGTGCAATAATAATACATAAGAAGGTTCACATTCTTTGGATCTTAAAATATTTAAGTTTGTAAATTTAAACAAAAATAACTCAAAATTCAGAAACTTTACAGAAAAATCTCAAATGAAGTTGTCAGAACTGGCAATAAAAGAATCGTGCATTCATGCTTAATTTACTAGTTGATGATTAAAATTCAAGAAAGATTGTGATAGAAAATGTCAAGAAAAATTTCAGACTTTTTTAAAGTTGAACCAAAATCATCAGAAACTAAAATTAACAATAAAAAGTTAAAAAATCAAATGACAGCCAAAACCGAAAATTCTTTAAATCTTCGTGAATGTCGAGTAAAATTAGATGACATAAGAAATGATCAAAAAATCAGCAAAATAAAGCTATTTGATGAAATTCTGACAAAAACTAAGAGCAGCACCAAGTTTAAGGATTATAAGTGTAATATCTGTGGGAAGACACTATCAACAAATCAGAATTTGAAAAGGCATATTGAAAATATCCATCAAATTAGTGCATTTGGTTGCACAATATGCAGCAACAGTTTTATGACTCAAAACTATTTAAATCAACACATCAAGACCGAACATCTAGTCGGCAAAAATGAATATTTTGAATGTGATTTTGATGGTAAAATCTTCAACAAAAAAACAAATTTTGTTAGTCACATGAATCTTCATCTTTCATTAGTTAAATGTGAAATTTGCCATAAAATGATATCAGTCCAGTACATTTATAATCACCGTAAAAATGTTCACGCGATCGACTGTAAGTATCAATGCAAAATATGCTTAAAAAGCTTCAAATCAATCAATTATTTGCGAAATCATAAAAAAATTCACGACAAGAAATACAAATGTGAGATTTGCGACAAGAAATTTATATATCAAGGACTCCTCAAAACACACGTTACGCTGCTTCATGAAAGTGAAAAAAGCTTTGAATGTAAAATTTGTAATAAGAAATTTAACCTAAAAGTTCTATGGAAAAAACATCAAAAAGTTCACGAAATATATCGTTCAAAGCCATTCAAATGTGAAAAATGTGACTTCGCGACAGACAACAAAAGATATTTTAAAAAGCATCAAATTTTTCACAATCGTCAAGACAAAAAGTTTTTGGCTATGAAAAATCCACTTCAATGTGAAAAATGTAAAATATTTTGTAGGGATTCTAAAGCTTTAAATGGTCACAAGTTAAATGTTCATCCAAAAGTTTTGTTTCAATGCGATTTATGTGCAAAGTTTATCAAAGTCAAGAAAAGCGTTATCAGTCACATGAAAGTCCACTTTCTCAAAAATTAAAGATTTCTCTGAATAAGCACGATGCCAAGACACGAGTACGTCTATAGACCTGATGTACCCTGCAATGTACCTAGTCACAATTTGTGTGCTCAAGATGCTGTAATGAAATCCTCCAGATGCTAGCATATCCTTGTATACCTAGCAAAGGAGGCATATTCTATGCCGAAGACTTCAAAACAACACCAAACTCATGAACCGAGCTTCGTAACTAGAAAAAGGTGAATTGGAAAAAGAGCTTCTAAAACTCGACTTGGCCTGATATTGAACTTGGCACATAAATCTTAAGCTGAATATTGTCATCAATTTAAACATATTCTTGTTAGTTGTTAAAAATGCTGACCAACTCAAAATCTTTCCTTTTCATGTTTGGAGATAATTTCTTGAAAATGAGAAAATTCTCTTGCAATTTATAAATATTGTTCTCTCTCTTTGTTTTGGACATTTCAGTGAGAGATTGAATTTTTATTATTTTTTTTTTCTTTCTGTAAGCATTCAGTTTATTTTTCGTGATTCAGTTGTCGCTGTATTTCCTTAATTGCTATAATACAAATTTGTCAAGAAAACAATCGAGTTAATTTAAATAAATAAGAAAATATAATTTTTTTAAACTGTTTTATATCATTGAAAGTAACATTTAAAGAATTGCTATTAAAAAATTCAAAACAAAGATGAATCACCTCCCAGAAGATGTTATAATTATGATCTTTGAATATTTAGATAATGACTCAATGTTAAGTGTTATACAGGCTTCGACATTGTGAGTAAAATTTTTATAAATTTAAAATATTATTCAATTTTTTTTAAATTTAAAGACTATATATTTTTTTATTTATAAAAAATTTTATTTTTTTTGGAAATTTTGAATTTTTGAAGTTTTTCTATTTTTGTTCAATTTAAATATTTTGTAATTTACAATTTTAAAAGGACCAGGCATAAAATCGTTTATTTATGACGTCCATAATTAACGGTCATTTTTCAAAAAAAAAAACATTGAATTTGCATTAATTAGTTGTTTTTTTGCTGACCTCCCCCCCCCCTCCTCCTCTCATTACGTCTTAAGTGAATGACCCCTAACTTAATCATAGATTTTGAAAATAATTCATTTGGGGCCGTTCACTTATTACGTTACGCAAAAAACGAGTTTTTTTTCACCCCCTCTTGTTACAATATGCTACAACTCACACCCCCCCCCCCCTGAATGTTCATAATTTATTTTATCATTACAAAGGTGGAAAATTAAACAAAAATGTTTTTGGTGTGAATTTGTAAACAATTTTTTTTCGTGAACTTTTTTTAAAAGACAGACGACAGTTTGAACGTTACATACTTCTTGACACCCCCCCCCCCCCTTTGTTACAATTTTTCAAACCCCCTCCCCCCTCCCTTCCCATTAAAATGCGAACGTAATAAGTGAACAGCCCCTTGATGAATTCGACGAATTTTTTTTAATAAATTAATAAGTTTTAAATTTTTTAATGAAAGTTTAAATTTTTAATTTTAAATCTTAAAACAATTTTATTTTTTTTAAAATTTTGTTCTAGTTTTGCCAACATTTTCTCATCTTCATCGAAACTTTTGCTAAAATTCAACTTATTTATTTATCCAGAAAATATAAATCAACTTTTACAAAACGAGCCAATCGCTAATATCTCATTTAAAAATGTCACTTTGTTCAGCTTTACGGTTGACAGTTCAACTAAGTTGCATGAATTGTTTAAAATGTTTAACTTTTCGATAGAAATTTTGAAACTTCAAAATGTAACTTTTAATAGTTTTGAGAATTTTGCTCAAACATTCTTACCAATGCTGAGTCTTAAATCGCTCCATTTGGAAAAATGTTCAATTGGTGGTAAAATAATCAGGTCACTGCCACCCATTCAGACACTAAAGTCAATAATATTCGATGAATGTCGTGGAAATTTATTCAAATATTTCAAAAATCAACGCTCAGTTGAAAAAATTGGCATTTGCAGACATAAGTGGACTTCCATAGCATTCTCAATTACTGATTTTAATAAAATGGCTTCAAATTTACCAAGTCTTAGTCATCTTGTCATGGATGGAACTGGAACTTCTGGCTACTTTGATTGTGGACAATTTCCATTTAAAATTCAAAAATTGGAAGCTTTTTTGATGACTTTTAATTGGACACAGACAATTCCACGATTAGACTTTTTAAAGTCACAGCAAGGATATTTAAAGGAATTGACCATCCACAAGCTGCCTTATGATTACGATGGTGGGGAAATGATTAAGTTTATCATTGAGGAAATGAAATTGGAAAAGTTTAACTTTGGACAGATTCCGTTGATTTTGAATGGAAGAAAGCAAGATGTTAAGGAATTAACAGCATGGGAAGTGAATATAACTGCTGCATTTGAGATTTTCAGGCAATTTCCATGTAAGTAAATAGATCCCATACCCTATCCCATACCCTATCCCATACCCTATCCCATACCCTATCCCATACCCTATCCCATACCCTATCCCATACCCTATCCCATACCCTATCCCATACCCTATCCCATACCCTATCCCATACCCTATCCCATACCCTATCCCATACCCTATCCCATACCCTATCCCATACCCTATCCCATACCCTATCCCATACCCTATCCCATACCCTATCCCATACCCTATCCCATACCCTATCACATACCCTATCCCATACCCTATCCCATACCCTATCCCATACCCTATCCCATACCCTATCCCATACCCTATCCCATACCCTATCCCATACCCTATCCCATACCCTATCCCATACCCTATCCCATACCCTATCCCATACCCTATCCCATACCCTATCCCATACCCTATCCCATACCCTATCCCATACCCTATCCCATACCCTATCCCATACCCTATCCCATACCCTATCCCATACCCTATCCCATACCCTATCCCATACCCTATCCCATACCCTATCCCATACCCTATCCCATACCCTATCCCATACCCTATCCCATACCCTATCCCATACCCTATCCCATACCCTATCCCATACCCTATCCCATACCCTATCCCATACCCTATCCCATACCCTATCCCATACCCTATCCCATACCCTATCCCATACCCTATCCCATACCCTATCCCATACCCTATCCCATACCCTATCCCATACCCTATCCCATACCCTATCCCATACCCTATCCCATACCCTATCCCATACCCTATCCCATACCCTATCCCATACCCTATCCCATACCCTATCCCATACCCTATCCCATACCCTATCCCATACCCTATCCCATACCCTATCCCATACCCTATCCCATACCCTATCCCATACCCTATCCCATACCCTATCCCATACCCTATCCCATACCCTATCCCATACCCTATCCCATACCCTATCCCATACCCTATCCCATACCCTATCCCATACCCTATCCCATACCCTATCCCATACCCTATCCCATACCCTATCCCATACCCTATCCCATACCCTATCCCATACCCTATCCCATACCCTATCCCATACCCTATCCCATACCCTATCCCATACCCTATCCCATACCCTATCCCATACCCTATCCCATACCGCTTCTGTTGCATAGGCTGGACTGAACTGTTCTGATAATTTTATCAGAATTCTGTTATTTATCGGAATTGTTCTGTTAATATTATCAGAATTCCGATAAATACCGAAAAAATTCTGCTAAAAAGTTCTGTTAGTAAAATTGCGATTCGCAATTATTTTTCAGAACTGTTCTGTTATTTATCAGAATTCTGTTAAATTTTCTTTCATATGTATTTAATAAATTATTTTAAATAATAATAAAAATTAAATGTAATAAAAGTAACATTGGACGAGATAGACTCAAGTCAGAAGAAAAATAGTAAAATAATCGGAACTTTTGTGACACTGTGTTAAAAAACTGATTGGGGCTGTTCACTTATTACGTTTTTTTTATACACATTTTGTAACAGAGGGAGGGTGGTTAAAAAGTCGTTTCTTTGCGAAACTTAATAAGTAAATGACTCCTTCGGGATGATTCAAATTAAATTTAAAGCTCTAAATAACAGATACCAATCAGGAACCAAACCCGCGTCATATGATTCCATTCATAGGTAATTTAAATGATGCTGGGTCATAAGTGTAAACGTCATTTTCAAATATAACTCCCTGTATAACTCAAAAAAAAATGAAAACACTCGAGGTTTATAAGTCCTGACACAAACTGTATAAATATTTATAAATAAACTCAGTGTAATTATAAGTAGTCTCATTTCTCTGGGTGTCAAACCCAAATCCTAAAACGTATCCCAAATGATTGAAAAATTTCTGAGCTATTCAAACCAGAAATAAATCTAATGATACAGAAATATTGTATAGCCCAAGACGCTCAAATGAGTGGTATATTTTAATATAAGAGATACTCTATTAAAAATTTTTATCAATTTTATGACCCAAATACCCAAATCTTGACCCAAATAGTAAATACTTTAAGGAATGAAAATCAGTTGTTTGAACAAATAAATTAGAAAATCCTAGACTTCCTTTAAAAGCTAAAACGTAATAAGTGAATAACCCCTTATCTGATAAAAGATTTTAGATCATGAAGTTGTTTTCTCCCTTTTTTTATGCTGCTAGTTTGAACTCTTGTGCTTGGAATGAAATCTTGGATTAATAATGTCTTCAGGAGTTTAGTCAGAAATTTTTCCAAAAAAGGATTTTGACCGCAAAAACCCGCGTTAACTACGCCACTGAATGTCTTTAACAAAGTGCTGAAGGTTAGCGTTTAAGAATGATGTTCATGATGCAATTATTAAAAAGGTCAAAAATCTACGCGTAGCTTTCATGTAGTGGTGATGATCAGCACCTGTCTTGAAAAAAAGTGAAACCTAGCGTAGGCAATTTGAAATTTGCATGAAAATTGTTTTGCAATTGCAAGACTATGCTTGAAGGCACCTTTTTATCAACACTGGCTTTTATGACATTTGATAATAATAAAATAAAAGTGTAGATAATTAACAGTAGAATTCCGATATTATCAGAACTGTTCTGATATTACGATGCTGAATATTCTGATGTTTTTATCTGAACAGTTCTGTAAAAAAAAAATTTTAAAAATGCGAATCGCAAAAATAAAATAACAGAAGAGTTCTGTAAAATATTCTGTTAATTTAACAGAACTTATCGGAATAGTTCTGAAAAATTCTGTTAAATTAACAGAACAAATCCAAAAAAGTTATCAGAATAGTTCTGTTAAATTTAACAGAACAGTTCAGTCCAGCCTATGCAACACACCCTCCCATACCCTATCCCATACCCTATCCCATACCCTATCCCATACCCTATCCCATACCCTATCCCATACCCTATCCCATACCCTATCCCATACCCTATCCCATACCCTATCCCATACCCTATCCCATACCCTATCCCATACCAATTATTAAAAATGTGATCAAATTTGGAAAGAAGTAATTTTAATGAAACTTTATTTTTTCCAGCAATTCAATCATTTACCTTGTTCCTCACTCAAACTCACCTTAATCAGTCAAAAATAAATGACATTGTCAAACCTCGCACCGATATATTTCAAAACCTTAAAAACCTGGACATTCTTGATCACAGTGGATCTTATAGTCATCCAACTAAGTTCATTGGTCTATACAAGAATTGCAAGAACATTACAAGATTGTCGCTAAGGACCAATAACAATGTTAATGACATTCTGACCGAGTGTCTTTCATATTTTACAAATTTGAACGAAATTTACTTGACGACTGGAAAGGACAAATCAAAAGAAAGTTTAAAAATTATCAAGAATCTAGCACCAAATTTGAAGAAGCTGAGTGTCGCGAAGGAAGTTGTGAATGATGCTAAGAATATGTTTGGAAAGGATGTTGAAATTATTGAAATATGACGTCCGTCAAAAAATGTATTTTTTTAAACCCCCTCAACTGTCGTGTCACAAAATTTAAATAAGAAAATTTTTCTTTTTTCAGAAAATCCAAGATGCCCTTCTCTAAATCTTGGACGTCATAATTGATCGACCCCTTAAAAAATTTTCTTTGATGCTTGTATTTATTGTGCTTGTATTAGTCATTGTAGATAACAGTCCACATAAATGTAATACAAATAGTATAAAATAAGTTGTCTTTAAGGTTTTTTTATGACTATCGCTTTAAGTCACTCATAAAGTAGCAGTATGGATCAAATGTGTTACGACAATATTCATTCAATATTTAATCATTTGGATGGTGAAAATATTTGGAAACTTGCAATTGCATCAAAAAAGTGAATAACTTTTCAGTAGTTTTGAAATTAACGGTCATTTTTCAAAAAATAATAAGTGGCCGTTCACTTATGACGTCAAGGACGGGGGGGGGGGGGGGGGGGATGGGGTTAGCGAGAAAAGAACAATAGAAATTCCTGGAATTCTATTGTTCTTTTTTGAAAAATGACCGTTAATATCGGACGTCATAAGTGAACGATCCCTAATGAGATTCCAGGAATTTCTATTGTTCTTTTCTTGTTGACCTTTCCCCCCTCGTTGGACGGTCCCTAACCTGACTTTATAATTCAAGATGACGGCAACATGATTTTTGACAAAAAAGAAATTGTAAATCTTTTCCAAAAAAAATTCACTTCAGTTGTATGCAACACTAATCAAACTAAATTAGATTATTTGGGTGAGCCTCTTATAAATAGCATTATATTCCATCCTGTGACGGAGTGTGAAATAGCTTTTTTAATGAATGATCTGTCTTTGAAGAAAGCTATAGGTAGCGATGGAATTCCCGTTAAGGTATGGAAAGACAATGTTGACATTCTAGCTCCAGTTCTAGCACTTCTAATCAACGACATGTTTGAAAGTACAATTTATCCAGACATTCTTAAAATTGCGAAAGTTAAGCCAATTTTTAAAAATGGAAGCAAAGTTAACATTGACAACTATAGAGGGATTTCCCTCTTACCCACCATAGATAAAGTTATTGAACGAGTACTGTTTGACAAAATTGAGAGCTTCATCTTTAAAAATAATCAAATTGATGAGACACAGTTTGGATTTAGAAGGCACTATGGAACACAAGATGCTTTATGCGAGCTGTACAGCTTAATTTCAAAAGCACTGGATAAGAATAAATATGTCGTTGCTGTATTTCTAGATATATCTAAGGCATCTGATAGTATCAACCATAAATTGCTCTTATATAAACTAGAGAAAATGGGAATCCATGGAAAAGCACTTGATTTAAAGCTATCTCACCAACAGGCAGCAGTTTGTTTCAATTATGGAGGAGATGAGTGCAATCGCTGAGATTATCTTTGGAGTTCCACAAGGCAGTTGTCTCGGTCCACTTCTATTTGTACTGATGCTTTATGATCTGAAGTTTGTTGACACGACTTCCGCTTTAATCAAATATTCTGATGATACAGTAATAGTGCTGATTTGTGACAAACTTAATGACATCCCTGATGCTATAAAAAGAGACATTGATAAAACAAAAGATTATTATGAGAATAATGGGTTGAAATTAAATGCAGATAAGTCTAAATATATGACTTTTGGCTTTACAGACTACAAAGACTTGCAAGAAATTATGAAATCCAATGGTATTGAAAAAGTTGACTCGATAAAGTACTTAGGAGCAATCGTCGATGGAAAACTAAGAATGACTGAGCATGCAAACAATGTAGTCAGTAAAATCTCGCAATCTATGAACGCTATGAATGTAATCAAGAAGTACTTACCAGCTTTTTCGCTAATGCAATTCTATAATGCATTTATTGGCTCTCATATTTTCTGCAATGGCTTTTTACTATGTCGAATGAATGCTGTGGACATCAACAGATTGCAAGTTATCCAAAATAAAGCGTTGAAGACAGCTTTTGGACTCGAGAGAAGATTTTCGACTGAAAGATTATTTACTGATATTGCAATAAATGTTCTGCCTGTTATTGGAATCGCCTGTTTTAACTTATTGTTACTTTTCAGGGATTTAAAGACGACACACCAGACAGTTGTGGTTCTAGTTTAAATCTGAATGACATCAAGAATGAATCCACAAACAAAGACTTGAAGCTAGTTGATCAAATTTCACCTATTAATTTTGCCACTAGATGCAAAATATGCAACAAAAGCTACTCTAGGACATGTAAATTAATTGAGCACATGAAAAACAAACATCCAAATGGAAAAATTGAGTTATTTGAGTGCGATTTTGACGGAAAAGTATTCAAAACTAAAAACCTACTTAACTTTCACATGGGGAATCATCTTCCATTGGTTAAGTGCAAAATATGTCAAAAATTTATCAAAATAAATTACGTGAAAGCTCATCGGTCAAATGTGCACGAAAAGATTGAAAATTTTCAATGTAAAATTTGTCTAAAAAGCTTTAAAAGTGCTAGAAAATTAAAAGAGCATGAAAGTTATCATGACAAGAGCTACAAGTGCATCATTTGCTGCAAAAAGTTTACAAATCAACACATACTTAACATTCATTTAAAGCAAATTCATGAAAATCCAAAAAGCTTTGAATGTCAAATTTGTGACAAGAAATTCACTATGAAAGTTCAATTAGAAAGACATCAATGGACTCACGACAAGAATCGTCAAAAAGCTTTCAAATGTCAACTTTGTGACTATGCAGCAAACACACAACAACATATTAAAAAAGACACCAGAAATCTCATGAACTTAAAAACACAAAATTTGCAGCAATGAAAAATCCATTAAAATGTGAAAAATGCCCAACATTTTGTGAAGATAAGAAGGCTTTTTGGAGACACATGAGTGTTGTGCATCCAAAAGTTTCATATCAATGTGATTTGTGTGCAACATTTAGAAAAGTTAAAGGCAGTCTCATCATTCATATGAAGGTTCACATCAGGGGCGTAGCCAGAAAATTTTTAAGGGGGGGCCCATTTTCGAAAATTAAAAATCCTTTATTTTGTATCCTTAAATCTATTAAATATTTAATTCATTATTCATACATTAAATTTAATTTCTCGTGCTGATTTTGACATTTCTTTCATCACTTCCTCTACATTAACTGGTTCTTCTCTATAAATACTTAATAAAACAATTATCAGATTTTCGTAGGGAGGGGGGGGGGGGGGATTTTCCCCTGGCTACGCCCCTGGTTCACATGCTAAGGACGATGCAAAATTTAAACTAGTAACGACGATGTCTTGTGAATCTCTTTTTCCCCGCACAGAACTTGAGTAGATAATAAAAAGTTAAAAAAAAAATACAAAAAAAAAATAAAATAAAAATTAAAATGAAAATAAATCGAAAAATTCAGAAACTTTCTTAAAAATCTCAATTTAAGTTTACAAAATTGACTTATAAAAATTGAGTTGTTTTCTCATTGAACTTGTCAGTTAACAAGCATCCATTAAAGGATGCAGTCGTCAGGAATGTCAAGAAAAATTTCAGAATATTTCAATGTAATTCCAAAGGTTCAAAAGTCAGCAAAAATTCGAGAATGTCAAGTAATCATTAAGGACATAAAAGGTCAATTCGGTATGAATCTGAATCTTTTTGAGGAAACTTCATTAAATAAATCTCAAAAAATTGAATTGATCAAAAATGGAAGTAAAACCTGCAAGTTTTGTCAAAAAGAATTTTCGACAAAATCAAGTTTGAGAACGCATGTCAAAAATATTCATTTTGAGGAATTTAAGATTATCTTTTGCTCAATATGCAGTGAGAAATTCTTCACGCAGACGTTGTTGGATCGTCATATGAAAAATAATCATCCGGATGGACAATTTCAACAATTTGAATGTGATTTTGATGGAAAAATCTTTAAGAAAAAAATGTGTCTTTTTCAGCACATGCGAGTTCATCAAATAGTTGAATGTAAAATTTGTAACAAAAAGCTCAAGTATAATTCCGCAAAAAGTCATTTAAAATTTTTTCATGAAACTGAAAAAAATTTTCAATGCAAAATTTGTTTAAAAACTTTTAAAATGCGTCAAATTTTAAAAATGCATGTACATACTCATGATAAGAAGTTTGAGTGTCAAATCTGCAACAAAAAGTATTCAAATAAATTAATACTTGATTATCATATTAAAGATTATCATGACAATCCAGGCAGATTCGAATGTAAATTGTGTGACAAGAAATTCAACATAAAAATTTGTTTAATTGTTCATCAAAAAACACACGACAAGTACCGTCAAAAACCATTAAAATGTCAACGATGTGATTATGCAACGGACCTTAAGTCACTTTTAAAGGCGCATCAAAAAACTCACGATATTCGAGATAAAAAATTTGCAACTATGAAAAACCCAATTAAATGTGAAAAATGTCCATCATTTCATCGAAATGAAAAGTTTTTTAAAATTCACATGAAAGTTGTTCATTCAAAAGTTCCATTTCAATGTGATTTATGTGCAAAATTTATTAAATCAAAAAGAAATTTCGTCAAACATATCAACAATCACATTCAAAGTTTTAACAATTGTAAATAATTTAAAAATAAATAAAATATTTTTTTGCGATTTTCTCAATTTTAAAACCAAAAAAAAAATTAAAAATATTATTATTTTTTTTCTCCATTCAAATAACATCCTTCATATAATTTTATCAAAAAACTAATTGTTTTATTGTGTAAGACTCGAAAACAGAAGGCCAAAAATATTAAAATCTAATGAAATACCGTTTAGATTAATGTTGTCCAAACTATTTTCAGCCACGGCACACTCTGACTTTAGATATGCTTTTTACGGCACACCTATAAATTTTTCTTTAAAATCGACGTTTTTTTTGATTCTGCCCTTCAGGCCATTTTATCTATTGTAAAATCTACAAACATCTGTAAAATTACCTATTTTCGGGATTTTTAATATTTTTCCACGGCTCACCTATTGATATGTGTGTGTGTGTGCAACGGCACACAGTTTGGACAACATTGACTTAGATGGTAATCCTTGACAATGATTTACTTTGAATTAATAGAAAAACATTCAAAATTATATGTCCAGTCAACTGAATAAAAATCTACAACTTGGCTGACCATCTCTATCCTATAGCATCTGGTCACTATCCTTTCGCCGTACCCAACTGATTTATATTTGACATTTTGCGACATAAACTCTTGGGGAGAATTCAAACCGTTAAACTGTGAAGATGAAGTTTCGCCTCTCAAGCTGTCGATTGTAAGTTCAATCCCATGCAATCACTTAGTTTTTTTTTGTTGTTGTTGTAACGGCTGTAAGCTTCATAAGAGCAATCAGAAATAATTGCAATATAAGAGTTCATTGCTAATGTTTTGCAAAAATACACCTATAAACTTAACCATCTTGATATGGATACTATCCGTTCTTCAAGTCGTTTTAATGTTTTGGCTATCAGATAAAAAAAAGGTTGTGCAATGTGTCAAGTAAATTCTTAATTCTTCCAAAAAATCCAGTGACCATCAATGTCATAAAGCTAGTCAAAATTTGTATAAGGGCAAACCAAGTGGCATGCCCTAAAGCACAATAAATGACTAGAAATTCTTGGGGATCAACCTTAACTCTCATTAAGCCATTTTATAAGTTACCATTATTAAATAATGATCAGAAATTTTGACTTTCTTCCTTACTTGATGCATAACATTTTTATTATTAACAATTATTAACAATAATCGATGAAGAATTATTCTTTTTATCGTATCTTGTGTACTCGGTTATAACTTGTATTAAATCATGACGTCGAAGAATATTCAAATAATCTTTGATTTTCCTCTCCTGAGTTTTTGCAACATTCAAGTTCATATCTCCAATTATGATTTGATTATCATTAATGCAATCGAGATTTTTATGGATGTAAGAGTCTAGAAATTGGAAAAATTCTGACGGTTTTTGTGAAGGAGATCTGTAAATTCCTGTAATATTCAACGCATATTCATCTATTTTAATTGTAATTATCCAAGCTTTTGTTGAACATTCCTTCGTTGTTACAATAAATTTTAAATTATTTTTTACGTAAATTACGACGCCTCCTGTACGTCTGCTATGGGAATTAATTTGAACCATATTAAATCCATTTATTTTAATTTTAGAATCTGGAATATCTTCAGTAATATGTGTCTCAGTAAGGCATAAAACATCAAACATTTTTTCTATAGAAAGTTCTCTAAATCGTTCGATATTTTTTGTGAGACCTTGTGCGTTTGTATAAAATAAGTGAAGCATTTTTATAAATAATTTTTTCTTCTTATATATACAGTTGCTGAAGATTGACATTTCAAAAATTGACACTCAGTGTATTTTTCGTCCGAATAAAGCTTAACTGGGGCAGAATGAGAAATTTCTCCCAAGAACGATGACGAGTGTGGGGGGAGGGTGGATGGAGAGGTAAGATGGAGAGGAGAAATGGGCATGGGGACCTTGAAACTCTCCTCTATGCATTAACATATTTACCATGAAATGCCTGAAGCCTGAAGAATTTACCTTATGCAGCTACTGACAAACACCTGCACATTGCACAAGTCATATCTCATAGCCAAAACATTGCATTAACTTGAGGAATGGATAGTTTCCATTTTAAGATGGTTAATTTTGCTTGTGAATTTTCAAACATTGGCAATGAATGCTTATATTGCAGTTATTTCTGATTGCACTTGTGAAGTTTATAGCCGTTACAACAACAACAATAAAAAAAAACTAAATGATTGCATGGGATTGAACTTACAATCGACAGCTTGAGAGACGAAACTTCATCTTCACAGTCTAACGGTGTGATTTCTCCCCAAGAGTTTATGTCGCAAAATGTCAAATATAAATCAGTTGAGTACGGCGAAAGGATAGTGACCAGATGCTATAGGATAGAGATGGTCAGCCAAGTTGTAGATTTTTAATCAGTTTGACTGGACATATAATTTTGAATATTTTACTATTGATTCAAAGTAAATCATTGTCATGGATTACCATCTAAGTCGGTATTTCATCAGATTTCGGTCGAGTAAAATTATTTTATATTTTTAATAATTTTTTTAAATTTGAAAAGAAAGATAATTAAATGAAAAGAGTAAATAGTTTTAATCTTAATGACTAGATATCAAAAAAATTGTTTTATTTAAAATATTCATTAATGTTTAATTATGAAGGAATCGAAAAGTGTCCATGTCTGGCTGAAAAATATTCAAAACAACATTTATATGAACGGAATCATTTAAAATTAACAATCTCATATTTTGTTCTTCAATTGCCTTGTAACTCAATGGATCAACTGA